ACTAGCTGGTCTAGTGCTCCTAAAAGAATCGTTTGCCTCCGCTTCACACTCTTTAACTATTCTCCTCATATACTCGTATCATATAGTTAAAGCATCGCTCTCTATTCTTAAAATCTCTAACGGGGTAATGCCTTAGTTAGACCATCGGCCGGCATTTCCTTCGTATTAAGATATATAACTTTAAACGCGCCCTTTAGAAACTCTTAACGTAGCCACATATTCTAAATATCAACATGGCGCAGTCGAGTCGTTATTCGCATGTTCTTAGAGCACACTAGGCGAATAGTTTGTGCGTTGTCATATTTAAGGTCGATTTCTTCTTCTGGGTCGAACTATATATCTCTAAACAGGCGAGTCATACCGAGAGCTTCCTTCGCTGTCTATTCAAGCCCTAGGAGCTCTGCTTCTATGGTTAAGGTGCTCACAGTAGGTTACCGGGTAGCTTTCTAGATCACAGGTCCGCCGAAGAGGCTGATAATTATACCCTAAGACGATTTTCGGGTGTCGAGATCATCGCCGAAAGAGGCATCCAAGGCGATAGCCAACACACCTCCTACAGTGCTCCGTTTATAATAAAGAGTAAGGCTTCGCGTTACGTATAGGTACTTAATCGCTTAGTGTGCTACCTTATAATACTCTAGTACTAGGTTTTGTAGGAATCTTAACAGAAGTAAGGCTACAAAGGCGACGTCGACCCGTATTATCATAGCGCAGTAGAGTAGTAAACCTATAAGTTCCTAATAGCGTTTTACCTCTTTCGCGCTTGCTATCTCTTTATTCTTCCGATATTCAATAATAGGGACAGGAATCGTTAGGTTACTTATAGAGCTAACGAGGTCGTATTTAATAGCTATCTTTTCGATATACTAAGCATAGCTCAAGCAGATCGTGTATTCTATGCAGTCTCGAATAATCTCGATTCCTAGGAACCACTCGGCATCACCTTAATCGTGAATATCATAGGCTTCCTTAATGCCCTTAATTACAGCTTCGGCTGCCGCGGGTCGCGAGGGGTAATAGAAGACTAGTATATCATCCACAAAAAAGATAACGTAGACGTCTCGAGCAGGCGAATAGAATATATAAGGTTCCTTAGCGCTTTGCATAAGTCCGAGGGCTTTAAGTTTTAACGAGAATTCCTTAAACCATAACATCGGTAAGTCCTTTAGCCCGTATAGCGCTTTATCGAGTTCTACGCATATATTAGGCTACTTAAATCCTAGTGGAAGCTCATAGGTCATTAGTATACCGTGCTTATCGCGCTTTGCGTTAAGAAATGCCGTCTTAATATCGAATTATTTAATATCTAGGCCGAAGTAAGCGGCTAGTGCGATAAGGATACGAAATAACCGTGCCGCAAGCGTGGTAGCATAGGTCTATTATATCGTAATCTACTCTTATAGGTCTCCGCGCATACAAATATATACTTTATAGCGCTCTAACATACCTATAGAATTAAACTTATATAAGAATACCTACTTAAGCGGCAAAGGTCTCGAGCGTGCCTCCGCGCATAGGATCTCGCGCCAGACTCCTTTAGCGCGCATTACTTCTATCTCGAGTAATGCTACCTCAAGCTATTCAGCGCTTAGTAGGTGAGCCAAGGCTTCCTTCTAGTTCGTTAGTACCTTTACTAGTTAGTCGCGATAGATCTTCCCTTATATTCTAGTGCGTAGCCGAGCGGCGCTCTTTTTAGTCGTAGCTACGGCGAATATAGCTAGTATGGTAAGGCAGCGCGTTTTCTCGTACTCGAGCGCCTAGAGTAGCTCAGGCAATTCCTTCCTAGCATCTCCGACGTTATTCGAGATCACGGTATATACTTATTCGAATAGGAGCCTAGGCTTTCGCTTCCGAGTGCTCCTCCGCGCACCTTTTATTAGTTAGGATTGTTCGCCTTGTTCAGGATGGTGTTCTAGTATGCTCGTCTCTCGGGGCTCGGGTTCCCCTAGACGAGCTCTCTAATCCCTCTCCGGCCGCTCTAATACGTTTCTAGGCGATCTCGGAGTATATAGGAGTTACTCCGGCGGACTTTTTATTTCGAGATACTATATATCCGGATTCTCGTTATTCGTCCGATCACTACTACTACGAGCTCTTCCGTTTATAATTATATACTCTGGTGGATTAGGGTCGCGGTCTAGTATACTCTCTAGGGTTTATAGGTAACCGAGAGTTTGAGATCCTTCCTTATCTTGCGATTCGGAAGTCTCCTTTAGTTCTAGCGCTATCACCCCCGATATCGAACGCTCGGTAGTATAATCATAAGTAAGGCTCTTTAGTAGGGAATGCTAGAAGAGATAAAGATCGTTATTGTTATCCTCCTCCACTATCACGTTATTAAACGTTACTTCGGGAAGCTCCGTCGAACTTTCCTCCTAAGGTTAGTAGAAGCACCGCTTATTAAATATAATGTCCCTAGTCACGATAACCTTCTTAAGCCGAGGGACCTATATTCGGAACACGTTAGTTATAACATAGCCAACGAGGTATCCGATATACCCTCTAGGGCTAGTCTTAAACAAACGCTTCTCGCGCCCTGCTGCCCTATCTACTATAAGCGGGAACGCTTTGTAGCTATAGGCGTAAATGCTATTCTAGTTAGGCCGCGTATCCACGCTTATATCCTTTAGTGGTATGTTTGCCTCTTTAAACCACGATTTAAGCTTATCGCGCGGTGCTTTCTAGCCTAGTATGCGTTTTAGGGTGATATTAAGTAGCATGGCTGCGGTTGTGATACTCTCTGGCCAGAGGTTCGTAGGCAAATTCGCGCTATTGAGTATCTTAATACTCTTTTCTATAACCTCCTTCCTAGCGCGCTCTATACCGCCGTTAGGCTCGCTCGTATACGCTAGAGAGCGCTCTATAGCTATGCCTTCTTAGATCGTCTATCTTTCGAACGCTATAAGGCCTTTAATCGCGATTATAGCGCGTTTATTATCTATTCTAAATACTCTAATTATCACCCTAAATTAGCGTCTAATAAAGCGCTCAAAGAAGAACAAAGTATTAAAAACGGTGGTTAAATACTTATTTAGGAGGCATAGCACGTAGATCACACTACTATAATCATCCTTAAGAGTCATTACCTATTCTATATTATTATAGCTTATAGGATAATCCTAGAGGTCCTAGAATACCCTTATAAATAGGGACGCTACTCTCTATTCGGATTCGCGCCTTGAGATTACTCGTGTTGCGTGCGTTATAGCACAGGCGTTATAGTCGCGGCGCTCTATTCCTTTGATAATCATACCGCGGGTATTCTTAACTAATGCTTTAAGAGCTTCCTTGCTAAGATGGCCTGCCCTGAGGTGCCATAGATACTAGTCGTCTTCCCTTAGCTTTGGTAGGTTAACTAACGGTCTAAATAGTCGTGTATAGTGCTCTATTTATCTAACTAGAGTAGTGGTTTTAACTAAGGTATACTCGTAAGGAGAAATTAGCTTATATTTAAGGAAAGTAATATTATACTCCTTTATTAGATTTACGATTACCATACTATTCTTTAATACGCCATAACGCAGTATGTAGTCGTATCCTAAGTACTAGATGCCCGTCTTATATAGTAGTTATTCCGAGATAATATTAACGTGGAAACCTTCGACAACTACCATATCCTAAAGCTTTAAATTACCCGTTCGAGCACCTCTCGGCATATTCAACACCTTATAGAGCGTGCGAACGCCTCGGCCAGTAATCTAAAAAGTTATTATACCGGCTAAGACCTCCTCTCCTTAAGTTAGATAGAATATTCCTAGGTCGAGCAGATCCGCGCTCCCGATAAGGTAGAGGGAAGCGCAGCTATCGAGAAGAGTGCTTTATAATAGAGGTGGATCCGCTTCATCGAGCGTTACTACCGCGGTCTGAAGTTAGTGATTATCGACGATAGCGGCTACAATATCACCGGCTAGCCAATTTCCGTTACTCGTTAGAGCATTTAGTTTAGTAGGTGTTTTGCGCTATCCACTCTTTTCGAGCTTTACACGAAGCGACGCGAAATTATTATCTTCGTAGCGCTACCGAATATTCTTAATCTAGCTCTTCGAGATTCTAATCTTATAATCCTCTGCTCGTTAGCCTATGATAGCGTATTCCAGGGTCACGCATTCCTTAGGGCTATGTTTGTGCTTGAAGTTGGTCCCTAGCCTTATATATGGATATTTAAGAGGCGGTAACTACTCCGCCGGCTCACTAGGGATTTGCCCTAGTGTGGCGTATGCTTGGTGCTTCTTGGTCTGCGGAGCGTTACGCGTGATTACGAGGAACTAAGATACATAGATCTCGAGTGTTTAGCTAAGTTCCCTACCTTCAACCTCTACTTCGAAGATCTCTTCGCGCTTTCGAGTAGCCCAATTAGGAGCATACCGAGCACTAATTGCATCTAAGAAATCAGCGATTCCTTGGTTGCCCTTAATTTCGGTTAACTTAGCGTTCTTTGCTCGGTTTAAGGCGGTCATCTAAGTCGAATACCATTTTTCTACGCTCTAATTAGCCCGTCGAGCGCTTTGCAGCGCTTTATAGTATTCTCGTCGAGCTTCCTCTCGAGTTTAGGTTACGCTAGCCGCAAATCTCTTTCTAAGGGTTCGGAGCATACGACGGGTGGTTAGGTTGCTCTCTAGCTCTTCCTAAACGTTCTCGTAGACAGCGGGGTCTATCGTCACCCTCATCCATTTTCTAATCGCCTTATCTTCCTTAGGGAAGCTATAGGTCGATCCTTAGATAAGAGCTTCGATATAGTCTAGCTACCGCTCTCGAGCGTTCTTAGGAGTACTTTTTTCCCTAGTTATTTGCGCTAAGCGCTCATTAACTATGAAAGGGTTATCGCTAGCTACATCTAGCCGATCAAGGTCGATTCGCTACTAGATACCGACATCCCTAGCGTATGCTCGGAGAGATAAGTACCACTCGTTCTAATGCGCTAGAACGCTTAGCTTAAGAGATTTCGATAAAGTTAATTCATCTATAGTGCTTATAGTGCAGAAGAAGGGATTTGAATAGTATGAAGGAATATATATAGGAGCAGATAAAGTATATATCCAAAGTGTAGTATAAGTTATAGGTAATAGTCACCTCCCGGGCTTATAACTATAATACGCTGTAGAGAAGGTTATTCAAGTGCCTTATATTATTATAAAAGAGATAGCCGTTGAGGCTCTATTTATGCGTTCTTAATCGTATAATCCTATCCTCTTAGAGCCTTCCTCTCTAATTTCCTATGTTCCGGGTCGTTTACCTCCGGTCTCACTAATTTCAGGTTCTCACCCTTCCGGTGTTACCTTTTCACCGCTAACGGCAGAATCTCAATCGAGCCTAGCCCCGCTGTAAGGTAGGCTCATCATCACACATTATTAACTTCTTATAAAGCAGTCCGCCGTCACCACCCGGCTGGTGTAGCTGGGTTACCCTCCTTGACGCTCCCAGCATAGCCATACGACTCGCGACTTGATATCGATGTCGTCGTCCTCGCGCTCATAGACGGTCCGCGCGCCCTCTTCTCCCTTAGCTGCCGCTTGAGAGCCGCCTCTGGACTCGGTCCCGCGACAGATGTGGTAGCCCCTGGCGGTATCTGCCCCAAGGGTATGCGGACCCTGGAGGCTGCCTGCGGGTCTTTGGAGGTGGCGTTCTTGAGTTTCTGCTGCTTGAACGCCTGTGAAGATGGCTCACTGACCGACAGCCAGTCTTTGACTTGCGATATCCATTTCAGCTTGTTCTGGTGCTTGTTGTGTGGCGTCTCTGGCCGCACGTCGGGTAACCGTCGTGGACGGTCATCGCTGTGAGATGATTCGTAGCCGGAGCGGAAAGGGGTCGAGCCGGAGCCGGAGCGTGAGTGGGAGCTTGCAGTGCCACCCGATTCAATGGCAGACGACAACGATGATGGTGGTGATCGCTCGTACATGACTGTGGCCCGTACGCCAGGCGGGTTCGATGGGGCAGTCTTGGACACCGCGCGGGCAACGCTTCAAGAGCGCAATCGAACACGAGGGCTTTGTGGAGGCAATGGCGCTTTGTGCGCCCCTGGCTGATGTTGTTCCTTGACGGAGTGGTCGCTTGACTGGACTAGGTAGTTGGTTTGGGGTTCTGACCCCTAGATCAAATCCAATTCACTATCCTTCGAGAAAGCCTTGCAAACACTCTGGACGAAGAGTGAGCACCGAAGAGTGGCAGAGTTTTGGTAGATGGAGAAATCGCGCTCAAGCAAGGGACTGGACGCGCGGGAAAGACCCAGCGAGAGCAGAGGGCCGAGATCTCCGGCAAATATGTAGTACCTTAGTACTCGACGCACCGGACGGGCGCGACGAGGCTGCGATGCAACCAAGCTGCAGGACCAAGAGCTCTCGGTTACAGCAAGCGTGAGCTGAGTGGCGGCACTGCTGACGATGTCTCAGTCCAAAGCAGGAACAAGCTGTCAGGGTGACTGCGGGTTGGGAGGAGGTGATGCATTCTCCTCACGCAGATGCCTGGCAGCATCCACACGAGACAACAAGTACTGTACGTAGACAAAAGGCAGCACTAATAATTATCGCGCCCGCGTCACCCACAAATGCTCCCTTTCCCCCTCCATCCATCACACGGCCAGACGTCAAAGCGCACGCGCAAGGCGGCATGATATTGATGGCGCGGGGCCAGGCCGCAGAAGCAACGACGGGGACGCTCAAGCGTGCGTGACACCAAATATTGATCCAGCCGCCCAACGGAGCACGCAGTCCAGCCATTCCTGGTCTTTTGGCCAATGTCTAGAAGCTAGTACGTACGTACCTAGTCTCGGACGCTTGCAGACTGCGAATTAGGTTGGATCGCGTGGGCGCCACGGACGATGCCTGCCCACAAATTCGATCGGGGTGGGACGGGCAAGCGTAGACGCATGCGGCACTGTAATTAGGAAGAGAGCACCGTTTCTAGGCTGTGGTCTTGAGACTCTTTGACTGCGAGGCTGCTGAGCGGGTGTCACCCGCGTGGCCCAGAACCCAAGGCCGCCGCTTCAAGACAAGACAAGACGAGACAAGACAAGTGGTAACGATAGTCTCCGTCGAGAACGCGAGTGTGCATGTCGCGGTGGCCCGTGCGCCGGCCGAAGCTCCACGAGTCACGACGTGCGAACCCTGAAATTCGGGGACGACACTCATAGTCTTACATAGTCTTCAGTCTTCTTCTGCGGCACATATGGGTGAGGGAGCACAGCAGAGGGACTGGAAGCATGGTCTCTGCTGCGAGGATCTGCCCTGCTAATCCAGCAAGGCTTTGCGTACACGTCAAGCTTCATGTCCGTCGGTTCTTCACGGAACCAAGGACAGGCCATTCAAGATTTTCATCGTCAGTGGGGCCGAAAGACGCATCCGAGGACCGACTGCAGACCCATCCATGCCGGCTCAGAGTGGACCTCTGTTATTAGTATACATGGTGAAGCAAATCTCGTTGCCAAGCCAAAAGCAGGGCTGGAGAGCTCGTGTGGTGAGACTGGCCGGACTCAGCTGCGCTTTATTAGCTGGTCTAGATAGACTCGATTGCCTGTTCGGGGCATTGTGGCAGCTTCAGATATAGACTCGTCTTGAAGCAATGCTTCCCTTTGGATGTACATCTTTGAGATTCATTCGTGAAATTCTGACAGCGGAGACGAAGAAGCAGTCAGTGTCTAGCTTGCTCACAACATTCAAATGACATGCACTTCACCCATTGATCGACATCGAAAAGACAGTAAGGACAACCTTGTCCCAGCCACAAAGGCAAGTTGTATTCAGAATAACCTAGCAGAAGCAGAAATTGGGTATCGAATGAGACGAAAGACAGCGGAGTGAGGTCGTGAGAAGAGATGTCGCTGCGGAGAGAGATTGCGCTCAACCTGGGTGTGTTAGCAAGGCGGTTTCCAATGGCGTAGCTCGGACAGTGTACATACCAATTGCGCTTTGCTACTATTACAATATTAAGTACACGATTAGGCGGTTGTATGTATGTATGGGTGGTTCGTGAGGTCGTTGTCTCGAGAGGGTTCCAGCCCGTTCAAGACTCGGGGAAGCAGCTGGCCCACAGCTTGGCGGCCGGCTCGTCGTGCAGGTCGACGATCCAGGGGTACTTGCCGAGCAGGCGTCTGGCAAAGGACCACTGGGTGACGCCAAACTGGGCGACGGCATCGGCGAGGCGCGGCTGGAGCCAGACGCGATCGTCCCTGTGGAGGACGGAGATGCCGGCGACGACGAGCAGCCAGAGGTGCGTGGCGGGATCGACGGCGGCCTGGAACTGGGGGTTGTCGAGGGCGCGCATGAGCTTGGTGGCGAGCATCTCGTAGCGCAGGCGGCGCTGGCGGCCGAGCTGGATGAGGGTCGTGGTCATGAAAGCGAGGAGGGCGAGGTGGATGGCTTCGGCGACGGGATGTAGATTGGTGCCACGGGCGGCGCCGACGGGGCGGATCTCGAGCAGTCGGTAGCAGGTGGTGGTGATGATGTCCTGGAAGGCCTGGGGCCCGAGCTTCTTCTGGGCGACGCCCGAGTTGAAGAGGCGCGAGACCTTCATGATGGTCTCGGTGGCGGCGAAGACGTCGGCGTCGGCGTTGCGGGCGGCGTTGAGGAGCGGCGAGCGCACCTCAAAAGCCGGGTTGAAGAAGATGGGCACAATGGCCTCCATGTCCTTGGCGGCGTGGCCCAGCCGTGTTGGGCAGCCGAGTTGCAGCGCCAAGTCAATGTCGATGCTGTGGCATTTGTCAGTTTCGGTTTACTTCTTGCATGGCAACACGCCGCGCGCGTCAAGTGAGTGCACGTACCGAAGTGTCTTCTCAATCAGCGCAGGGTTGTGCTTGATCTCGTCCATGCCACCGCGCAGCTCAATCATGCGACAGAGGCCGTCAAAGTGCACCTTTGTCTGCGCGAGCTGGCCGCGGAGCGAGGTCAGCAGACAGAGCGAGATGACGCCCGCCAGGCTGGTGTCGGCGGTCGCCTTGTCGCCGGACAGCTTGTTGTTGAGCAGTCGGAGGGCCTTTGTCATGTGGTGGCGGTACTCGGTGGAGTACGAGTCCTTCTCGTGGACAAAGTCCATGCAGGCCTCGGAGAGGGCCACGAAGCAGTGGAAGTCTGTGGTGCGGGACGAGATGTTAGCAATGTTGGCGTTGGTTGCGTCGGGTGTGTGTTGACACTTACAAGCTTCATCAGCGAGCATGTACTTGAACCAGGTGCCCAGGGTGGGATCTGGCTTGCCGTGAGAGAACTCGACGCTGGGGGAGAGCGCATCGCCAATGTACAGCAAAAAGTCGTGCACCCAGCGACGCGACTGGGTGGTCATCTCGCAGACGGGCTCGAGGCCGGAGAGGTCGTTGCCGACGTGGGCGAGGAGCTTGCCGCAGATCTTGGCCTGCTCCATGTTGGGCGTCGTGATGGCAGAACTGGATACGTCGCGCACCACAAAGGGCATCTTTGCGGGAGCGTCGAGTTCCCACAGACAGTTGAGGTCCATACGCGCGTCGTCCACTACGTGGATGGCGCTGTCGGTCTTTATGTTCTTCTCATGGAGGAGATGGTATGTGTCGCGCCTGTTCTCTGTGGCGCGAGGTCGTTTCCGAAGAGCGCGCACCTTGCCGCCGAGGACCTTCCCCTTCATGACATGGCTGCGAATGTAGTGACGAGCCGTCTTGCGCTCGATGAAGGCGTGGTCAGTCAAGGTCAAAGTGACGGCCATAGCCTGGAGGTGGTTGCTGGGGTGTCGATAGTATGAACTGAGCTCGGTGGCAAGATGAAGCTGGCTGTTTGCGCGGCGTTCTAAGCGCAAGAAAGAAAACGTCTAGTATCGAGAAAAGAATAACGTGAAAACAGAAACAGAAAATTCTAATGTAACAGGCGGTTGAGTAAGTAATGAAAAGGCGATGTGAGGCGCTCGAGGGATGTGAAGGCTCTTTCAGGGACTCAAGAGTCAGGCGGCGAACCTCAGGCCTTAAGGCTGTTAGGCCAAACAAGTACGTACTAATATTCTCCCTTGGATTCAACTCATCAGAGAGGAAATGGCCAGCGCACCGCCGAGTCAACAGGCTGGAATAGGAAAAGACAATTCAGATCGGACAGGCATGGATCATTTGATTACATCTGGCTATCCACTGTAAGCCAGTCAATACCCTACCTACCAAACACGTTTTCCTGCGCCGGGATGGGACGTTTCTCATTGTTTCCTCCCTCCCAGCGCCCGCCGCCAGCGCCAACGCCAGGCCAGCGCCACGAGCCAAGGACTGGACGCGCAGCCAATCGAACACGGTCGTCACTCTGCCTTTTGCCCAGACACAACGGCTCGAGTCACTGTGCCGGTTAGCCGTCGTCTGTAGTTGTACATGCGCCCCAGGTATTATCAGGCTGCCGGGTGGAGGCGCGCTACCTCTGCCGACGTCGAGGGAGATGTCGCATCGTCAGCGGCTTCAAAGTTCAGATTTGGGCCTTTTTTTTTGCGTGTGTGTCACGCAGCAACGATCACGGACGAGATTCTCCTGACCTCGCAACAAGGCAAGGCCAGCGACACACGGGATTTCCTTGCCTTGTGTGTCTTCACGCTGTGAGTCACAATTGATGGAGGCTCTCCATTCATGTGGTAATGGTTACCTATGAACTCCATGTTGCAGTCAACGCAGTCGACCTGCCCGACGAGCATCCCCTCCGTCTTCCCCAAAGGAGGCCTCGCCACAGCGATCGTACCATGGGAATCTGGCTGGGCGAGTGGTGTTGTTGGAGAGGCGCGGAATGGGCATTGATGGAGGAGAGACAAAGCAGATGCAGACCTGCATCCACACACCACACTTCTTTGTCGCTTGCACTGTTGCACATGCATGTGCTTCTGACCTCGGATGTTGCAGCGACTAGAGGCTGCCAATCCGCCATCAGATGAACCCATGGACGCATGTCTGCCACTGCGCCTCCGAAAAGGGTCCTTCTGTTGCGCCCTCGTGTGGACCATGACGATATCCAGCATGACAGGAGGCACACCACTACAGAAAGGGGGATCTTGCGGAAAGGTGGGCTGCCTCCTTTGCGTGCAAACCACTGCAATTATGACGAGAGTGAGGATGCTCATGGCGCTGGCGCTGCGCACGCGGCTCGTTCGCCAAGCTTCCTCCTCCTCCCTTTCTCCTCACGCGAGGCCTCCTTTGCGTCGTTGCTGGCCAGACAGAAGCCAGCCACTTTGGCTGTTTACATACTTCTCAGAGTCCATGTCATCAGCCTGCAAATTCAAATTCATCCAAATTCAAGTCCAAATTCAGGCATCGCCTGAACCCACTGACAGTGGACCAGCCGGAGCTTGCCCAGTGGAGCCCTCACTAACACGCCCGGCCGGTACGCACTGACCCCCCGACAGGGTTAGGAGAACCTTGTAAACAACCTTAAGCTTAAGAAAAGGCCCTGCTAATTATGAGATCGGGGACATTGAAAATTTGAAATGACATGGAGCAGCCAGCACAGGAGACGTGATGAAAACTCTGACGCTGTCAGGCAGAGTGCACATTCGTTGAGCTGCTTCGTTGGAGGACTGGACCTCCAGTCCAGTTCTCATGTCTTGCTACGCTGTCCTGCTGGTAATTAGCAGCCCCAAGCAGCAGTCTGGACGCTGATCGCGCCACCGAACTTGGAAGCACTTGCAGCGGGTGATCAGATCTGACCTGTTGCTCACAGCTCGAGAGTATTATCCCCTGCTCTCGGAGTAATTATTACATCTTCCACATCAGCCAAGCCGCAGCAACATGGACAGACACCTCCTCCCCTTATCAGGTCGCATCCTTTGAGAGATGGAAGCACGCAGGCCGCTCGTTGCACTGCGTAATCACTGCGCACCTTGGTAAGTGTGTGCCGGTAAATGTGTGTGTCTCGCTCCTTGTATCTACGCTGTCAATGTCCTCGACGTTGCTGCCGCCAACACAAATGCATGCGATATGTAGTGCGACGATCCACTGCCGCTCGCTGCAGGTGAATGTGATACATAATTACAGATTATCCTCTCCATCCGCAAATAGCGCGCGGCGACAGGCGCACGCAACGAGGATTGGACCCTGAATGTGGCTGGCTGGCGAGCTCGAGGCCTCCTGTCTGACGCTGTGGCCAGCCGCCAGCCTTGCCTCGTGCTTAGTTTCATCCTTCCCTCGTCTTCTTTGTCTACTATTGATTCGTATCACAGGAATCGAGGCTTGATACTTGGGCCTGAAATAGCTGTCGTGTATAGGCACGTTCACCGGTCGTACTGTCACAGTCTAACTGTCACACAGGGCTTCGATTCACCAGGGCGTCCACTCTGCTCTGGTTGTTGCTCCCTGCCATCGCATCCACCACTATTAGTCCCTCACAGCTTGGCCTTCCCACAGCACGAGCCGCCCGCAAACGCCAGACGACTCGCCTCGTCCCGCGCGTCCACCTCTGCCCTGCCCCCGTGGGCGACCTGGCTCGGCGTGCTGCAGTACGACGGCCGCACGTCCATGGCCGGATTGCTCGCAAAGAAGTTGCGCGGCCGCAGCAGCAGCGTCATCGTCTCGGCCGGCATGATGGGAAAGTCCTCGGGCGACGGGATGTGCGTGACCCCAAACGTGTGCCAGAGCACAATGTCCGTGTTGTCGATGGACGTCGTGCCGTCGCCGATCCACGCCGGCAGCCCGCTCGATGGCTCCCCGTCTGTCTGCGGTACGTGGCGGCCCGCAGGCCAGAGCTCGTCGTCGCGATCTGCATGTATCAGCTAACCTTTGTGAGAGACATCAAGGACTAACGTACACTTCGTGACGTGCACGGCGTGCCTGGCAAAGCCCGCGCGCTTCCACACCAGCGAGCCCTCCTTGGGTAGCAGGCCGGGCACCTCGCGGCTCACGAGCTTGTAGCTGCTCGGCTTGCCGCTGTAGGGGTGCAGGCGGTTCGTGTTGCAAATCTCCCACGTCCGGCTCGTGGCCCCGTCGTAATCGGTCCGCGCCTCGCCCTCGGTCGCGAGCTTGGTCCGGCGCGCGTAAAAGGTGTTGCCGTACTTGTTGGCCGGGCTGCCCACGGGCGCGTCCGAGGCGACCGTGTCCGAGACGAAGACGGTGTTGTGCGGCCCGTCGACGTTGGCGTGCAGCCGCAGGCAGAAGAGGTGCTGGTGGTTGTGCGCGTTGACGCCCGGGTAGACCTGCGTGCCCCAGCCGTGCGTGTCCTCGTCCTCGGCCATGACGTACGTGTTGAGGATGCCGGTGAGCTTGATCTCGGGCTGGATCGTGCCGTCCTGGTGGAAGATCCACTGGATTGCGTACTCGTAGTTGGCCGCCGTGAAGATCTGCTGCACCACGAGCTTGCGCGCCCGCGTCACAATCGTCGAGTCGTCCCGGAAGTCGGTGTGCTTGAATAGGATGCCCGCGTCCTCCTCGTGGATGCAGATGGCGTTTTTGATGTGGCGGACGCCGCCGTCACGACGGGCAAAGTCCGCGTCTAGGTAGTGGATAGTTCCCTTGCAGTCGCAGCCCAGGGCGAGGCTGTTGGTGAGGTATCTGGCCGCGAGGTCAGTATAGATAGAAAGGCCAGATAGCAAGAGACGTACCCGGCGCCGTATTCACCCAGGTCGAACGCGTGCTTGCGTTGATGGGGGTGCTCGGGATTGCCATAGGGCACGACCATCTCGGCCAACGACATGCGGTAGAAGATGGGCCGCTCGACACCCTTGTCCACGAACCGAATGTCGTTGAGCACGATGCCCTCCCTGTAGTTGAAGCCAATGTGGAACTTGAAGTTCTGCCACTCCACCTCGCGCCCCTGGATGGTAAAGGAGACACCCTCGGGCTGGGTGATGTTGATGGGCTTGAGCTCCTCCCGGAAGCCCCCCTGGGCCTCGACGCCCTCGACGTGGTAGTTGATGCTCCGTCCCTCCCGCGGCACCTTGCGCCGGACGCTGGGGATGTCAATGGCCACAATCTTCTGCTGGTTGGAGTCGAAGATGGGGCAGAAGTCGAGCGGGTACTGGTACTGGCAGTCGTCCACGTTGGGCCGGTAGTACATCAACGCCTGCTGCAGACGCGTCGCGTTCCCGTAGCGCTCGTCGTGCCCAATGGTCCACGGGTCACAGTACACCTTGTGCATGTCTGACGCGGGGATGCCGCTGATCCTGCATTGCTCAATGACCTTGGGGTCTTGGCGACAGATTTCCTCCACGTTCTGGAGCTCCTCGAGTGTGATCTTTTTGTGTTGGTCAGCTGGTTGCTCTTCGCATCAACAGAGGTTCCACTGACAATCGGCTGGAGACCATCCAGCTGCTCCCACTTTGTGATCTTGCCGCTCTTGAGGTCGACGAAGCCATCGTACACCTTGCCCTCGGCCGCGATGACCGTCACGTCAGCGACGCGCGCTGGCCGAGGGCCCCTGGATCGGTCCGCGAGCCATGCGGAGAGTTCAGCCTTTCGCGGCTCGAGGAGAGAAATGGCCTGGAAGTGAAGAGGGGCGATGGCTGCGTGCGCTGTCCTGACAATGTGGGCGGCAGTGCTGAGCTCCTGAGGAGAGAGGGGGTCTAGGGGATGCGCTGTTGGAGACATGGCTGCGTGGAGGATGGTCAAGCGAAACAGCTGGTGTGTACCAAGGCAGATGTGTGTAATGCGAACCGGCGTGATTCACGGCTGATTGATATATGCTTCATTCGTCGAGAGTCGAGGGCTCGATAAGATCAGGACGGAAGCAATCATCACCGTCCCAGCTACTGCGGACGCTGATCAGCCCAATTACTACACGAGATCCGACTCGCCAATGAATTGCGGTCAATTCAGGTTGACAACGCAGTCCGACCTCGAGACGCACCCCACAACATGTCTGTCTCCATCGATGTCTGATAAGAGTCTGGTCCCTCTTCCCCCTCCCTCCCGTCCATCCGCGCCCGAGAGTCTCCGCTTTGCGGAGAACCGCATCATACGCAGATAGCGACGTCGATAAGGCCAGCGGACTCGCTGTCCGATAGAGGATTGCGGGCGGCGCAGTTTGGACCAACAATTCACCTCCTGTTACTCCGCGTCAATCGGGCATCTCCCACCGCAGATACTAAGCCATGTGCTACGTTGAGTCAATGGAGCCTTTACTGAGCGTAATCAAACACCCTCATTGCCACCCATCAAGGTCAAAGAACCCAGGGAACGCAAGAAGCTCGTCCGTGTTGATCGGAGCCTCCATCTCCCCGCTTCCGCTTCCCGTCCCGTACAGCTGCTGCGCGAACAAAGGCAGCTCAAAGGGCGCTATGGTAGGATCAGCCATGGAGGGCGGCACGACCTGCCTCTCTCGCGCCGGTGTCGCCCTCTGGGACCGCGCGAGCACGCTGGGCGGGGGTGACTGGTTGGGCCGCAGCCGGGGAAAGTCCTCGTTGATCATCTCCTCAATCATGCGTATGATGGAGCGGTGCACGATGAGGGACCGGACGATGACGAGCTTGGCGCGGATGGCGTCTGCGGTGGCGGGCGTGACCCGGGTCGGGGGCCGGGACGGCCTGTCGACGAGGGGGATCTCGCGGGCCAGCAGCTCAAAGACGTCGCGGAGGCTCTCGGCCTTGGGCCAGCGGTCGGCCATGATGGCGAGGATGTTGGAGCAGGCGCGGAGAGCGTCGGACACGTCTGGCGCGTCGTAGTTCTCGGTGCGGTACTCCATGGGCGTCGCCCAGCAGCAGTAGAGGAGGGTGACGCCGGACTGGAATTGCACCAGCAAGCCTATCCACGCCTGGGCAATCTGGCGGTCCATCTGGCTCCGCCGGAACATGAGGCAGGCCTGGCTGCTGGCCTGGATCGCCCAGTCGCCCGCGGGCCCGTACACGTTGTCCTTGGTCGGTCGGTAGAGCAGTAGTAGCGTGTAGTGGTAGATGAGGGCGAGCCATCGCTGGCTCGAGTGGCCCTTGGACTGGGGCTCGGCAAAGTTCTGGGCCCGCGCCTTGTAGTTCTCCAGCTCGCGCAGGATGCGTATGCGCCACTCGAGCGACTCCTCAAAGACCTCCTTGTAGTCCCAGCGCAGGGTGTAGTTGATAATCTCCGACTGGATGCGTCGGCACTGCAGGATGTGCAGGGACGGCGACACGCACGTGTAGACAGGGACGTCGGCCAGGTCCGCGCCCGCGGGTACCTGGGCCACGGCGCTCTCCAAGTCCTCGTCCTCGACGTTGGCGTACAGCTTGGAGGTGATCATGGTGTCCGTGATGGAAGGCGGGAGCTCAAACGAGGCCATGACGAGGCGATCGACGCAGTAGGCAGACCAGAAGCAGCGTCTGCGCACCTGGTTCTGCAACAGGGCGGCGGGTGTCGTGGGCTCGAGCTCCGTCTCGGCAAGGTGATACTGCAGCTGCACGCACATGCGCATCGTCGTCGAGGCGAGCGACAGTATCCGTGGCGTGTTGCTGCGGTGCAGGGCATGCATGCTCAGCAGCAGGTACGCTTGGACGTGCATGATGGGGTCGTTCCTCCGCAGTACATGCGGCAGCAGCGCGATGCCATGCTTGTAGAACGCGCGCGAGTCCGACTGGCCGACGCGAGGGAGGGCGAGCATGAGCAGCGCCGTGGCGAAGACGAGGTTCACAAAGAAGCCCTGCCACGGCTTGGGGTTGAGCTCGACGGGGGGGCACGCCCTCCAGTCGGCCACCCAGTTCAGCAGGGTGGGCCAGTGAAAGAAGGGATACTGGACCTGCGCGCGCCCTCTGTAGGCGCCCAGGAGGAGCTCCTCGACCTCGGGGGTCATGGAGGCGACGAGGTTCTGCGCGGGATAATGGTGGTCGTCGTCGTGCCGTACCGAGCCAGTGTGCATGCTGGGTGACTTGGTGTTGCCCGCCCCGCCACCAAAGTCGTCCCGCCCTGGAGGTGATGCCAGGCCGTAGAGGAGATGGTCTATGCCCTCTGCGTCCGAGTCGTCCGCCAGCGAGAGGTCTGGCGACTGCTGGGAGAGGCTCTTGCGCGGGTGAAGCAGGCCATTGTGCAAATTGGTCGCAGGGGAGACGGATGAGGTTGGTTGAGCGCGCCGCGCGGGCAGTCCAGAGGTGGTCGAGGTCGTCTTGACGTTGTTGCTGCTATCGTTGTTGGTATCTGACACGATGCCTTGCAGTGATGGAGGCGCCAATGCTCTCGCTGCCTGCGGCGTGCGCGCACGCGCGTAATGGTCCTGGCTCTGATTGGGATCGCGAGACTCCAACTCGGCGATCCTCTCCTCGAGCGCGCGCACGTACTCCCCCTCGACCTGGGGACGAGGCGCCGGCTCGGTGGGCACGCAGTCCTCGCCCGCCTTGGCGCAATTGGAGCAGGGCCGTCTGTCCTCGCACTTTTGCTTGCGGCCGCGGCATCGTCGGCAGGCCAGGACGCGCTGCCGCTTGAGCGGTGGTCCCTCGTCGTGGTCCATGGGTCTAGTCTGGTAGCTTAGATTGTTGTCAGCACGCGCTGCGGTCGAGTGAAGCTTCAGCGCATTATAGTGTGTGGTGGTGTTGATCTCGCGAGCAGCGTGTGCGTCATGAGTCGTGGAGCATGAGAGTGAGGGTGAGTGAAGGTCGACAAGGCTGGCTGGTCATGGAGTTGTAGAGTGCAAATGTCAATGTCAAGCGGGCGGGGCGTCACAGTTGGAGACTCGTTGAGCAGTGCTCGGGGTCATATCACACAGCCACGATATTGGACTGAATGTAGACAGATGTTTGTTAATTTTTATGTGAGTCTGCCAGACTCTAGTATTCGATTTCGTTATCATTGGCCTCAAAGCTCACGTTGTTTAAGGCATTGCTCATTTGTTGCTGGTTACATGCACCAAGGGTCCAAGTCTGGCGACTCTGCCTACCCGGAACCACAAAACTACGCCTTCTCGGTAATCTCCTCCCCAGCAATTGTCTCAAAGAACGCGTCCGCCAGGTATCCTCCACACCACGACAGCTTCTCAAACCCATCCGTCATGGGCTTCCTGCTCAGCGCCGGGCCCTGCACGTCCCGCACGTACCCAGCGATGCCCTCCTCCGCCCACATCTTGCCAAAGTCCTCGGCAACCATGTTGAGGCCCTGCAGAGCCCAGATGGGCTGGACCTGCCAGACGACGCCCATCTTGGCCAGGTCCAGGTGCAGCGTCTTGACCTGCGCCGGCGAGAAGCCAGCCTTGCCGTAGTCGTAGTCGCCCGTGTAGCCAAAGGCGAACAGGCGATCGGGGTACACCTTGCGGACGCCCTCGTGGAACTCGACAATGTCCTTCCACACCGGCGCGTCCATGCGCGCCCACGTCACGTCCCCAAGCGGCGCGGCGGCCACAGCGCGCTCAATAATGGTCTTGACGCTCGGCTTCCACATGTACTGGCCCATGGCGGAGCGAGGCCTCTCCCAATCGAAGAAGACGTCGGCCTGGACCGTTTTGCTGGCTATCTCGCGTCGTGCCGTCAGGGACGCGAACGCCTCCCTGCGCACCTCGGACAGGTAGGCCTTAAACTCGTCCTCCGACGCCACCGCCTGTACGGCCTCGTCAAACGTCTTCAGCCCGGCGTTGGCCTTCCACGCGGCCCTGGCCGCCTTTAAGTCCTTGCCTTGCGCCTGTGCCTGGGCGAGGTGGTCCTGGAGGGACTCGACCCTCTTTGTGGCGCCCACCACGTACTCGTGGTCCCTGGGGTCGACGACGCTGCTGATGAACTCGGAGTGGTCCGTGTCGCAGCGACAGAGGAGCAGCGTCTCGGCGCCCATCACGTCAAACTGCATGCGCACCGTCCGGAGCCGGTCGAGGTACTCGCTCGTGGGCACGACGGTGCGTCCCTGGCCGACGGTGAACTTTTTCATCCCAATCGCCAGGTCGTCGAGGTGGATCATGGCCACGCCGGCGTCGACAAACGCCTTGGCCATCTTCATCGTGCTCGTCACGTTGCCAAAGCCCATGTCGCCGTCGGCCACCAGGGGCGCCATGTAGTCCCAGTTCTCCAGCGTGGCGCGCTGCGCCTTGGTGTGCCGCAGGCGGAACTGGCGCTGCCGCTGGTCGTGCCAGAGCTGCGACTTGAAGATCTTGGCCACCGTCTTGGGCACCGTGTCCCAGGGGTAGTCGCAGGCGTCCATGCCGGGCGCGTCCACCTCGGAGAACCCGCAGAGCGCGCCCGACACGTAGACGGACTGCTGGTGCTTGGCCATCTGGGACACAATGGTCGGCTCGGTGGTGCCAAACGTCAACTCGGTGGTTCCGTTCTTGTTGTGCTCCTGCAGCTGATTCCAGAGCTTGATGGCCTGCTGGGAGCTTGCGGTGGGCGCAACGTCGATGCTGTTGCGCAGGGCGGCGATGGTGTGCGCCGAGTATGGCCTGTGTAGTCCGCTGTCAGTCTCGGGCTCGCAGCCGTCTGGTTCTGCACACGGCGTACCTCTTGAGATGGGCTTGGCGAGGCGAGCTCCATTGCTTCTCAATGGCAGCCACGTCGGCCTCAAACTTGGCCTGCTCCTCATCGAGCGAGATGTTGAGCTGGGGCATGGTGGGTTGTGTAGTGTGAATCTCGACTCGAAGCAAGCAACAATGTAATGAAAAATAACAGCGCCTAGTCAAGGAATCTGCTCTAACACTGAGATATCCAGGAAGCAAGAATGCGCAGAGCTCACAGGCTTTCAAGGCGTTTTCCCGCTCTCATCTCGAGGATCCCACGGATACCCGATTTCCCCAATTCTCGTCAACCACCCCTCGCAAAGACCAGGGTCTTTCACTCTTTCTCCAAAAACCATATCGACGGAGTCTTTGTCCGTTGGCACTAATGCAAGACGGACAGCCGGCGCCGACATGCGGACTGAGGGGATTGCTGATAGCTGAGTGTGGGGTACAGGGGGCATGTCTGCGGATGAATGGTAAACTTGTCCGAATTACTTCTTGATCGCGTGATCGTGGGCATCAGATACCGTCTCGAGATCCTCTGTCGGGGCTACATGCGATCTGAGTGGAGGCTCGCGTATCTTTCGGACTTCAGACGTGTCTCGAAGATTTGGAGATAGACGGCTGTCCGAGACTGGGGAGTCGCCACATTGATTCGAATCGAGGAGTCGAGGGCCTCAAGTTTTCGGCGGGGTTTGTTCCTCTCAAAGTCGAAACGAAAGAGCAGAATACTACCTCACGCTCAATTGAAAATCTGCACTATGCCTGATCTCATCAACCTCCAGCTGGGCTGGCCCTCGCCCTCTCTCTTCCCAGCAGCCGACCTGCTGAACGGCGCATCATCCATCCTCGAGTCCCCCAAGAAGACAGCCGCGGCTCTCATCTACGGACCCGACGCAGGCTACGAGCCGCTGCGCGAACAGATCGCCCTCTGGCTTTCCTCTACGTACAACATCAAGTCCACCCCCGAACGCATCTGTGTCTCCAGCGGCGCGTCGGCCAATCTCGCCAACATCCTCCAAAAGTTCACGGAGCCCGAATACACCAGACGGATATGGATGGTGGAACCATGCTACTTCCTCGCCTGTCCCATCATGACGGACGCTGGCTTCGAGGGGCGTCTGCGCGGTGTCCCCGAGGACGAGGAGGGTCTGGACATTGACTTTCTGAGGACAAGTATCCAAGAGGTCGAGAAGTCGGATGGCCACCCCGATACACCGTCCGTCAAGACCAACCGCACACGCTACCCTCGTGTGTACAAGCACATCATCTACGCCGTGCCCACCTTTGCCAATCCGAGCGCAAAGACAATGTCTCTCCGACGGAGGGAGGATCTCGTCCGCCTCGCTCGGGAGTTTGATGCCCTCGTCGTGACGGACGACGTCTACGACGTCCTGCGCTGGCCTGAAGACACACAAGCAGACGCAGACGCAGTTCACCTGCCGGATGTTCCCCCACGCATCGTCGACGTGGACCGGACTCTGGACGGCGGGCCCAGGGACGACTTTGGCAACGCCGTCAGCAACGGCTCCTTTTCCAAGATCATCGCCCCCGGTGTGCGGACTGGCTGGAACGAGGCGATGCCTGCCTTTGCCCATGCCCTGTCGTCCCTTGGCTCCACAAAGTCGGGCGGCTGTCCTTCGCACATGTCCGCGACGTTTGTAGCCGAGATGCTGGCCTCGGGCCAGCTGCAGTCTCACATCAAGGACACGCTAGTGCCCACGTACCGAGCGCGGTACAACACCTTGTTCAGAGTGATCAGGGAGCATCTCCTGCCCTTGGGATTTCATATCTCGACCGGCAAGCCTTATGCGTACGGGCACATCAGCAACGGCGCGACCAACGGCCACGCACAATCAGGGGTTGTCGTGGGAGGGTACTTTACTTACCTCACTGTGCCGGACGACCTGCCCATCACGGCGGATCAGCTTGCCGCGCGGGGTCTGGAGAAGTATGACCTCAAATTTGCGTCGGGTGGCATGATGACGGTGGAGGGCGACGAGGGGAGTAGGGAGAGGGCTGTGAAGGGGTATGGTCGTGGCATTCGTCTGTGCTGGGCGTGGCACACGGAGGCAGAGATCCAGGAGGGCATTGAGAGGTTGGCGTCGTTGGTGAAAGAGGTCAGGCCCTAGTCGGAGGAGACTGCTTCTACTGAGCACTGCTTTGAAGACGAATGTATACACTTTATAGATCGATGCCATGTGAACTCCAGAATACATGATTACGCTTTATTGTTTCTATATTGAAAGACAGATCTACGCTCATGATCGCCCGACTATTTCTCGAAAGCAAACTCAACCCACCACATTAAACAGGAGGCGTCACCAACCCTCCTTCACCCCCTTTCCCGATCTTGCCCTCCATCAAAAACCTCATGACCATATCGGCAGCCATCTCCGCGTCATCATCCTTGTCCATCTGCTCCAGCGAGCTTTGCAGGACAGCCGGATCCCACTTGGCCCCAAATACCTTGAGCGTCTCCGTGTTGATGAATCGATCAAACTCAAAGTGTCCCTGATACGTCAAGATGCGCCCGGGCTGGTACGCCCCCTGGAACGCGCAGTGTGAAGAACGACCCATGGGAATCCACGACGCGGGCAGCGCAGAGGGATCGGGTAGGTGGACGTGGTCCGCGTGGATGAACTGCAGTCTCAGCGAGGACCGGCTGAGCGGCGTGGCGGGGATGCTGTCCTTCTCTTCGGATGGCGTGGGGAGACGATCTGTCGCAGGAAGTGTGGCTGCCTTAATGCTACTGCTGTTGCTGCCACCACCCAGCGCCTCGACAAAGTCCTTGGTCAGCTGGATATCGTGGACGCCGAGCTCCCAGCCCTGGGGGTCCTTTTCCACCTTGACGCCGTACTGGCCGAGTAGACTCTGGCACATGATCTGGTGACCGAAGCAGCTGCCGAACATCTTGACGTCGGGGTGCCTTTCGTAGACCTCTCGGATGTAGGCGTCTAGTCTGTGTGCCCAGGGCACATTGTCGTAGGAGCTCGATGCGGAGCCTGTGATGAGGAGCACGTCGAAGTCGTCGGGCGAAGATGGGTACTCTTCCCGCACGACGTCAAAGTCTTGTGAGGAGATGCGGACGGGGAGTGCTAGACGTTCTGCTGAGGCGCAGAGGAGCTTGTGGAAGACGGCGCCGTATGTTGGATAGATTTGTCTCACTGCCGGGACAGGGAGGTCCGCATTCAGCATCGCAATGCGGATGAGTGTTGTCATTTTGGTGGTCTTTTGTGTCGAGAATGTGAACTTGGTCCAAGATCTCTAGATGCTGAGATAAATGACTGTCGAGGTGGCTCGTGTCTGGTGGTATCGTGTTGAGGAATCCGTGTTGATGGCGGGCTTCTTGTTGAGCGAGCCTGATCACGAGAGTCTGGACGCTAAGGGCAGTCTGGCTTCAGCTCACAGTCCACCACACACTGAATCTATGAGATTCAGTGAGTTGAATTGCTATTGATCTGTCTGTCTATCTGATCCTCGCCTCCGCCTCCGATGACGGCGCTATCATGGACCCTCCGTGCCTTCCCCACGTGGCGAGAGCGCCTGCCCGAAATAGTGCGCCGGACGGACTCCGACCTCAGCCTCGACCTCGCTTCACCTTCCAGTCCCATGAGGACCCCGACCCAATCTCTCAATCTCAACTTCGAGCCAAACAGCTCGACCTCATCACAGCACGCCATCTTTCAGTATTGTCAAGCCAAGACGGCAAGTCAACGCGGATATGGTCATCCCCGCCAGCCCTCATCGTCGGTCACAAGAGTCCGAAGCGTGTCGCACTCTTGTCCGAATTAACGGGCCTCGCAAGTCACGATTCGCTTACCCGCATTCCCAATCTCGAGGCTGTCGGCCTAGTCCTTGCCGCTACGGGGCGCCCTCGTCTGACCTGCCACAGTCCCTGTCAAGCGCGGCTTTTGAGCGCCTGCGGCGTGGCGTGGTCCAACGTCCTCGATCGTCACCAGTCACCACCTCGCCTAGGGTCTAGGGATTGTCGCTCGAGCCTTTTTCTGGGGTAAACGGGTCCCATGCACTGGGCCCTGATAATGGTGTGGCACCGTATCTGATAGCTCTCTCTCACGTCCAGCCACCGAGCCTGTCACCCTTATCCTGCTTCCTAAGCCGACCTCAGCCTTGAGACGTACTGTCATGGCCATCAACATATAACCCGGCCCACACACCGACACCCCCCGAAAGAGGACATTGTCGACATCGCTCCCCTCTGGTCAGAAACTCAATCCTTAGATTCAGAGAAGACAATTGCGGTATTCCCACCAGTCTGCTACCAGACTACCACATACTGCCCCCGTGCCTCGACAGATACACGTGTCCGCCCTCACAACCCGAGTCACAACAATGGCAGAGCCCTCCAAGGACGTCAAGCCAACCTTCACCCCCGGCGAGATGGAAGAGTCGACCGGCTCCGTCGGCGCGGGCAAAGTCGAGCCCTCCGCCGTCCCTGGCAAGGACAGCGATGTGGCCGCCCGCTACGCCAACATGTTCAGTGGCGGCGAGGGCTATTCACGCTCCGAATGGGTCAAGCTCAGGTGGAAGCTCGACATGCGCCTCGTGCCCTTGCTGTGGTTCAACATCACGCTTGGCGCCATGGACAAGGTCACCACCGCCACGGCCGCGCTGTACGGCTTCAGGCAGGATACGGACCTGTATGGGGACCGCTACAGTTGGGTCGGCAGTGCCTTTTATGTGAGTCTGACAACAAGAGCATCTCCTAAGTATGCTTGACTGACCGTCACTCCACAGTTTGGTTACCTGTTCTGGTGCCTACCCAGTGGTAGTCTGCTTCAGAAGTTCCCCATCGCCAAGTTGATGTGCGGCGTGCAACTGCTGTGGGGTGCCGTCCTGATCGCTACGGGCTTCTGCAACAACTTCCCGAGTCTGATCGCGGTCCGCGTCATTCTCGGAGCGCTGGAGGTGCGTGGCCCCTGAGTGATAGTCGAGAGAAGACAAGAGCTGACACTGAACCACCAGGCACCCATCGTCCCTGGCAACTACTTGCTCCTCGCCATGTTCTACAACCGACGCGAGCAGCCTCTTCGCAGCGGCCTCATGTATACTGGTCTTTCTGTTTTGTTCACAGGGCCCATCGGATACGGGTAAGATGGCAACACGAGAAATCCGCTGACATATCAGAAAGCTGACAATAACACAGAATCGGTTCTCTTGCCGGCGAGCACCAGTGGCGCTCCATGTTCTGGATCACGGGTGCCATGACCGTCGTCTGGGCCATCGTCATCGGCGTCTTCCTGCCCGACAACCCCGTCCAAGCGCGCTTCCTCCAGGAGCGCGAGAAGGCCATTGTCATCGACCACATCCGCGAGGACCAGACCGGCGTGGAGAACAAGACGTGGAAGAAGGACCAGTTTATCGAGACCATGCTCGACCCCAAGACGTGGCTCATGTTCTTCTTCCACATCTGCATCTCCATCCCCAACGGCGGCCTGACTAACTTTGCCCCTCTGCTCATCAAAGGCCTGGGCTACAGCAGTCAGAGATCGACTCTCCTCATGATGCCCACTGGCATCATCCAGACCTTTAGCAGCTACATCTGCAACGGCGGCGTCTTCCTGTGCGCCAAGTACCTCCCGGGCAAGCACCTGCGCTGCGCATGGGTCGTCTTTGGCATCATCGTCGGCATGATCTCGGCCGTCTTCCTGTACACGCTGCCCCTGAATGCGCTGCACTCGCGTCTGGCGGCGCTGTACATGTCGTACTTTTACCTGGGGCCTTATATTGTCGCCCTGGGCATCAACACGGCTAACACGGCCGGCCACACCAAGAAGGTGACCACAAACGCCATGATCTTCATTGTAAGTCTAGATGTCCTCTATGAAGTGTGAAGCGGACTGCTAACGTCGGACACCAGGCCTACTGCGTCAGCAACATCATCGCCCCCCAGTTCTTCAAGTCCAACCAGGCGCCCCTGTACCCGCTCGGCATGGGCGCTATCCTCGCAGCCTACGCGCTCTCCATGATTCTCATCATCCTGTATGCGCTATACTGCTTCTACCAGAACAAGAGGCGCGCGGCCGTGGACGAAGCCGCGGGACAGCATGTCCACGCCGAGACGGATTTTAAGGATTTGACGGACAAGGAGAATGTGCATTTCCGCTATGTTTGGTAAGGGGGAATGCTTGGTCGGACGTTGGAGTAGCACGGCTTTTGTGCGATGGACTAGTTATGTACACTGATTTGGGATGGTGAGCTTTTGAGAAGAGGATCAATATCACGTTTGGTTGCGTTTATGATAGGTTCTGTGTTAAAAAGTACGAGTTTTGGCTTCGATTCAGTGTCAGGCTTCCTCATATATGCGATTCATCTGTCAGATGTGTTGTAACTACGTGTCTGGTCTTTCTAGTAACAAAACACTCTTTCATCAGCTGTTGGTAGCAGCAGACTGCATTTCTGACAGCAGAGGTCAGGATGAATGTCAACTAACAATGTGAAATCTCCCTTGTGCGCTGTGAGCCTGATCAAGCTCAAGTCAGCAACCATCGCGTCGCGACATTCCCCAGACTCCAGTCCTTCGGACCGCGCAACGGCGTGCGTCCACGACTCCATCCACTGGAGCCTGCCTGCAGCTGGCATCAGGACTGGAATCAGCATGGCATATCAAATGCGGGGAACATTAGCGCTGCATACAGGTGGAATTTGATGATTATCCTGCGTCTCAAGGATCAATGATACCCAGTGACCGCCCGGCTGTATGCTTCGGACTTGGAAGTCCGAAGCATGTCCCAGCCAGGCCGATGGTCGTTGGAACGACGGACGGGAGCTCCCATCCATTGCGAAGCTAATGCCGAAGGGAAGCACTGTCCGCTTGCGAGAATGGGACATTACGACTCAGCTGCGGAATCGGTGCCAAGGCCGGTACAAATGGCATGAGTGAGGTTGACGGAGCAGAGACGACGTGCATTTCTGAAGCTCAATAAATGAGATATCCTGGCCAGTCTGGACACTGGACCAGCACACTCATCACACTCCGAGTGAACTCACAGCCAGCAAGATGCCTCACCTCAACAGCCCCGAGTCACCACCCAAGATCCGCATCGCGATAGACCGCGGCGGCACCTTTACAGACTGTCTCGGCATCGTCCCCAACCAGCCTGACATCCTCGTCAAGCTCCTCAGCAGTGACCCCAGCAACTACAAGGATGCACCGACAGAAGGTATCCGGCGCATCCTCGAGGCCGCCACGGGCCGGACGCTGCCTCGCGGGGAGAAGATTGACACATCAGACATTGAGAGCATCAAGATGGGCACGACTGTGGCCACCAACGCACTCCTAGAACGTTCATCGACGCCCTGTGCGCTGGTGGTGACCAAGGGCTTCAAGGACCTGTTGAGGATAGGGGACCAGACGAGACCAGAGCTCTTTGATCTCAACATTCGGAGACCTGAGACGCTGTTCGATGATGTGTTGGAGATTGATGAGCGCGTCACCCTCCATGACTCTTCCGAAGATGCCTCGACATTACGGGACCCCAACAGAGCGTCGTTGGATCTGAAAGAGGGCATCGGCGGCGAGGCGATACGGATCCTGCAACCACTTGGTAGGTTTATATACCTCTTGAATGCCGTCCCCAGTGACTAACGCCAGGCAGACGTCGACAAGGCAAGGCAAGGCTTGCAGTCACTCTACAACAAGGGCGCACGAGCCCTGGCCATCACATTACTACACTCATACACATACCCAGAGCATGAGATTCGGCTCGGGGAGATTGCCTCGGAGATTGGCTTCACTCAGATTAGCCTGTCCTCACAAATCTTCCCCATGATCAAGGCCATCTCGCGTGGCTACAGTGCCACAGCGGACGCCTACCTCACGCCCCTGACCCGTGCGTACATTGACGGCTTCCGCAAAGGCTTTGTGGGCGACCTCGAGGACGAGCACGGCGCGCGGTGCGAGTTTATGCAGAGCGACGGCGGTCTCGTCGGATGGCAGGGCTTCTCTGGGCTCAAGGCCATTCTGTCCGGCCCGGCGGGTGGTGTCGTTGGCATGAGCAGGACCTGCTTCGACGTCAACCGTCGAAAGCCCATTATTGGCTTCGACATGGGCGGCACGAGTACTGATGTCTCGCGGTACGCGGGCACGCTGGAGCATACCTTTGAGTCTATCACGGCAGGTATCACCATCCAGTCGCCCCAGCTCGAGGTGGACACGGTCGCCGCAGGCGGCGGCAGCATTCTGTCGTATAAGAATGGGCTCTTCCTCGCGGGGCCAGAGTCGGCTTCAGCGCATCCCGGTCCAACCGCCTACAGAAAGGGCGGTCCCCTCACGGTCACGGACGCCAACCTCGTCCTCGGTAGACTGCAGGCAGACTACTTCCCCAAGATCTTTGGTCCCAAAGAGGACGAGCCGCTGGACTACCAAGGGGCCCGTGCCGCCTTTGAGAAGCTGCTGGTCCAGGTCAACGAGGATCTCGCCGCGTCGGGGGCCACGCCCAAGACGGTCGAGGAGCTGGCGCTTGGGTTCCTGCTCGTGGCCAACGAGACAATGTGCAGGCCCATCCGGTCACTGACAGAGGCCAAGGGGTACCGCACGTCGGACCACGAGCTGGCCGTCTTTGGCGGTGCGGGTGGGCAGCATGCGTGCGCCATCGCCGCCAACCTGGGCATTGGCCGCATCCTGATCCACCGCTACTCGTCCATCCTGTCGGCGTACGGCATGGCGCTCGCCGATCTCGTCCACGACGTCCAGCTGCCCTGCTCCATGGACCTCGAGACCTCGCTGGACGAGCTCGACCGCCGTCTGGGCGAGCTCGAGGCGACAGCCGTGGACAAGCTCGTGGCCGATGGTGCGCCGCGTCACTCGATCAACTTTGAGCACTTTCTCAACCTGCGATACGTGGGCTCCGACACGACCTTTATGATTCCCCGACCGGAGAAGGGCACGTGGACAGATGCCTTTACGGCCGAGCACAAGCGCCAGTTCTCCTTTATCATGTCGGGACGCGACGTCGTGGTCGAGAACGTGCGCGTGCGTGCCACGGCATCCAGCGCATCGGTGGAGCCCGCCTTCAACCTCGAGAAGCAGCTCCGCGCGGCGTCCATGGCGGCGGTGGGGGGAGACAAAGTCTCTGACCGCGTCAAGATGTTCTTCGAGGCTGGCTGGGTCGAGGCACCGCTATACTTCCTCACGTCCCTGAGCAAGGGCGATGTGGTGCAGGGGCCGGCAATCGTCCTGGATGACACGCAGACCATCGTCGTCAGCCCGGACGCGAAGGCTATTATACTGGAGCGCCATGTTGTTCTGGAAAGGGAGCAGAAGACCGCAGCGCAGCCTGTCGAAGAGGTCGCCCTGGACCTGAAGAAGGTCGACCCCGTCACCCTCACCATCATGGGCCATCGCTTCATGTCCATCGCGGAGCAGATGGGCCATGCCCTCCAGAAGACGTCCGTGTCCGTTAACATCAAGGAGCGTCTCGACTTTTCTTGTGCGCTGTTCAGCCCCGACGGTCGCCTCGTCGCCAACGCGCCCCATGTAAGTCCAGTCTTCAGACACAGTTGAGAGTCGAGAGTCTCTGCTAACGCAAAGTTCAAGGTCCCAGTGCATCTTGGCAGTATGCAGAATGCTGTCGTGTACCAGCACGAGAAGTACAAGGGCCAGCTTCGGCCGGGGGACGTGATTGTGTCCAACCACCCTATCGCGGGTGGCACACATTTGCCAGATATCACAACCATCACCCCCGTCTTTGACGACGTAGGCAAGGAAATCATCTTTTACACGGCCAGTCGAGGCCATCACCAAGAGATTGGAGGCATCCAGCCTGGCAGTATGCCTGCTGGCAGTGTGGAGCTCTTTGAGGAGGGTGCGATGATTGTCTCCGAGTTCCTCGTCCGGGACGGCCATTTCGACGAAGACATGATTACCAAGATCATGTATGAGGAACCTGGCAAGTTCGACGGCTGTGCCGGCACCCGTAAGCTTGCCGATAACATCAACGACCTCAAGGCCCAGGTGTCGGCCAACGCCAAGGGTGCGTCGTTGGTCTCGGAGCTCATCGCAGAGCACGGTCTTACCACGGTGCACTTTTACATGCATGCCATTAGTGAAAATGCCGAGAACTGCGTGCGCGAGTTCCTGCTCAAGACCTACCAGGAGACGGGCGGGAAGCCTCTCTGTGCTCTGGATCACATGGATGACGGCACGCCCATCCAACTGACCGTCACCATCGACCCGGACACGGCCAGCGCCCACTTTGACTGGACAGGCACCGGTGAAGAGGGCTACCACTCTTTCAACGCACCCCAGGCCATCACGCGCAGCGCGACGTTGTACGTGCTGCGCTGCCTGATCAACCAAGACATTCCCCTGAACGAGGGTTGCCTGCGGCCCTTGACCTTCACCATCCCCGAGGGCTCCATCCTCAACCCTTCGCCTACGGCCGCTGTGTGCGCTGGCAACCCCATCACCTCGCAGCGCGTGACGGACGTGGTCATCAAGGCCTTCGCGGCATGCGCGGCCAGTCAGGGTGACTGCAACGTCTTCTCCTTTGGCACGGACGGCGACGTCGACGCCTCCGGGACACCGATCCCCAACACCGGATTCGGATTCGGCGAGACCATCTGCGGTGGCAGCGGCGCCGGGCCTGGGTGGCATGGCACGTCGGGCGTGCACATCCACATGACCAACACGCGCATCACCGACGCCGAGGTCCTAGAGAAGCGGTACCCCGTGGTCCTGCGCGAGTTCAACATCCTCCCTGGCAGCGGCGGTCGCGGTCAGTGGAACGGCGGGAATGGTATTCGACGCGTGTACGAGTTTGGCCGTGACATGGCCAGCTCCATCGTGAGCGAGCGCAGGGCGTACCGACCGTACGGGATGGAGGGCGGTGAGGACGGGGCCTGCGGGGTGAACTACATTGTCAAGGGGGGCGAGGGCGGTCGCTGGTGCCGTCTTGGAGGGCGCAAAGACTTCCGGGTGCAAAAGGGCGACTGGTTCGTCATTGACACGCCGGGCGGTGGTGCTTGGGGTGTTGGTTCTGGAGTTGGGGCTGGCAGCACGACCTCGGATGGGACAAAGCGCGTGGAGAGGCGGTTTGTGAGCCAGTTCCGACTGGCGCAGGAGGCTAGCAACTAGAGTAAGGCGATGAGCGGGAATGAGGACGAATTAATACCTTGTACTTGACCGAGGGTCTTTGAAGGAGGGAGTGGTGGTGAAAGTTGAAATGGCAGGGTTGTTGGTTGCAAGACTAAATGCCGACGACGTGTTCTACTTACCCTGTAGGAATAGGTGCCGCTTCAGCAAAGACGCCCCTATTACCTACATGTACATGTACATATATTTTGCCTCTGATCTTGATCATTGATCCCAAGCCCGCCTCAAGTGCTGATTCAACATCTCGTCAAGTTACAGACCAAACAGCAAAAATAAAGGCGAAGTCACGGCATGAGTGCATTGGGAATTTTACACCACAAGGACACGCTAAAAAGGGAATCATGAGCTTTCAGGAGTTCAAACGCACTTTAACATGCCTTAATATGCATAGCATCATTCCATACATCAGCCTTGATACGTACTATTATTTTGTTCTACGCTGTGCGTGGTTACAGCTGCCTCGAACATCGTACCACGCTCCCAAGATCAGTGAAACCCCAAGCAAACAAAGGTGCTAAACTCGGGAAACGTAACTACACGCTTGCATGAGAAAGATTGATTGCTGGGCAGATGGGCTTATCAAGAAAAATACGGACTCGTTGAATCCGGCTTTGCGGCCGACGTCTCATGCTCCCCTGAGGACTGGCCTGCCCCTGAACCAACCACTTCCAAAGCAAGGAGAACAGTGTGAAGAGCCGTGATATACGTGGCCCTCAAAGACAGTAAAGATTTTCAGGTCTAATCTTGGATGCGACCCAGCCCTGTTCTGGAAGCGGGGAAATAATACGTGGCAGATGTAGGGAGGTGGACAGGGGGAAACAGGAGCATGCTCACTGCATGTGTCCTCTACTGATCAGCGCGGTGCAAAATGCGTGTCCAGATGTACAGACAAGTTTGGGAATGCCGATCATATTCAATGAGAATCTGTGTATGTCTCAAAAGCGTGATATGTCAAAGGGCTTGGCAATCGTGGCAAAGATCCGTTCCTAAACGGCTTATGGAGACCGAGTCCTGATGGTGCTATGCATTACTTTGATTACATGCAGGTTGTTTGCTGTGTTACATGAACAAGGTGCCACAGTTATTAATGCAAAGCCCGTCCAGTGACAAAGAGAACTCCCTCTGTGCTTCTCCCATCACCTCAGTTGTCCTGCTGCCTTCATACGGCAAACCGCTCCCGCCCTTCATACGTACACGCAACGTCCACCCAAGATGCCCAAGCAAGAGGTCTTTGAACTACACCCAACGGGGTGGGAGTCGGACCCCCCGGAGGAGTTCTTCAAGCTATCCACGCTCGACTACTGCGTTGCGCAGGTATACACCAACTATGCCCTCTTCTTCAAGCTCACAGATGCGGAGAAACCCAAGGCTGTTTCGGTGCTCAAACGTGGCCTTGAAGTCACACTGAGCCAATGCCGCCAGTTGGTCGGTAGGCTTGAGAATCATCCGGACGGCGGGCTCTGCTTCCACAAAAAGAGAGAAGACACCGTTCAATTTCACGTACAATGGCTCGACGGACCAGAGGACAAGCACCCGTCCTTCTCTGAGCTTGAGAAACGCCACTTTGTGTCCAAGGCATTGGGGAACATGGACACATGGTGTGTTCAGCCCATGTCATATGGTGAGAAGCCCGAGGCCCAGCCCGCAAGCAACCCCAAGGCATCGGCCTTCAAAGCCAGCTTCATTGCTGGCGGGCTCATCTTCATGATGCATCACCATCATTATGCCAATGATATCATGGGCTGGGCTGGCGAAATGCACCAGTTGGCGGATAATTGTGCCGCTATCTGGAAGTCGTCCGAGGACATCCCAGCCTCTCTTCCCGCTTGGGACCCGGCCTGCCTGGATCTATCCAGGGTCACCGTTGCTGACCCTCCGGAGGAGCAGCGTGTTGATGGACCTGTGTCGCCCCTACGCCACCCTGACCACAAGACTGGTCAGTGGCTTTTGTTCCATCTGCCCAGGAGCAAGACTGAAGAACTGAAGAAACTGGCAAGTCCTGGGGATGGGAACTGGATCTCCAGCTATGACGCATACATGGCCTACATCTGGCGTGTGCTATCGAAGCATCGAGCCCGCCTTTTCAAGCCAGATCTCAAGCAGAATCTGCTATGGGGTGAAGCGGTAGATATGCGCAGACGCTTCCATGACCCCCCTGTGCCAGCCCGTATTCAAGGCAATGTTGTCTGGGTAGCGCTTAGTACGCAGAGTCCCGTGCCTCAGCTCACGGCTGAAGAGGTCATCTCAGAGGCACCACTAACTAAGCTAGCTTGGTACTGTCTTTCCCGTCCCCTCTGCTCACGTTCCCGCTGCTCTCTCCCCTTTGGCCATGTCAGCTAACATGGGCACCTCAATCTAGGTACATCCGCCAGCTCACAAACGGCGTCACGCAGGATGCCGTCAGTGCAGGACTCGCTGATATCGCCCCTATCCGCGACAAGACGACCCTCTTCCTTCGCACCGACAGCTTCCCGCCCATGAGCAACTTTACAACCGAGTGGCGAGATACGGCGCCCTGTGACGCCGACTTTGGCTTTGCTACGCCCTATGCCTTCCGTTTCCCCTTTGACACCGTCACTGCCGGTCTGACTGTTGTGTATCCGGTCCGGAAGAATGGCCCCGCTGGCGATGATGAGGGCAATGAGTTCAGCATAGGGTTCGAGAAGGAGCTCTCAAAGGGTCTGATTGAGGATCCGGAGTGGAACAAGTTCTTTGAGTTCAGAGGTATCGATGCCGAGGAGGGAAAGACCACAGCGTAGAGCATGTTGCTCCACCCTTTGAAAGTCCTGGACTCCTGGCTTTCAAATATCCAGCATAAACTGAGTGTTCGGGCTTAATCCAGTGAATGGCAGCCTCTTGGACGAATCCTGGGTCTAAAGTGCCGTCGTAATGGGGATGTATATGGATCGTAGGTTCTCTGGAACTTTCTGGAAGAATTTGTCTGTGCCCCTTCTCAATCTTTCTGTGATCTTCTGGTACTGCTCACGAAACTCATTCTCGCTCAAGACAAGGTCAAAGGGTCGCGGACAATCCGTGAGATAGTACGTCTAATAACAAAGGATGAGTAAATCGCTGGCCGTTGAGTGCATATCACAACTCGCTAATATTCTCAGCTACCAGCTGTCTACCTGGCACGGAAGGCTTTTCTTATCCCCTTACTTTAGGATCTCCGGTGGTAGTTGTCTCTTTTGGGAAGTAGTTCGAGTCATAGACATTATTTTCGGAAGGTTTTAAGAGAGTTATAAAGGTAGGAGGGCAAGGAATTACTATCTCGAGCACATTTCAACTTCAAGCGCTTACCATACAATGCACCTACAAGAAACGTGGTTGTCACAATTGGACCCAAGTAAGAATCGAGGCCATTGTGGGAAAATTGTCGCTCTTATGTTGTTGGTGAGTTTGGTGAAGTGGAAGGGTTGGGAATGATTATGCAGTTGTCAAGTGGGTGTTTATTTGTTTACCTTACCTTAAGTCCTTGACAACCGAGTTTATAGTTTATACTGAGAGTCCATAATTATTACTTGCCTTACCAGGTAAGGTCGAGGTACGTACCCTGTTTTGGCCCACTGTGGACCGAGCCTAGTCATTTACATCACGGGATTGGTCGGAGCGAGAGAGCCGTTGGCGGGGTCGGTGACTCCAGAACCCAGCCCCAACTTCGCGTCATCCTGCTGATGAAGCGCGTTCCCTCTTCAACACTGTACTTGTAGACTCTCGCGGACAACGTCCCAAATGACCATGCCAGGGCTCACAATACAGACTGATGTCGCTCCTCGCTCCCACTCTCCCGAACCTCCACCTGCCTCTCCCTTAACACCCACCGAAGAAGCTCCAGCGCCACCGCTCGCCCCAACCCAAGCACCGGCGGCAGCTATTGCCACGGCTACTCCTCGTCAGCCTTCCGCGCCTCACCCACAAGCCGAACCACCTGCCGTCCTCTCTCACACGACGCATCCTGAGCAGGTCCCGTCCCAACCAGTCCCACCCCCACAGCCCATCGACTTCGAGTCCAACACGGATGCCATAGCCATCAAGTCCGCCATCTCCATCCTCCAGCTCCAGAAGAAGCGAGCAGAGGAGCACATCCGTCTCCTCGACCAGAGTGCGCAGGCCGCGCGTGATGACCCACAGCGGACGGCCGAGTACCTAGCCAAGGGCGACACGAGTGACATGCCCTGGAAGGATGCCTTTCAGATGCAGAGCGTGGCGCACATGCCCAACGTCCGATGGAGCAAGTATGCGGTCGTGGGCGAGTCGCTAGACAAGATACACCAGGAGCAGAGCAAGCGGCCGCCCGACACCAAGCCGGCAGTGTATGCGGACGGGGTGTACACCGAGCAGGCATCGGCGAACTCGAGTACGGCCGGGAGGGCAGAAGAACATCGTGGCCCGTTCGCGGCGTACTCGCCCTTTGTGGACAAGGGGAAGCAGCCCATGGCGCCGCCCAAGAGCAAGAAATGACCGTTACGATGTATAATGCGACACGAATATGGAATGTATAGACACGACGCGATGCTCAGGCAATGACAAATTTTAATACCATTGATTTCTTCTTCACATCGTGTCATAATCAGGTCCTCATGGCACTGCCAGTATGATTATCTCCCCCCTGTAACTCCGAACGCCACAAGAAAGCCAGCCAATCTATATGTGTATAATTGCAAATCCCAACACCGGTCTATTCCGGAAAGTCACTGTGATCATGATTAGCCATCTTTCAAGGCGAGAGCTTTCGTCACACATACTCCATACTCTGCTGCACTGTTCGTCTCAGGCGGCGGTTGTACGTCTTTTTGCCTGCTTCGCCACCTTCCCAGTAAAGCTGGACAGCTTCTGGGTTGACAAACTTTCGCGGATCGTAGATTGGCTCGCCTCCCTCGAACACCGAGAAGATGGCGTCAATATGTGACCGCACATCTTCCAATCTATCCGAGTTCGGCGTGTAGCACACCGTGCCATCGGGTGCAACCAGGTGATGGAAGAGCTTCGTCTCGCACTTGACCCGCGGCTGCTCAGTCGGGAAGCGCGGGCTGAGGCTCAGCCTGATCCGGAGGAGCCCGCCGTCAAAGTTGGTGAAGGCTGGTCCGAAATATGTGATAACCCACACAAACGGGTTGCCGCCCTCCAGGTTGATGTGGTGGGCGAGCTTGCTCTTATGCATGTGCGCCACGACTTGCTCGTACTGATGCCGCAGGTTGACCGATACTGTGGTCTCGTTGCGCGCAGACTGTACTCCCTCGTCCACCCAACTAGCAGTCTCTTCGTCCAGCGCTTTCTTGATGTTCTGTAGTCGGTTCTGTAGCTGACCATAATTGAACTTGCCTTCCATCGCATTCTGGCCCGACGACTCGAATGGCATAATTACAAATGCTTCGCCATCTTTGGTCTCGGACTGCCCTTCTCTCGTGGCGGCTAGGTAGGACTCGTAGTACCATAAGAAACGTCTCTTGCAGAGATCTTTGAAAGGCTCAAACGGAGGCACAACCTCTGCCGCGTCGGCAGGGTCTAGATACTCTGTTGCAGCTGGCTTTTTTGTACCGTTTGGCCTCAACCACAGGTAATCTTCGAGACGCTGTATGACGGTCACACGGAGAGTCTCATGTCGGATCTAACGGGTCAGTCAGTTAGCTATAGGCAACCCAATTATTTCACAGTACCTTTTGTGCGTATTGCTTTTGAGCCTTCCTGTCGGCTTCGGAGCTGCAATTTTCAAACCCGGGCTCGTTTTCGTACGGATTGCTGGACAACAGACTCTGTATCGACAATAGAAGCGACTCGAGTCCTTGAGCGGGCGACCACTGCTCGTTGGTGTTGCCGCGCCATGTACTGCAAGGGTCAGAACCCAGTAGTAGGAGTAGCATGGAGCAACTTACCCCAGGATAGACCTGCCAATTCATTAGAACTACTGAGTTACGAGGGCTTCCACAAGATCTTACAGGCATACTCTGCCGCTGGAGTAGATATTCGGGTTGAACCGTGTCCGACCGGAGTTTGTTGTTGTGCACAGAACTTCAGGACTCTTGTCTGGATATTCTGCCCGTCTTCGGTCAGACTCGCTAGGTAGAACCAGATTAAGCATACATACCGCTGCCGATCTTGATGGTGAACTGGGTATGTTAGCCAGCCGTTACTGCGCAATGGTCACGCAATCTCACCTCGAAGAACCCAAATTCGTAAGGCGTTCTATGTGGCCCAAAGATCAAGGCTCGTATGTTGCGGACATCGATATCGCGACAGGCAACCGCAATAGCTATAGCTCATCAACACCGGACGCATGACGACGGCGACACTCTCTTGGGAATATGAACTCACAAAGTTCAGGGGATCGCTGTAGTTCGGAAAGTTCCTGCATGGCTTAGCGATAATGTCCCCGTCAATCTGCCTCCAGTTTCGTGCGCACCTTTGTGATCCGTATAACGGATTGATCGGATGGCATCGCGGTGCTTGCGGCGCTCTGACTCCTGAGCAGCAGGTCAGATCTGGCCGCGAGTATGTCAGGCGCTTATGGTCGTCACAGAGCAGGACCTTGCTCGCCCCCCAAATGCGGATCTGGGGATGTGTGTTAGATAAAGGAGTGAACGACCAACGGTGTCTCACGAGCAAAGGAAGGTAGGAACGGACGACTGGAGCTAGTGCACATGCATGGCAGACCCAAAGTGTCGCATGCCAGTGAATGTGAGCAAGTGATGAGTTCAACTGACATGGAGGCCAAGCGGCGCCAACCGGGGCGGGGCTAAACGGAGAGCGTCAGCTGCCTAGGTGGCAATCTGAATCAACCGTTGTTTTCCTCGCGACTGTCAAGCACATGGAAACAGCTTCTGGATGGCCTGTCGTCTAACACGCAAACATAACAAGCCCCTCGCGGCATTGTTTTCGGTTGCCGTGCCCCGGGCGCTGCATTGAATGCCCATTGTTATGTTAGGGATTCAGCACAGGCTGCTGCCATGTTTGCTTGACGGACATGGATTCAGGAGAGTCAACTCACGTAGCGATTGACATACTGATGCTACCCATAATTATGGCTTCACTGATTCTCATATACTGCCATGTTCTATGCGTTATGTGCAACACTTAACACTGTAAATGTTTGCCAGCACGCTGGACGTTTGCGGATACTGCCTGAGTACAGGGTAGCTGCCCCGACCGTTGACGCGGTGCCCCACCATCTCACGGCGGCGCGGCGCAGCTCCGACTTGATCGGCACGCCCCGCAATTCCAGACGCGCTCTCTAGGCGTTGACGCGTTAATGAATTTCAACCTCCGTCATTTCGCCCACAGCGAACTCAATCGGACATCACCCACATTCAACGTCAAGATGTCTAACTTCTTCGATATTAAGGCGAGAAAGGCGGCAGCCGCCGCCAGTGGCTCGTCAAGTTCGAAGCCGGAGAAGAAGGCGGATACGCAAAACCAGCCTTGGGTAGAGAAATAGTCGGTACTTGATGATGATACTTTCGTTACAGTACTGACCGCTCCACAGCCGCCCCAAGAGCCTTGACGATGTAGCCGCACAAGATCACACAGTCACAATTCTCCAAAGGACGCTCCAATCCTCGAATGTGCGTGTCGACCTCTGTGCACAGGGATGCTTCAGCTAACAACCTACAGCTTCCACACATGCTGTTCTACGGCCCGCCTGGCACAGGCAAGACGTCGACCATACTAGCCCTCGCGAAGCAACTGTACGGCCCTGAAATGGTGAAATCACGCGTTCTCGAACTCAACGCCTCGGACGAGCGTGGCATCTCCATTGTCCGGAAGAAAGTCAAGGACTTTGCCCGTATGCAGCTCACCAACCCACCCGCTGGCTATCAGAGCAAGTACCCGTGCCCACCATTCAAGATCATCATTCTGGACGAAGCCGATTCGATGACACAAGACGCCCAGAGCGCGCTGCGAAGGACCATGGAGACCTACAGCAAGATCACGCGCTTTTGCTTGATCTGCAACTACGTAACGCGCATCATCGATCCACTCGCGAGTCGATGCAGCAAGTTTCGATTCAAGAGCCTGGATCAGGGGAATGCAAAGAAGAGGTTGGAGCTGATCGCCCAAGCAGAGGGTGTGACTGTCGAAGATGGTACCATTGATGCACTGATCAGGTGCAGCGAGGGCGACTTGCGAAAAGCCATTACATATCTACAGAGTGCAGCGCGCTTGGTCGGTGCACTTGCGAAGAAGGACGGAGACGGCGACGAGGCGATGGACGTGGACACCAAAGCCGTCACTGTGAAGATTATCGAGGACATTGCCGGCGTCATCCCCGACGCGACCATTGACACTTTGGTGGACGCACTACGGCCTACGAGTACTGGGCAAGCCTATCAGACTATTGCCAAGGTTGTCGAGGAGATGGTGGCGGACGGCTGGAGCGCTGGCCAGGTCGTGAATCAGGTGAGTAAAGGACCGTTTCTGTTTTTATATACCATGACACAGGCTGACCACCTTAGCTTTACGCTGCAATTCTCGCGGACGAATCGATACCGGACGCTCAGAAGAACAAGATCGTCCTTGTCTTCTCAGAGATCGACAAGCGCTTGGTCGATGGTGCGGACGAGCACCTTTCCATGCTGGACTTGTCGGTGAGGATATCATCAATTATCTCGGTAAAATAAGAGGGCGAGGTCATTGGACGTGGAGTTGCGGACAATAGAGGCGTTGGGCGAAGGCAGAGTCTTCTTTACTACAAGGCTTGAGTGAATTACAATGACGGAGTTATCTCATATACAATCGTCCTGGCCGATGAGGCCGAGGTTCCCATGCAGGACAGACCAAATATCACCTGTCTTCTTCTCCTGCTTGGCCTGTCTCTTGTCGACCCCCGACAGCAACACATTGCCCTCGGCAAGGCCGTCCTTGGCTTCTACCTCTTCTTTGCCCTGAGCCAAGCCCAGAAGCCTTTCCAGTTCAGCTATAGCCTTGATCGATCCTTCTAAGCCCAGCTGGCCTGCTTCGATCGTTTCTGCCACGGCCTCTAAGTTTGCAATCTTGGCCGAATCAGATGCGAACATCCACGGCTTGATCCTCTTCGTGATATCCGGCACGTCGGTCTTCTTGGTCATAATATCATCGATAAGCCCCGAGCGCCTCCGTTGGGAATCCTTCATGGGATATGCTGGCAGAAGTTGGCTTTCCTCAGCGAGATGACCCAAACTCTGGCAAGCGTCTTTTGTCTGCTTGCTCAGCATGGCGTTGAGATGTGATTTGTGCGCAATCGAAGACCGCTGGGCTCTCGACAACGCGAGCAAACGCTCAATGTAGGGTATCAACAAGTGATTGACAGGCTGAGTCGGTGGTTTGGTAGTTGACCGTGCCTCTTTTGGCTTCAGCTCTGGCTTGGTAGAGATCTGCGGCTGGTGCTGGGCGAGCTCAAGTAACCGCGCCCTCTGAGCGAGATACTTTTCGTATTTCTGTTTGATGTCGGCAAGCCCGTGGCTGATCGTGGCTTGATCCGCCTCCCCACGACCAGTGCGTCCGTCCTCGCCATGTGCGGATTCGCTGGCAGACGCCGTGCTCAGCTCTCTTTCGATCCAAGTAATCAGCCCGTTACGTGTGGCATTCAGCGCCTCCATCTTGGCTCCGTTACTGATGACATCGGGTCTGTCGCGTGACCGCTCCTTGGCTTCTTGGAGTAGCCTCTCCTCCTGCCGCAACTGCAATTTCGACCTCAACACAATCTTCTCAAGCCGCTGTGCTTGACTTCCGAGGTCCGTGCCGGCCCTGTCGCCTGTCGAGACGAGGTCGTCGAGGAAGTCCTGAGGGACGCTGGGTAGTCGAGGACATCCCCGGAAGATCTCATCCGTGTCCAGGAAAGCTGGCGAAGCCGCCGGCTGGTCGACAAGCTGGTCAAGGTACTTGCGTACAATCGACAGTTTTCGTCTCTTCTCCTCCAATTTCAAAGTCGCCACACGCTCTTCCAGTGGGTTGATGTGATCCAAGGGGGGTGGAGGTACCCGCTCAGGGGTCGCAGGTCTCTGCTGGACCACGTCGTCCAGGTCAATTTTGGCAGCAACGTTGGCCTTGAGGGCCTCGAAATACTCGCGATGCAAGCCTTTGGCGCTTGGCGACGGCGCAATGATATCGCGAGACGTTCCTGCTAGGACCAACGGCTGATTTGCAGGGGCATCCTGAGAACATGCAGCGAGATGGAGCGCGATGATGCGGCGGATGTAGTTGACCTGCTCCAGAGGCTTGATGTACGGCTCGAGACCGGCCTTGATTTTCTCAATCGCTTCATCAGGCGCAGACATGCTTCATATGGTGTCGTTGCATCAATGGGATTATGGGACTGTTTGTTGACCGGACATTCTGCGCCACGCTTTGAGGATATCTGGCTGTGGTAAAGCAACAGCAGGGGTCAAGCCCATATCTGATCAAAGCTTGCAGTCGGCATTTGGAACAAAGGAATAATCAGAGAAATGCGGCCCAACCCGTAAATATTGACTCACATTAAATCGAGTAATTAGACCTGACCACTGCTTAGAATCGTAGCAAGCCAGATTTGAGCCGGTCTCTTGGTGTTGCTAATGTGGCTGGTGAGTCACTCAATATGTGGCGTTAAACACGCTAATCCGCAACAAGCTAGTCTCAGCTGCCCGCAAGGCTGGGTCGAAATTTACGTACCGTCCTCCATGATGCTGTTCTAAACAATTCGCGGTGGTGGGACGATCATTTTGCTACGCTGCAGCTTCTTCACTTGGGGGCAAAACGACTGGACTATCGAGATCGCGACGATATCGAGCGCGCAAGTCCCATATATGGTGGTCTAAAGCTCGAAATTGAGCTCACTGAGCTTCTGTCGACGACATCGACAACCCTCCCGTATCTCGATTCGAACCTCACACGACGTGCCCATCATGTCCGACCAACAGCGCGATGTGTCGCAGTACAAGTACTCGGCCATGTCCAACCTGGTTCTCCAGGCGGACCGCCGGTTTGTCTCGCGACGAACCGACGAGGCCACAGGCGACCCCGAGTCGATCGCCAACAACATCAGCATCAAAGACATGGGCGCGCGCGTGGCGCGAGAACAAGCGCCCAAAGCCAAGAAGCAGAGTGGCGCGGCAGGCATCCAACGTGGATCCGCACAGGAAGGCGAAGATGTGCTCCTGCGTGAACAGAGGAAGAGGAAGGGCGAAGCGCCCCAGGCGCGAGGAATGGGCATTCTTGGAACCAATGATGCCCTCATTGAAGGGATCACCTACCGGCCGCGAACGAATGCCACTCGTGCGACTTTTGATCTCATCTTGACCATTGTGGCGAGCAATCTCGGCGATGTTCCACACGAAGTCGTCGCGAGCGCGGCAGACGCGACGCTCGAATACCTCAAGGACGACGACCTGAAGGATCTCGACAAGAAGAAGGAGATCGATGACATCCTGGGCACGACGATGAATCCTAAGCAGTTCAACGAACTTGTCAATCTCGGCAAGAAAATCACCGACTACGATGCACAAGATGATGAGGAAGACGTTGATATGGATGGCGCCGGCGATGGCGAGATCGATGAGCGTGAGGGTGTCGCCGTAGCGTTTGATGAGAACGAGGACGATGACGAGGAGATGGTGAACGAGGTGCGCGATGAATCCTCGGAAGATGAAGATGAGGACGACGAGGCTGCTGATGCAGCGCAAGCCGCCAAAGACGACGCTATGGGTGCCGATGAGGAGATGATCTTGGATTCGGCCCCAGCCGCTGACAAGAAGAGTAAAGACAAGCAAGCAGTGCCAGCTCGCGACATTGACGCTTTCTGGCTGCAACGCGAGGTTGGCGCTCTGTACCCAGACGCGCACGAGCAGACCGACAAAACCAAGGAGGCTTTACGTATCCTATCCGGAGAGCCTGATGAGCCCGAAGGTGAAGACAAGTCCTTGCGAGAGATCGAGAACGACCTGATGGAACTATTCGACTTTGAACACCACGAACTTGTACAGAAGCTCGTCGAGAACAGAGAGAAGGTGTTCTGGCTTACGAAGCTTGCGCGCGCAGAGGGCGACGAAGAGCGAGCAACAATAGAGCGCGAGATGACTTCAGAAGGCCTGCAATGGATTCTCAACGAGCTACATGGCAAAGGGACAGACGGGAAAAAGGGGAAGATGGATATCAAAATGGACATTGATGTGCCATCATCCTTCAATGCCGAGGCGGCCAAGGAAGCAAAGGACGAAGGGCATCTTGTTGGTGGCTTGCAACCGCGGAAGACGGTCAACCTCGACAACCTTGTATTCGATCAAGGAAATCACCTGATGACCAATGCCAAAGTGCGGCTTCCCGAAGGCTCCACGAAGCGCAGTTTCAAAGGATATGAAGAGATTCACGTGCCTCCGCCCAAGAAGCGATCGGATGGCGCCGACACGTTAATACCCATCACCGACATGCCCGAATGGTCACGAACACCTTTCAGCACTGCCAAGTCGCTCAACAAGATCCAGTCGAAATGCTACCCCTCGGCTTTTGGAGACGATGGTAACATGTTGATCTGCGCTCCCACCGGCAGTGGAAAGACCAACGTTGCCATGTTGACGATACTGAGAGAGTTGGGCAAAAACAGGAATCCCGAGACGGGCGAGATCGATCTTGATGCTTTTAAGATTGTGTACATTGCCCCGCTCAAGGCTCTGGTACAGGAGCAGGTTGGCAACTTTGGCAAGCGACTCGAATCTTACGGTGTGCGCGTGTCAGAGCTGACTGGCGACCGTCAACTCACCAAGCAGCAAATCGCTGAGACACAGATCATTGTGACAACCCCAGAGAAGTGGGATGTCATCACGCGCAAAGCCAACGATCTCACCTACACCAATCTTGTGCGACTCATCATCATTGATGAGATCCACTTGCTTCATGATGACCGTGGTCCTGTGCTGGAGAGCATCGTCAGCCGAACCATCCGTAAGACTGAAGCTCTTGGAGAGGCCGTGCGCATTGTCGGTCTGTCAGCGACGCTGCCCAACTACCGGGATGTTGCCAGCTTCCTCCGTGTCGATGTCGACACGGGCTTGTTCCATTTTGACGGTACCTACAGACCTTGTCCTCTGCGCCAGGAGTTCATTGGCGTGACCGATCGTAAGCCAATCAAACAGCTCAAGACGATGAACGATGTCACGTACAACAAGGTCATTGAGCATGTCGGTCAGCACCGCAACCAGATGCTCATCTTCGTTCATTCGAGAAAGGAAACCGCCAAAACAGCCCGCTATATCCGCGATAAGGCTCTCGAGGAAGAGACAATCAACCAGATCCTGCGCCACGACGCCGGTAGCCGAGAGATTCTGAATGATGCTTCTAATCAGGCCTCCGATAAGGATCTCAAGGATATACTTCCTTACGGCTTCGGTATTCACCACGCTGGTATGAGCCGCGCTGATAGGGCTGATGTGGAGGACCTGTTTGCGCAAGGTGCCATCCAAGTTCTTGTTTGCACAGCGACATTGGCTTGGGGAGTGAACTTGCCGGCGCATACAGTCATTATCAAGGGCACTCAAGTCTACTCTCCTGAAAAGGGTAGCTGGGTTGAACTGAGTCCCCAAGACGTGCTGCAGATGCTGGGTCGTGCAGGTCGACCGCAATTCGACACATACGGTGAAGGTATCATCATCACGACACAGAGCGAGATCCAGTACTATCTCTCCCTTCTCAACCAGCAGCTCCCAATTGAAAGCCAGTTTGTCAGCAAACTGGTCGACAACCTCAATGCTGAGATTGTCCTTGGCAACGTTCGCACACGCGATGATGGCATAGAGTGGCTTGGGTACACGTATCTTTTCGTACGCATGCTGCGTTCGCCAGGTTTGTACCAAGTCGGTGCTGAGTACGAGGACGATCCAGCTTTGGAGCAAAAGCGAGTGGACCTTATACACTCTGCTGCCATGGTGCTCAGGAAGACCAATCTTGTCAAGTACGATGAAAAGACTGGGCGTCTGCAATCCACCGAGCTTGGCCGCATCGCGTCACATTACTACATCACCGCTGTGTCGATGGAGGCCTACAACAACCACATTCAGCCTTCTATCACGACTATTGAACTGTTCCGTGTTTTCGCATTGAGCGCCGAGTTCAAGTATATTCCCGTGCGACAAGACGAGAAACTTGAACTAGCTAAGCTGCTCGGCCGTGTCCCCATACCTGTCAAGGAGTCGCTCGAAGAGCCGAATGCGAAGATCAATGTGCTTCTGCAGGCATACATTTCTCGCCTCCAGCTTGATGGTCTAGCTCTGATGGCTGACATGGTCTACATCACACAGAGCGCTGGCCGTATTCTCCGCGCGATCTTCGAGATCACCTTGAAGAAGGGTTGGGCATCTGTGGCCAAAACAGCGCTGGACCTTTGCAAGATGGCAGAAAAGCGTATGTGGCCTACCATGACACCATTGCGCCAGTTCCCCTCATGCCCTCTTGATATCGTTCAGAAATCCGAGCGGATTGACGTCCCGTGGCAGAACTACTTCGATCTTGACCCACCACGCATGGGTGAGCTGCTGGGCATGCCCAGGGCCGGTCGGACTGTATGTGGCTTGGTCGCAAAGTTCCCACGCCTCGAAGTGCAGGCACAGGTCCAGCCAATGACGCGGTCCATGATCAGGGTCGAGCTGGCCATCACCCCCAACTTTGAGTGGGATGATAGCATTCATGGCGCAGCCGAGAGCTTCTGGATACTTGTCGAGGACAGCGACGGCGAGGATATCCTCCATCATGAGATGTTTGTGCTTCGCAAGGACTATGTCGAAGCGGAAGCCAGCGAACACATTGTCGACTTCACTGTGCCTATCACCGACCCTATGCCCCCCAACTACTTCGTGACCATCGTCTCGGATAGGTGGATGCATGCGGAGACCAAGCTGGCGGTGCCCTTCCACAAGCTCCTTCTCCCAGAGAAGTTTCCTCCTCACACCGAACTGCTCAGAATGCAACCCGTGGCTGTGGATGACCTCAAGATCGAGAGCTACACCAAGCTGTATCCCGACTGGCAGGAGTTCAACAGGATTCAGACTCAGACTTTCAACTCGCTGTACAAGAGTGACAACAATGTGTTTGTCGGTGCACCGACAGGCAGCGGAAAGACCGTTTGCGCGGAATTCGCCTTGTTGCGACACTGGACAAAGCCTGATTCTGGACGCGCAGTGTACATTGCCCCCTTCCAGGAATTGATCGATTCCCGTCTGCAAGACTGGCAAAAGCGCCTCAGTGGACTAGGAGGCGGCAAAGACATTGTCAAGCTGACGGGCGAGACAGCGACTGACATTAAGTTGCTGGAGAAGGGCGACTTGATTCTAGCGACTCCTACACAATGGGACGTACTATCCAGGCAATGGAAGCGCCGGAAAAACATCCAGACCATTGGCCTCTTTATCGCTGATGAGGTACACCTACTGGGTGGGGCTCAAGGTTATGTGTACGAGATCATTGTCTCTCGTATGCACTACATCCGAACCCAGATTGAGATTCCTTTGAGGATTGTAGCTCTGAGCGTGTCGCTCGCCAACGCCCGTGACATTGGCGAGTGGATTGACGCGAAGAAACACGACATCTTCAATTTCAGTCCTCACGTCCGACCCGTTCCTCTCGAACTACACGTCCAAACCTTTACAAACCCTCACTTCCCGTCACTCATGCTGGCCATGGCTAAGCCGACGTACTTGGCCATCACGCAAATGTCGCCGGACAAGCCCTCTCTGGTGTTTGTGCCGACGCGCAAGCAGACCCGCCAGACCGCTCGTGATCTTCTAGCAGCGTGCCTTGTGGACGACGATGAGGACCGCTTTCTTCATGCGGACAAGGAGGCCCTTCAGAAACTCACTAGCCGGGTACACGAGGAGGCGCTTGCCGAGTCCCTCTCTCACGGTGTCGGTTACTACCACGAGGCTCTGAGCCACAATGATCGAAGGATTGTCAAGTATCTGTACGACAATGGTGGCATCCAAGTGCTGGTAGCATCGCGCGACACCTGCTGGGAGCTGAACAGCACAGCGCACCTGGTCGTCGTCATGGGCACGCAGTACTTTGAGGGTCGCGAGCACCGCTACGTTGACTATCCGCTCAGCGAGGTCCTGCACATGTTCGGCAAGGCGCTGCGACCCTCGGCTGAGGGCCGTGGTCGTGGCGTCCTCATGCTGCCACAAGTCAAGCGCGAGTACTACAAAAAGTTCCTGAACGAGGCATTGCCTGTGGAATCGCACCTGCACAACTACCTCCACGACGCCTTCGTCACCGAGATCAGTACCAAGATGATCGAGTCTGGTGACGACGCGATCAACTGGACGACCTTCACCTACTTCTACCGCCGTCTCCTTGCCAACCCAAGCTACTACAGCTTGACGGGCACCACACACGACGACTTGAGCAACTACATGTCTGACCTTGTGGAGACCACGCTGAGAGAGTTGGGCGAGTCCAAGATCATCGACTTTGACGAGGAGGATGGTTCCGTATCGCCACAGAACGCCGCTATGATCGCGGCCTACTACAACATCTCGTACATCACGATGCAAACCTTCCTCCTGTCGCTCAGTGCGAAGACAAAGCTCAAGGGGATCCTGGAAATTGTCACTTCTGCTACCGAATTTGAGACCATTCAAATCAGGCGTCATGAGGAGGGCATTCTTCGACGCATCTATGACCGCGTGCCTGTCAAGATGGCGCAGCCAGCTTTTGACTCGCCTCATTTCAAGGCTTTCGTCCTGTTGCAGGCGCACTTTTCACGCATGCAGCTTCCCATCGACTTGTCCAAGGATCAAGAAGTGTTGCTGTCGCGTGTGCTGAGCTTGCTGAGCGCCATGGTCGACATCCTGTCCTCAGATGCGCACCTAAACACCATGAACGCCATGGAGATGTCGCAGATGGTGGTACAAGCCATGTGGGATCGGGATAGCCCTCTCAAGCAAATTCCTCACTTCACACCTGAGGTTGTCAAGGTGGCAAACGACCATGGGTATGTGTCCTCTTCCACTTCTGTAAAGTCAAACGCTAACAAAACTCGCAGTATCAAGGACATCTTTGATTTCATGGAGGCGATGAACCCGGAAGAGAACCCCGACCACGGAAAGCTCGTCAAGAGCTTGAAGTTCTCTGACAAGGACCTGCAGGAAGCTGCCGAGTTCATCAACAACAAGTACCCCGACCTCGAGCTGGAGTACGAGGTTCTCGATCCCGAAGACATTGCCGCAGGCGACCCTGCTTATCTCAGTGTGCAAATCACACGCAACGTCGATGAAGAGGATGAAGGCGAGGTCGACACCACAGTTCATGCACCGTTCTACCCCTCCAAGAAGATGGAGAGTTGGTGGCTTGTCGTGGGCGATGAGAAGACCAAGAACCTCCTGTCTATCAAGAGGGTCACGATTGGCAGGGAACTCAAGACCAAGCTTGAGTACACGCTCCCTGCGGCTGGAGATCACCAACTAAAGCTCTACCTGATGAGCGACAGCTACGTGGGCGTCGACCAGGAGCGAGAGTTCTCCGTAACCGCCGCTGAAGGCATGGACGTGGACGATGAGGAGGAGGATGAGGAGGATGAATAGAAGGGCAGACGCGATTTTAGCCGTGCGCTCATGAGAGCTCCGGCTGTGTACGACACATGGAGGACTGGACACGGCGTCATCTTAGGCGATCATCTACGGTAGGCTATGAATAGGCATTTGCGCCCGAAGAAAACGGTATGCGGAAGATGTACGAGTTGAGGAGAGTTTCCCAGTCTAATGAGCGGTTATGTGGACCGTTGGTGGTGCGACAATGCTGTTGAGGCGGAAGCTGACGGATAGGCCCCCGCATCAGCTCTTGGTTCAGGGGGGGCCGAGGAGGACCAAGGACGCGTCGACTGGCTGCGTCGCCTTTCGAAATATGGCAGATTGATATAGAAGGAGGCGAGAGCAAGAATAAAGGATGGAATTTCGAATGCACATGGTCTAGGATGGATAGACTGCCTCGTGATCTGACGTGAACGTCGCGTTGGAAGACTAATGTTCAACACCCATCACGTGACCCACTTTGCGGTGACGTTGAGCAGTCATTTCTCCCTCTTCCAATGGCGCAGGTCGGTGGCTAGCCAGTCGCCATCCTTCGTTTCCGCTCCTCGAGTGTTTTTCTTCCGTCACCCACTGCAAGGTCATCATCGCCTTCCGCCCAACACACCAAACCTGTGAACGACGGACGTCTCGATAATCACCTCTTTTGCATCTCCTATCGCGCATCGCGGATTGCAATTGTCGGATCACATCGAGCACGAAGAAATTCCGCCCGAGGAACGCGACTAGGCGCGCGTGCTAAGCGAGTTCGCGCCGCCCAAGCTCAATCAAGCTCTCCGCGCCACGCGCCATCACCACTCAAAAGCGCGCCATCATCATAGGATCGCTTTGACTTTGCAATTTCGACGCGACCATCATGGCAGACCAAGTTACTGAGAAGCCCGACGTCGCGGCACCCGCGACCGAAGGCAAGGACGCTCCCGCCACCGACCCCAAGCCAGACCAGCAGGAATTGGGCAAGGATGGCGAGGCCAAGACAGAAGGTAAGCGCATCCTAGGGTTGCATTGGTCGGACGCGCATTGTTGTTCTTCTGGCACGACTGCATTAGAACACCTGTCATGCGTCGCGCCCATTCACACGCCACGCTAGTGTATCGTGAACCCGAGCTAACTAGAGCGCGTCTACAGAAAAGAAGGAAGAACCTGCAAAGGACGATGGCGAGTCGAAAGAAGAAGAACAGAAGCCTGCCGCCGAGGAGGATAGCGAGATGCCCGATGCTGGCGAGGCCTCCATGGTCGACGCAGATCAGTCTCTGGCTGACACGACCGCAAACAAGACCCCCGCAAAGGCGAATAACAATCGGCGGAAGTCGACTGGCGGCAAGAAGTCTGGTGGCAAGAAGGGCGCGAAAGCCAAGGTCTTCTACCTGGACGCGAAGCCTGGTGACCACTTTCTGGTCAAACTCAAGGGCTACCCTGATTGGCCCGCCGTTGTGATTGACGAGGACATGCTCCCCGATCAGCTCAAGGCGAACCGACCCACGACAGCGAAGCAGGCTGATGGAACCTACAACGAAAACTACGCCGATGGCGGCAAGCGCGTCGGCGATCGGAAGTTCCCCGTCATGTACCTGCACACGAACGAGTTGTGAGTATTATCTCTACTGGTAGAGAATGCGATCGCTAACTAGTATCCAGTGGCTGGGTTGTCAACACCGATTTCCAGGGCCCGCTGACGGCCGAACTCGCCGAAGAGACGATCAACAAGGGCACCAAGCTACGCAAGGATCTTAGGGCCGCCTTCGAACTGGCTGTCGAGCAGCATGATCTGGACCACTACAAAGAGGTTCTGGACGCTCACAAGCAAATGATGGAAGAGGACGCGGCCATCAAGGCTGCCGCTGCCGCTACACCCAAGAAGAGCAAGAAGAAGGGCAATGACGACGACGACGTCGACATGGCTGATAGCGTCAAGAGCAAGTCGAAGAAGCGCAAGGCCGAAGACGAGACTCCGCAGCGCAGCGATTCCGTCAAGAAGCCCAAGATCAAGCTGAACACGTCGACCAACACACCCAAGGCAAACAATGGCGCGGCAGCCAAGGATAGCTCAGCTAAGAAGACGAAGCAAAAGAAGGGCGACAAGAAGGACGCTCCTCAGGACACGCCCGAAGAGCGATTGGCTCGCAAGCAGAAGGAAGTGCTGTACCTTCGCTACAAGCTCCAGCGTGGACTTCTGTCCAAGGATGCGCCGCCCAAGGCGGAGGAGATGAAGTCGATGGCTGAGTACATCTCGATGCTCGAAAACATGCCCAAGCTCGAGGCCGTGGTCATCAAGGAAACGAGGATTTACAAGGTGATGAAGCAGATCATCAAGCTGTCCAACATCCCTCATGAGGAGGAGTACCAGTTCAAGAGCCGATCGCAGAAGCTGCTTGACGGCTGGAATAAGACCCTGGCCAGCGACGAGTCTTCGGCAAATGGTGTCAACGGCGCAAAGGAGTCCCCAGCTGAGGAGAACACCAATGGTGAAAAGACCGAGGCGACTAAGGAACCTAAGGAGCCTGAGAAGGCTGCCGAGGATGCGGAGAAGACCAATTCCGCGCAGCCTGACTCTGAGAAGACTCTGTCCGTGCAGCCCAAGTCGGAGAGAACCGTATCCGCACAGCCCGAGTCGGAGGCGGAGAAGAAGGAGGACAGCGAGACGAAAGCAGTAAGTTTAGCTTCCTGAGTGGCTGGCTACTCATTGCTAACCCTTGTTAGGAGGCGAGTACCGTCGCGGCCACGGCGTAGAGTCGAGTCGATCTGAGCAGAATATGGCGGTGATACATTCGTGGGCATGTGGCGATATTCCTCCGCGTGATTGAATTGGGCGTTCCGGGTGATTCACTTTTTTGAAGGCCGAAAAGATAGGTAGCGAACGGGCCGTGTACAAGTAAGCGCTGGCATGCAGCGAAGCGCACATGGAGGGCACGGCAACGTGTTGGTGATGGCTTCCTCACAGGGAGGGCGCGGGCGATGCAGGCATCTCATCCATCCGCCAGCCAGACAGCAACGGATAGATGAGCATGGGTTTGTTTGTTGAGATAGGCTACGGAGGTCTGGCTGTATATGAATTCTCCTACGCTAGCAAATTATGGTTCTCCGAGCTTGAATACAGCGCCAGGTCATTCATTCATCGCGACTATGTGTCCTCTGAGGAGCTGTCGCAGGGAGGTTATTGGACAGTGCGTAATCTTTCCTCGTGCGTAGTTATCGCTACTCAAATACTGTGCGTACATTGTCTGTGCACCGTACACACTACGCGTCCCACCTGCCAAAACGCGTCTCACCCATGAACATGGTCGACTCAATGTGCAACTACTGATCGTCGAGCACCACAGCGAGCACAATGGATCCTGAACGAGAAGATACCGATTTGCTTGCTCAGCACGACTACCAGGTAGGCGCTCTCGCCGTAATGGAACGACCAATTCTGACACTGTCATAGGCAGCATACATCTTCGATCCTGAGAATGGGGAGACCCCAGGACGGCCATCGAAGAAGCGGAGGGTGTCAAAGCAAACTAAAGTAGTCTCTTCAACAGCAGAAGACTCAACTCTGGGATTTGTTCCTTTGCTCAATGGTGCAGAGAGGCCCGATTTCGTCAAATTGAGGGCACAGCTGTACCGCGAGAGCTGGGGCAAAGTCGAAAGTCGGATTCAGGTAAGAGCTGGCACTGGCAGGTTGAGCGGAATTTGGAGCTGAACTGGACAGGATGCGTTACGAGAGTCAAATTCGGTGACTTTGGACCAGGTGGCTACCTTTGTGGGCGAAGCCAAGACATCTGCGTGAGTGAAGCACAACCCCATGAATCTGAGCATCAACGTACTAACGAGTATCTAGAGACGACAAGATCCCATCAGCCTTTATCATCACAGGGTCAAACCTAGCTTCGCAGAATCTTCTGTTCGAGCAACTGTCAGAATCTTTACAGGCGGCCTCCAAGAGCAAATTTGTCAGGTTACGATCTTCCGAGGCGGTCAGCCTCAGAGCTATGCTGAAGAAGATCATCCGCGAGGTCACTGATGGCAAAAGCGACAGCGCTGGAGAAGATTTACAGATGAATAGCGGTCAAGACGTGAGTGGATTTCATTTCATTGACGAGGCGTGCGCTGACTGAGCCTGGCAGATCCGCCGGCAATATCTAGATTACGATCTCGAGGCACTACATGCGTATATCAAGACTGATCCTTGTGAACATATCTTCATCGCGTTTGAGGACAGCGAAGGGTTCGAGAGCGGTCTTCTCTGTGACCTTATCCCGCTATTCAAGTAAGCCTACCTTGCATCTAGACAATCGTCAAAGATACTGATTCACACAGCGCATGGCGTTCGCGCGTGCCCTTCACCCTGCTCTTTGGCGTCGCGACCTCAACCGAGTTGTTGCAGGCCCGTCTGCTCAAGTCGGTCTGTCAGCAGATTTATGGGGCGCAATTCGACGCCGTGCAGTCGGGTAGCATCCTGGAGAATGTCTTCAAGATTGCCGTGGCAGCAGCAGATGTGCCAGTTCGAATAGGCGGGCCACTTCTTCGCAGCATGTTGGAGCGACAGCAGGATCAGGTGGCGGGCATCCAATCCTTCGTGAGCTCCTTAAAGGTACGTTATGACACCATGCCCTGGAACCCTCTCACCTTCTCTCTTCTGTCACGTGGCTGGCTCCTCGTGTCGCCTTTCTTCCCCAAAAGGGCGCGTTCAACTCCTCACATGATGACTGGCTGGAACATTGTCGTGCACGCTGTCTCAGTAGCCATGCAGGAGCTTCTGACGTGGACTGTTGACTGACTCGACTAGTATGCATACATGTGTCATTTCTACGCGAATGCACTAAGCCCGATACTCGCCGCCCCAGATCACGGCGCTCCTGCGCTTCAGGCCGAGCATGTCGAAGCCCTCCAGAATAGCTCTTCCTTCCAAATTGCACTGGAGAAGGTCATTGCCGAGAGCGACGTGAGCAATGTGAACGATCTGAGCGCATTCTTCATGCAGCAGGCTGCAAACTTGGCTACGGACTGTGGCTCCCGGGCGGCGGCCCAGAGACAGACATGGGTCAGCTGCGCGCTTCGGGGCCTAGAAGTTCTTCGAGCCGTGAGCACCACAAGCACCGACTTTTCCCAATCGTACGTCGAAATGATGACAACTGGGATATCACCGGCGGACGATACCATGGCACAGTTTACAGACCGCGTAAGACGAATGGACGCCGGAGCATTGCTCTTGTTCATCGGCAGGGTCATTGAGATATACACGCACGGGGACGAAGAGCTCAAACTTGGGCCTTCGAGCGAGGCAGAGCACGCCGCGCTACTGACAAAGCTGACAGAATTAACAACAGAACTGACACTTCTTCAAAAGGAGGCCGAAACAAAAGGCATATCGCTTCACAGCAAGTACAGTGGCCACAACACCACTGTCCGGACGACAGTCATCAGACAGCGAGTTCATCTGAGCAAGGACACGACGGCGCTGAGCGAGGAAGACAAACAAATGACGCGCATCGTCGACGACACGATTGCCGCCATCACGGCCAGCCTCGACGTGGTGCCACCGAATGAGGTGTTCCTCGCTGAGAGCTGGCTCTACGATTCGAAAGCGCCATCGCGAGACGTCTTTGTGCCACGTCCCCGCGTCGTCTTTGAGCGCAGCCTCGCTCGACCTAGCGACTACCTGGCTTGTGAGTGCTGTACAGAGGGCCACGACGGTGTACAGCCGACTCTGCCGACAACGTCCATCCTGTACCAAATGTATCTAGAGACGGGGAGTCTCATCAACGTAGCTGATCTGTGGACTGCTTTCCACGCCGCAGTGAGCAAAGAGGAGGAGGACGAGCGCAAGGTGCTCGTGCTGTTCTACCGGGCTCTGGCTGAGCTGAGAGCCCTCGGCTTTGTCAAAGGCAGCAAGAGGAAGGCGGACCATGTGGCCAAACTGAAGTGGCTGTGATTGCGAGACGAGGCCATGTGCGTTCCCGTCGGCTGCCCAGCAGCGCCCCGTTGCAATCGGGCATCGAAGACGGCGAACAGGCATTTGTACACACAGACATAGGAGATGTATCATGGATGTGCGGGGTGCGGGCAAGCAAGCAAGCAGGGCATGAATTAATTAATAACAGAGAGCGGCCCTCGGTGGCACCACGAGGACAACGAACGAGCGAACAAACGGTGACGATGCGTGCTCAGTTGTTCGTTCCCGGCCATTGTTCCGGAGCCTGACGCCTTTTGTCTCAGTCGGACGGACAGGCCAGAGACGTGGCATTCCAATCCGATTTGCTGCGACGGACCTCATGGCGGCTGCCGCCCCCAGCCACTCACCCAGCTGGGGCCACTTCTTGTTCTTCTTCATGTCTCCCCTGCCCACTTTTGTTTTTGTTTGTCTCACCAGCGAAAGCATGGTCCAGGTTCGTCTTTGCCTTTTGACTGGTGAGGACCGCACAAAGACAGCATGCACCAGAGACAACACCGTCTCAAAGAGAAGCGCCCTGCCGTTGTGGGCGCCCACAAAGAGGCGGTCTGGTGATTGAAAGCGTTCTTTTTTGTTCGCGGTCCTTTCGTCAGCCCGAACAGCCTGCCTGCCAGCTTGCCAGCCTGTCAGTCAGGCTGCCGCGTGCGGCGGGTGCGTCGATGGCGCATGCGTTCGCGCGCATACAAGAAGGCCGTATGCGGCAGTTCGGATTGAGTCTCTCGAGTCCATCATCGTTCTCGTGCATGCATGACCTGTCATTGCCGCCCAGCTCAGCGATTCATTTATCTCTTGCCTCGCTCTGCTTGGACACCATCGCCTTGACTTACACATCATCGTCACCACCATCACTACTATCACCGTCACAGCCGTAGCTACATTGACAGTGAGAAGCCGACAATTCTGGCATTAAGACCGAGGCCGGTGCTCCCCCAGCCCAAGGCATTAATTACCACCACCACCACCACCCCATCATCAATCAATACGCGCGCCCACCATGTTCCGCCGCGAGATGCCTTCTCACCAGCAGCCTCACGAGGCGCCCCAGCAGCAGGCACCACCACCCCAATCCTATGAGACTCACCCAGAGTACGTGCAACGGCGCATCGCCACCAACCCAGCCTTTGCGCACAAACTGTCACAGATGCGTCTCTGCCTGTCGCCTCTTGTACAGGTCAACACCGGCTGGGTGCACCCTGCCTTTCCCCAGTCCGTCCTGCACTTCTGGCTCCTCACGGACAGTCAGCTGGAAGGCTTGGCGAGCTTCTACCACCAGCGCACGCCGTCGACACTGTCGCGCCAGTACCCCTGCCCCATCAATTGGCGATCTGATCTGCCCTTGGAGGAGAAGCGCAGGAAGATTGGGCGCTTCATTGGACTTCGAGGCTGCGAGAGCCCAATCATCTTGAAGACGGAAGAGGAGATTGCCGAGGAGGCGAGGATGGCGCGATTGAGAGAGGACGAGGAGATGTGGAGGCGAAAGAACGCTCCCTGGTGAGAGAGTAAGCAGGCGCCTTCCTGGCCTGCTCGCACGTTTCGTGGTTTCGGTCTGCATTAGCATTTGGCGTCCAGGGCATCTCGGTTGCATCATCAAGAGGGATATCATATATAGCATTCGTTTTTTCGTTTTTGACTTTCTCAATACCTATGCATTCAGGCTTGATCCAGTCTTGTCCTCCTGTTCCAACCAGTCCCAGAAAAACACCCCCAACGCCATCGGTCTATGCATATCATGGTGTCGTAGCGGCCGCCTTAAGCCCTTATGCCTTGGCGGCAACCTTCTTCTTCTTCTCGGGTGTGTCGACCAACACCGCCTCGTCCGTCGTCGAGCTCTTCTCCGACTCATCGAGCTCCTTGATCAACTCGCTGCCAATCTCCTCCTTGCGCTTGGCCCACCACGCCTTCTCAGACTCGACGGTGTCCTGTATCTCATCGATCTGCTCCTTCATGCGGTCGTTCAGGAGAATCTCGTTGGCCGATTGGAAGATGATCTGCCCCCACTGAGGCGAGAGCGCGTTCGCCTCGCGCACCACATCCTGCAGTTCCGCCTGCATCTCCGACTCGGCTCGCTGGAACCGCTGCCACAAGTCGTCGCCGACGCTACCTCTCTGCAGTAGCGAGCTGCACGCCTGCTTGGCCGACCGGATCTGCACTAGACGCTGGAGGTCCTCGATGGCGCGACGCAGAAGTGCGGCACGGACCATTGTGACGGGGATCTTCGTGGCCTTTTCATCTTTGGGGTCTTCGGGGAGCATGTGGAGGAGGGTGAGGTAGATGTCGCGCGAGACGTGCGGCCCAAACCAGGGCTCGAGGTTTGCGCTGCGGGCTGTAACGTGTTAGCCGCTTGCAAAAGCCGCAAAGAGAGTACAGGGAAACATACCAGCCTTGCGCTTGCGGTAGATGGTCGAGAAGGTAGCCAGTGCACCGCCGAGGACAGCCAAATAAGCAAAAGGGAGGGCGAGGCCCTTCCAGTCGACGTCGAACATGATGGCTGCGTCTGCGTTTTGTGTTGTTTGTTTTCAGATAGGTGATACTCAGACGCAATGAATCTGGCAAACAATCACTTGAGATCCGTATGTGAGGAGTGGTAGAAGGAGTGGTGGTTTGCGACGGCGTATGTGTTTAATGAGGTGACTTTCCCACATTCAAGTGGCATTCGTGTCCAATACACACGTTCCCCCGACGGCAGTCGTAGCTTCGGATCCGGGGCGCGGACGAAGGTGGGATGACCGGCGCATATTTGTTCCGGCGTGCTGCAGGCATCATAATGATGACGCTCCAGGCAGGAGGGACCGGACAGAGCTGTCACAGCGTGTTGCCCCACACAGAGTTGCTCAGTCTGGAAGCTTCACCAGCGCGATTCGTTTGATCAGTGATTCTTTGTCTCTCTCTACCTATCTTAGCCAGCCAAACTTGTTTTCGCATTCTACCTTTCCCACTCCTTCGCTCGGCACGGACATCTCCCAAAGCTCTTCCTCCATCCACAACCACGGAATCACAGCCAAGTTTCCCGCCACCATGCTCCTCCGCTGCAGAGGGCCAGACGGCATGTTCCGGTTCAATGTCGAACCGACGACTACCTTTGGCGAACTCGTGCAGAAGATGGTACAGGAACTCCCGAAACCTGTGGATCTCTCGACTGTCAAAGTGTCCAGCTCCCCAGCCAAGGACTTCAAGGACATTCGAGAGGTGGCCAAGTTCAAGGTCGGGTCGGTGGGCATGAAACACGGCGACTGCCTCTTTGTGAACTACACCCACGCCGACGAGGCGGAGAGAGCAACGGATGGCGATTCGAAAGCGACGACGACGGCCCGCCTCAACGGCAAGCCCGTGCTCCCGACCGAAGACGCCCCCATCAGCGCCAAACCCGAGCGAATCTCGAGACCGTGGGAGGTTGTCCGACAGTCAGAGCTCGACAACCGGCTAGACCGACAAGATGGCAAGATCCCGCGGGGCAAGGGACGGATGTGCCGTCATGGGCCAAAGGGCATGTGCGACTACTGCCAGCCTCTCGACCCCTTTGACGCCAGCTACCTGGAAGAGAAGAAGATCAAGTACACGTCGTTCCACTCGCACCTGCGGAAAGTCAACGCGGCAACAAATAAGCCTGAACTTGGAGCATCCTATATACCGCCTCTGGTAGAGCCGTTCTTCAGGGTAAAGCATGACTGCCCGTCTGGCCATGCACCCTGGCCCGAAGGTATCTGCACCAAATGTCAGCCGAGTGCGATCACGCTGCAGCCGCAGACCTTCCGCATGGTGGACCACGTCGAGTTCTCGTCACCTACGATCGTCGACAATTTCATCGACACATGGAGGAAGACGGGCGCGCAACGACTGGGCTTGTTGTACGGAAGGTACGAGGAGTACACCGAGGTGCCCTTGGGCGTGAAGGCTGTGGTGGAGGCAATCTATGAGCCACCGCAGATTGACGAGATGGACGGGATCACACAAAACGTCTGGGAGAACCAGAAAGACGTGACAGAGGTTGCCAAGATGTGCGGCCTCGAGCCAGTCGGTGTTATCTGGACTGACTTACTGGACGCGGGGCGAGGAGACGGATCGGTGGTTTGCAAGCGCCATGCGGACTCTTACTTTTTGTCGTCGCTGGAAATCTGCTTCTCGTCGCGATTGCAAGCGCAGCATCCCAAGCCATCCAAGTGGAGTGACACGGGGAGATTCGGCAGCAACTTTGTCACGTGCATCATCACAGGCGACGAAGAGGGTCAAATCTCGATATCATCCTACCAAATGGCCAACTCGGCGGTGGAGATGGTCCGTGCCGATATCGTCGAGCCTTCAGCGGACCCCAACGTCATGCTCGTGCGGCCAGAGGAAGAGGATGATGGTTCGGTCAGTCGCACGCGGTACATTCCCGAAGTCTTCTACCGGCGCGTGAATGAGTACGGCGCCAGCGTACAGGAGAACGCCAAGCCATCCTTCCCCGTCGAATATCTCTTCGTCACACTAACCCACGGCTTCCCGGCGCAGCCCAAGCCCATGTTCACGCAGACAGGCTTCCCCATTGAGAACCGCGAGTACATTGGCGAGAGCCAGGAGACCCTCGCTGCCAGAAAGGCCCTCAAACTTGGCGCTGGACAGACACCTGATAAGCAGGGACAGGAGGTGTCCAATTTCCATCTCCTGTGCTTCATCTTGCAGATGGGTATTCTTTCCAAGGTCTGTCTATTCTCTTCTCCCACAGTGGGTATGACTGACGTGAACAGGCCGAGGCTGCCTTGCTCTGCCGCGTGGCCAGCCAGCACGACCTCGGCGAAGCAGCGCAGCTACGGGCCACCGAGGGCTGGCAGAACATGCAGGCCATTCTATCCACGACCGGTGAGCGACCCCCCAAGCGTCCGCGCGACCCACACAACCCCTCCACTGCCGCTGTTGCTTCTTTGTCCCGCGATCATGGAGGTGAACCGCCTACTAAACGATTTGCTGCGTTCAGGCTGAATGAGAAAGAGTTCTTCGGAGGCGGGGGGAAGACTTAGTTGCTGGGAGCGGGCTGCATGATCTCAGTATTGCAAATGGGCACTCGCATGGTCACATAATACAACGTTGCATCTGGGGAATCGATAGACTGGTGGCATATTCGGCGCAAGGCAGCGAGACAACAGCTCATGGAGTGAGAGGGAGCATTTTAAATGAAGAGTCGCTTGGACGGTATTATACTCCACATACTGCAATACGCATGTTCCCCTCTGCTAGCACATTCGGATTAGTCTTCAATGGTACTAATTCATGGTCTTGCTGGCGGGAGCCCTTAAACTTGAGCAGCGAGAGGACGTTGGCTGTTAGTACCCGCCAATCAGGATGCGGCCTCTTCCCCAACACGGAAATCCCGTTCGGCAGCCTGCGGTGCTGTCAGCACATATTGCTGTTCCTTTCTATTCGTTGCGAATGCCATAATTACGTCTACAGTGACAGCATAAAGCGTTGAGATGCGCAGCTATTGAATCTAGAGCACGGAGCTTGGGCTTAGTGTAACAAAGTCAATAATACAGACAGTCACGTAGAACTAGCACCACGTCCACACGGCGGGCAGCTGAGCAAGATCATAAGTGAAGAACATTGCGTGATGATTAATTATGATACAACAATGGCAGAAGACAAATGAGACTCCTCATAGACTGAGCGTTTGTCGTGGCTCAACCTCTCCGTTCCAGCATTGGCTGACACTGGTGACGTCCTGCTTATTGCGCGCCCTCCACCTTCTTGTTGTCGAACGTGATGGGCAGGGTGTACGTGTACTGGGACGACGAGGAGCCATCGCTGTTGGCCGAGCTGCTGCTGAGCTGCCCGTTGGATCCGGCGCCACCAAAGTCGAAGGTGATAGTGCTGGAGCCGCCGACGCTGCCAGAAGAAGAGCCACCAGCCGATCCGGAGCCTCCAACTGACCCAGAGGCACCGGCAGATCCAGAGCCACCTAGGCCAAAGAGCCCTCCACCAGACCCAGAGCCACCTAGGCCAAGGAGTCCACCGAGGTTGAAGCCGCCGTTACCACTTCCACTCCCACTTCCGCTGCCACTGCCACTGCCACTGCCACTGCCTATTCCACCTAGGCCTCCCAAAACACTGCCGAAGCCGTCGGCGATGCCACCGACGATATTGCCAGCCAGGTCAGCAGCTCCACCAGCAATGTCGCCTCCAGCTTGTGCCAGGGCTCCCGCACCTTGGGCAAAAGCGCCAAGCGCTCCCTGAGCAATAGCACCGGCAGTACTGGCGGCGCCTTCCGCGATGGATCCAAAAAACTGGGCAGCAGCAGCAGGGAGGTTAAGGCCGCCGGCCGCAAAGTCTCCAGACAGCCCAGAGAGGCCGACGAGGACGCTGTCAAGATCACCGAGGCCAATGTTCCCGGACAGATCGCCGAAACCAAAGCTGCCACCGGCGCCTCCGCTCCCCGAGGCACCGCCCGATGCACTGCCAGAGGCACCACCGGAGGCATCGCCAGAAAAGCTCAGACCGCCTCCACCAGCCAGACCACCCAGGAGCGAGCCGAAATCAAGGTCCAAGGCACCACCAGTGGCTGGGTTCAGATCTCCCTGGAGGCCACCGAGACCTCCAAAACCACTCAGGAGAGTGTCGAGACCATAGTTGAGCGCACCGCCCTTGGCAGCCTCAATGGCCCCAAATAGACCCACGAAACCGCCCAGGCCAAGGTTCACAAGACCCTGAATGGTGCCGCCAATGTTCTTGAGATCCAAGTCTCCCGTAAAGTCGCTGAGATCTATGCCAGGGAAGTAGGCTTGCGCGTTGCCGCCAGAGAGGATCGACTCAAGGTCAAAGTCCGCACCGCCAGAGCCGCTGGTGAGCGTGCCGAGATCAATCACCAGGTCACCGGGTTCGGCGACACCACCCAATTCAAGGCTCAGAGCACCATTGTTGGATGCACCATTGATGGCTTTGGTAATGTCATCCAGGGAAATGCTGCCCGAGCTGCTGCCGGATGCGCTGGCGTCGAAGCCAGAGAGACCGGAGATATCGAGACCAGTGTTCAGTGCACCATCATTGTTGGCACTGCCACCACTGCTGAAGATGCCGTTGAGCAGACCACCAAACTGACGCTTCTCATTCTCAGCGGCGTTGATCTCGCCAGGGATACCGGGTGTAGCCGTAGGGGTGCTGACAATCGAAGTGCTGAAGGTCGTCGAGGGAGGAGGAGGCAAAACGCTGCCCTTGGCACCGCCTTGAGTATCTTGGGACAGGCGGGAGAGGAAGGGAATCGGGGCGCCGGCACCTCCTGCAACACCACCCAGACCACCACCAAGTAGGTTTCCAAGATCCAGGCCACCTCCAGCGCCGCCTCCGACACCTCCTGCAACACCACCCAGCCCACCGAGCAAGGTTCCAAGATCCAGACCGCCCCCAGCACCTCCAAGAAGACCGGTGAGTCCTCCAATACCACCAACTCCTCCGAGAAGGCTAGTGAGCCCCCCAACGCCGCCGGTTTGGCCAAGGAGGCTGGTTAGTCCGTTAACACCACCGACTCCTCCAAGGAGATTGGTGAGTCCTCCAACGCCACCCAGTGGGCCAAGGAGACCGGAAAGACCATCAAGACCGCCGACTCCCCCTAAGAGACCAGTGAGTTGCCCAACACCACCGACTTGACCAAGCAGACTGCTAAGCCCGTCGCCACCGCCAAGCAGTCCTAGAAGGCCGGTAAGTCCATCAAGACCACCGACACCCCCTAGGAGACCAGTGAGGCCATCAAGACCGCCGAGTCCATTGAGTAAGCTGGTGAATTGTCCAACGCCGCCGGCTTGATCAAGCAGGCTGCTGAGCCCATCGGTGCCGCCAACCTGTCCCAGGAGCCCAGTAAATCCATCAAGACCCCCGACTCCCCCTAGGAGGCCGGTGAGTCCATCAATACCGCCGAGCTGACCAAGCAGGCCGTCGAGCCCATCAACACCACCAAATTGTCCTAGGAGACTAGTGAGCCCCCCAACGCCACCAAGTTGACTAAGGAGGCCGCTGAGTCCATCACCACCACCAACTAGGTCCAGGAGGCTACCAAGCCCTCCAGCACCACCTACTTGGCCGAGGAGGCCGTCAAGTCCATCAAGACCGCCGATGCTACCCAGGAGGCCGGTGAGTTGTCCGACACCACCGACTTGACCAAGAAGGCCGCTGAGTCCATCAGCACCTCCAACCATTCCCAGGAGGCTTTCGAGACCACCAAGGCCGCCAAGTTGTCCGAGGAGGCCGCTCAGTCCTTGAACGCCGCCGAACTGGCCAAGAATACCCTGAACATCCATGCCGCTGGCACCGCCAAGGAGGCTGGTGAGGCCTTCAGCCCCGCCGAATTGGTTCAGCAGGCCATCCAAGTTCAGGTCACCACCAGCGCCACCGAAGCCTCCCAAAACGCCGGAGACCGCACCGGTAGCAGGCGCGAGGGCTCCTGTGCTGATGCCGCCGCCGAGGGACCCCTGGCTTGATGAGGTGGCAGACGACCCCGTAGCTAGGCCTCCAGCATTACCAGCCAGATCTCCCAGGCCTCCAGCCAGATTACCAAGACTGCCTGTCGCGCCTCCAAGACCTCCCGTGACCCCGGAGAGTGTACCTCCAAGACCACCGGCGCCGCCAACTCCTCCAAGACCTCCTGTGACTCCAGAGAGTGTGCCAAGACCGCCGGCGCCGCCTACTCCGCCAAGAAGCGAATTAACAAGCGAGAGAACACCGTCCGTGGCTCCTGAGCCGCCGCCTACGCCGCCACCAAGAAGTCCGGTCAGAGCGTCAAGCTGACGGCGGGTTTTGTCGTGCTTTCTGTTCTTGTCGCGGGAATTGCCCAAGTATCCGCCAATTTGCCGTTTACCGAGCATGTTGAGATCTGGCCCGAGGCCACCTTGCAGGAGGCCACCGATGAGACCCTTCAAAGAGTCCTTCTCGTTCACGGACACATCGATGCCCTGGTCCTTCAATGCTTTCAAGACCTTGGCCAGGATACTGTCAACGAGGTCCGATCCCTCAATGGTGATGCCACGCCTCTGGTCCTCTTTGGAGTTGGGACGTGTGTTGGACATCAGACCGCCAATCTGTCGAGCATCGAGCGCCATGCCCTGCGTCAGCTGCGAGCTCTCGACATCGTCGCGAGGTCCCGTAGAGCGCGTAGGCGCGGCAGCTGCAACGCTGAGCAGTGCGGCGGCAACAATAATAGGCTTCATGATTGTGTGTAAAGAGTGATGTGTTGAGTAATGAATGCGTCACAACGATAAAGTCGAAAAGAGGGAATAGGCACTGAAAGATACAATCTACTCAGGCGTCGAAGTTGAAGCCGCTGTTGTTCGATAGGGAACATGGCTGACACCTGTTCCTGATGGACGACCATCTTATACCCTTGATGAACGGGAGATGCCATGCCCGGTAGACGTCCTTCCGAACATGGTCTGTCTCGGACTCGGTCAGTCCCATATGTCGGGTGAGCATGTCCAGGAATGCGATGTAACCAAAGGACGTACTGCCTAGTCCACAAGAAGCGAGTTTTTGAAACGCATGCCTTTGTGTGTTTGTGTGCTTGGCTTTGAAAGAGATACCGGAAAATGGCGTCTGTCTAAGTGATATTAGACTGGGCGACGACTGCCGCTGGACTGGAATGCCGGGTGATTCAGATGCTGGTGAGCTCGGTATTACAATTGGACGCGGGTGAAAGGGTCATCGCGACACCATTCCTCTTCACGAGTAAGCATATCTCCTCAATTCAGAGGGGAATTTGCATGCTTTGTAAAGTGACTGCGCTTCATGGGGTTCGGGCCTTTGGGCCATTATTGGAGGCTGGAGCCAAGGCCCAAGGGAGCACGACGATGCCGAGCCCAGTTCAAGGAGGGGCTCGTAAGGGAGCACCATCTTGGCCCGGATCTCGGTGCCACGTACCCGCATGCCCATCCCGGTCGTCATGTTGCGAGTGCCCTCGGCGACTGGGCGAGCAGCGGATCGGTGCTTGGGGGCAGGGCAATGACACCCGTTGAGCGTCGCTGTCATGTTAGCTGTGGGCCCAGGCTAAAGCCTTGATGTTCGTGCGCAGTTGGGTATAGCTCGTGCGGAGGGTCGATAGCCCAGTATAGCCAAGGGGCGGCAAGGCAAAGGTTACTGCGCGAGCGGCAGTTTTCATATTCTTGAAGCGACGATGTGTTTGTGGTAGGCGCGCGCGTGGTACGAGGCAGGAGGATGTAGTTCCAAGGTCACGTGAACGGTCAGGTGAGATGAGTTGCCCCTTTTGACGACACACTCCGATGTGGACGTCGTTACCATGAGTAGGCAGAGACCTGAGTAATTTATAAATGAAGCAGTCGTTGCTTTGTTCCGCCAGTTCGGGACCCAGAAGGGCAACAGGGACTCTTGTCCCGCCCATTCTGTGTCACGTTTTTATCCTGATTCCCAGGACCTGGATCGGTCGGTCCGTCCCACGACTGGGGCGAGAGAGACCAAGCAGGTCTGCAATACATTGCGTATTCTTAGTAGACCAAAATTATGTTTGTATGTGTATCCAAGATAGACGGGTTAAGTATTATTTTCAGAGGAGTACTTACACCGGCCACCGGACGTCAAAACAAGCCCACCGTGTTCAGGGGAGACGCGGATGACACAAGTGCCAACACTGGGTGTAAAATGGAGATCCAAGCATATATGGTGAATAATTTTGAAGCGCTTCGGCGATAATGAGTCACTTTCGGTGTCAGCGAGGCATCATGTCCCATTGTATTCACAGTTTTTTTTTGACGAAAATGTCCTTCGTCTTTGACAAACACACCTATACAGGGTAAGTAGGGCTGCCGATGCCGGCTAATGTGACGCACGGCACGGCGCACGAGCCACCTGGCGAGCACGTTTAGCGTCATCTTTGCTGCGTGGTCGCCGGCACTCGTTTCTCCAGCTGCGGTGTCGGCGATGAGCTTTCATGTACATGAACTGACAAGACGGACAGGCACATGAAAAAAGGCCCTGACATTTGAAGCTCGACGACCAAGACAGCAGATACTGCCCTGAGATTCCCCAGAAACACACTTCCTTGACACCAAAAGGCTGCATCCCAAGACTCCCGGTGTCTGTCGCGTGCCCGAAGTGTTGGGATTGCAGCGCGCGCAGATCCCTATCGGATTGATATCGCCGGCCTCTGATTGGCCACCCACCTCACAGTCCCATTGAGCTTTCAGCGCCCACCCTGTCAGGTCGGGACAGAAAAAAAAGAGTCACCGACTATCTCACAAGGCCTCCTTCTTTCCCCCCAAAGCGCACAGTCAGCTTCTTCTGGACGTCCTACCCAGTCAATTGGGATCCTCGACGCTCAGGCTGCCCGCGGCTCCGAGCCAGTAAGCCAGTACAGCCCCAGCTCTCGCCATGCTTCCTGCCGCCTACACCTCGACCCTCGCTGGCCGCGCTCCGGCTTTGCTCCGATGCGGACGTAGGGTCCCTCAGACTCTGCCAGCCCGTGCCTTTAGCAGCGCCGCCCTCAATGGGCAGAAGAGGGCATCGCTCCAGTCCAAGCTGACGGGCCAGAAGCGATTGGGCACCGTGTCCGTCCTGCGCGCCTACAGCTCAGCCGCCGATTCCGCGCCCAACCCCAAGGCGTACATCGACAGTGGGGTCATCAAGCCAGCGCAAAACGTCAATGTGAAGAAGGTCCTTGTCATTGGCAGTGGAGGTCTCGCCATTGGCCAAGCCGGCGAGTTTGACTACTCAGGTTTGTCCGACGCGACGCGACAAGAGGCATCGCAACATGACTGACAGACATGCAGGCTCCCAGGCCCTCAAGGCCCTCAAGGAGGCTGGCGTCGCGTCGGTCCTCATCAACCCCAACATTGCGACTATCCAGACAAACCACTCCCTCGCCGATGAGGTGTACTACCTCCCCGTCACACCCGATTATGTTTCGTACGTTATCGAAAAGGAGAAGCCCGACGGCATCTTCCTGTCCTTCGGTGGCCAGACGGCCCTGAACTTGGGTGTCCAGATGCAGCGCCTCGGTCTGTTTGAGAAGTACGGCGTCAAGGTCCTCGGCACCAGCGTCAAGACCCTCGAGACTTCCGAGGATCGCGACCTCTTCGCCAAGGCGCTGGGTGAGATTGACATCCCCATCGCCAAGTCGATCGCTGTCGGCACCGTCGAGGAGGCTCTCGAGGCCGCCGAAAAGGTCGGCTACCCCATCATCGTCCGTGCGGCCTACGCGCTCGGCGGTCTCGGGTCTGGCTTCGCCAACAACGAAGAGGAGCTGCGCAACATGGCTGCGCGATCGCTCACCCTGTCGCCCCAGATCCTCGTCGAGAAATCGCTCAAGGGCTGGAAGGAGGTCGAGTACGAGGTCGTCCGTGACGCCAACAACAACTGCATCACTGTCTGCAATATGGAGAACTTTGACCCTCTGGGCATCCACACTGGCGACTCGATTGTCGTCGCGCCCAGTCAGACCCTCAGCGATGAGGAGTATCACATGCTGCGATCCGCCGCCATCAAGATTGTTCGCCATCTTGGTGTCGTGGGTGAGTGCAATGTGCAATACGCCCTCCAGCCCGACGGCCTCGACTACAGGGTCATTGAGGTCAACGCCCGTCTCTCCCGATCCTCCGCGCTGGCTTCCAAGGCCACTGGGTACCCGCTCGCCTACACCGCAGCCAAGATCGGTCTAGGCCACACCCTGCCCGAACTCCCCAACGCCGTGACCAAGACCACCACGGCCAATTTCGAGCCCTCATTGGACTACATGGTCACCAAGATCCCCCGATGGGACTTGTCCAAGTTCCAGCACGTCAAGCGCGACATTGGCAGTGCTATGAAGTCGGTTGGTGAGGTCATGGCCATCGGCAGGACCTTTGAGGAGTCTTTCCAGAAGGCCATTCGCCAGGTCGACCCCAGGTTCGTCGGTTTCCAGGGCGACAAGTTCGAGGACCTCGACTACGAGCTGCAGAACCCCACGGACCGCCGATGGTTGGCCGTCGGCCAGGCCATGCTCCACGAGAACTACTCCATTGACAAGGTGCACGACCTCACCAAGATTGACAAGTGGTTCCTCGGCAAGCTGCAGAACATTGTCGACATGAACCACGAGCTCGAGAACGTCGGCGCTCTCCACAAGTTGAAGAGGGAGCAGGTCCTCAAGGCCAAGCAGATGGGCTTCTCCGACAAGCAGATTGCCATGGCCACCAAGAGCACCGAGGACGAGGCCCGTGCCTACCGAACCAAGCTCAACATCCGCCCCTGGGTGAAGAAGATTGACACCCTGGCCGCCGAGTTCCCTGCGGACACCAACTACCTCTACACCACATACAACGCCTCCTCTCACGACGTGACCTTTGAGGACAGGGGCAAAATCATCCTCGGTAGCGGCGTCTACCGCATCGGCAGCTCCGTCGAGTTCGATTGGTGCGCTGTCAGCGCCACCCGGGCTCTGCACGAGATGGGCGAGAAGACCGTGATGATCAACGTAAGTCTGGATTTCATCGATCCCTTTTCCCTTCTCGAGGCCTTCTGAGCGTGCGCTAATGCTATCCCAGTATAACCCAGAAACAGCAAGCACTGACTACGATAACGCGGACAAGTTGTACTTTGAGGAGCTCAGCTACGAACGTGTAATGGATATCTACGAACTCGAAAACGCAACTGGCGTCGTTGTGTCTGTCGGTGGCCAGCTTCCACAGAACATTGCTCTGCGTCTACAAGAAAATGGAGGCGCCAATGTGCTTGGCACTGATCCCAAGGATATCGACAAGGCCGAGGACCGCCAAAAGTTCTCCGAGATCCTTGACAGCATCGGCGTTGACCAGCCCGCTTGGAAGGAGCTTACGTCTGTGGCCGAAGCCGAGAAGTTTGCCGATGAAGTTGGTTATCCTGTCCTTGTTCGCCCCAGCTACGTTCTTTCCGGCGCCGCCATGACTGTCATCCGCAGCCAGGAGGACCTCAAGGAGAAGCTCGAGGCGGCCAGCAACGTGTCGCCCGATCACCCCGTCGTCATCACGAAGTTCATTGAGGGTGCGCAGGAAATCGATGTTGATGGTGTCGCCGCCAAGGGTGAGCTGGTGATCCACGCTGTAAGCGAGCATGTGGAGCAAGCCGGTGTGCACTCTGGTGATGCCACCCTCGTGCTCCCCCCCGTCAACTTGGATGCCAGCGTCATGGAGCGCTGCAAGGACATTGCACAAAAAGTCGCCAAAGCATGGAATATCAGCGGTCCCTTCAATATGCAGATCATCAAGGCCGAGGGACCGGATGGCGAGGTGCAGCTCAAGGTCATTGAGTGCAACCTGCGCGCCTCCCGCTCGTTCCCCTTTGTCAGCAAGGTCCTCGGCCAGAACTTCATTGACGTCGCCACCAAGGCTCTCGTCGGCAAGGACGTCCCCGCGCCCACCGACCTGATGGCCGTCAAGCGCGACTACCTCGCCACCAAGGTGCCTCAATTCTCCTGGACTCGTCTGGCTGGCGCCGACCCGTTCTTGGGTGTCGAGATGGCTTCCACGGGCGAGATGGCATGCTTCGGAAAGGATCTGGTCGATGCTTACTGGACTTCGCTACAGTCCACCATGAACTTCCGCATGCCGGAGCCTGGCGAGGGCATCCTGTTTGGTGGAAACGTATCCAAGCCATGGCTCACGCAAGTCGCCGACTATCTCAAGCCATTGGGTTACAAGTTCTACGCGGCTGGCGACGATGTGAAACAGTTCCTCGAGTCCTCGTGCGAGGGAATCAGTGTGGAGGTCATTGAGTTCCCCAAGGAGGACAAGCGTGCTCTTCGCCAAGTCTTTGAGAAGTATAACATCCGAGGATGCTTCAACCTGGCGCAGGAGCGTGGCCGCACCACCCTGGACGTGGACTATGTCATGCGCAGGAACGCGGTCGATTTTGGCGTTCCTCTATTCATGGAACCCCAGGTATGTTTAACTGATCCTTCCCCTGCTACAGCGACATGCGCTAACGCCCGGCAGACTGCCATCCTGTTCGCTCAGTGCATGAGCGAGAAGCTGCCCCGCAAGGAGGGCATCCCTTCGGAGGTCCGCCGCTGGTCAGATTTCATTGGCGGCAAGCCATTGTAACGCATATTCGCGTGGCATCTTTGTTTCGGCTGCAAGGCTGCTGTCCGGGATGGAATGTGGTAGCCGTTGTTGGTTTCACGGCAATAGATATTCCACACAAGTAGTTATTATCTTTATTTGTAAGACAGAATCGTAGTATCTCACACTAGTGGCCTTTAAGTTCCATTTCCGTCAACCGCGTGTGCTACCAAATAAGGTCACCTCATATCGAACGCCAGGCCGGAAGTTTTGAGAAGGTAACGAGCGCGTTCTATTCATTAGTCTTTCGGCGCTTGTTTCAACGGATTCATCGAGGGATGTGTTGTTGTCAAGCATACTACATCTGTGATTGAGCATGCCGGGTGAAGTCAAGTGTGGCAGACGGTGTGACTTGTGACATAAAGGCTCCCTACCCCGTTCCCTCTCTACCTCGACTTCAGTGTCACAAATACGGTTCAAGAACGTCCTGTGTGTGTTTCCAGATCCTTTCCGTGGCCCTCTCCCGCAGGGCCGACAGGACACCCGCATTTAGCGTACAGTCGTTCCTGTAGTTGACAAGAAACAGACCATTCACTAGTTTCCCAAATGTGTTCACGCCAGCCTTGCCCGTCCACGGCACGCCTCCACCACCGTAATATGCACTGGTACTCATGAATAGATGCCGCTGACCAGACTCTTCATCACTGAAAGAGAAGATGCGAATCAGAGGCTCAAGAAACAGCCATGCGAGCCAGGCTTTCCAAGAATTCGGCTCAAAGCCTCTCCTAGCATTGCCCGTGTCCACCCAGCCAGGGTAGGAATGGATAAAAGTCACACCAGGGTTGTCCGCCGCCAATTTATCCAGCGTCGCCGTGTTCATGGTCGCGGACAGCATCTGGGACTTGATAGGCCCAAAGCTGCCAGGCTTTTCCATCGCCAGATCATCCAGGTCAATGCTGGTCGGTCTCTCCATCAGACCACCGCCCAGTACGCTGACGACCCTGGCCGCCTCCGCCTCTCGGAGTAAAGGGAGAAGCTGCAAGACAAACACCATCCGCGAAAAGTAGCCCAAGCTCAGCGTGATTTCGATACCCTCGGTCGTCTCCTCGCGCGGTCCAAAGGGCGCATAGCCCGTGGTGAGGAAGAGTAGATCGACATGGCTCTCTCTGCTCTTGATGACTTCGCACACTCTCTTGGCGTCTGCCAGGAGGGAGACCTCGCCTTCGATCCAGATGACCTCCGCTTTGGGGTTGGCGGATTGCAATTCGTTGATGAAAACATGCGCCCGGTCCTGAGAGCTCTTGCGTCCAATGAGGTAGATACGAGAGCTTGCACCAGTCGCGACAAGAGCCTTGATGGTCAATTGGCCGATGCCAGATGTACCACCGACGAACACGGCGACGCGCGGAGCTGTCGAGTCATTGATGAGTGTGTTGGAGGCTTTGATGTCAGTGTAACGAACCATCTTGGCAACGCAGATACTGAGACGCTCTGTTGTCAGGTATTGAAAAAGTAAAGAGACTCATGAGAAACTGAGAGGCAAATGTGGTAACATGGTCTCATTGATGCAGTGATACAATGAATATATACTTGTATGGTTGAGTGCCATCTCTGAGGCGTAGCCCCCAAAGTCCGCTCATGGACTGGTACTCCGCAACGCCGCAAAGGAGGGGCGAAGTGCTCTCAATAAGATTAGCAGCTCTGCATGCGGACTGAGTCCTAGGGGCAAAGTGCCAGGATGCTCACCTATCCTGGCAATGCTCCGCGATGAAAGCTGCTGTGGTACGGGGTAAGGCGGTTGAAGGAGCTCAGGAGTAGGTGGTTCTGAAAGATCACGTGATCTATGTAATCGTGACTGTGCTTGACCGGCGATACATATACCCGCCCCGCTTCCGTGATGGTGGGGCTCCAACAAGGTAGACGTCCAGCACTTGATCGACCTCTGATTGCTTGACCTCGTTGACGAAACCCACTTCTTCCTCGCAACCGCATCACTCACTTCACTCAGCCTTCACTCAACGCCAACAACATGGGTACCGTAGTGCTTCCGCATCTGAACTCCGGATGGCATGTGGACCAGGCCATTCTATCTGGTGTGTACTCAACCTCCTCCCTCGACGGATGTCCGCCCGCCCCTCAGTCCTACTAACACTCTGTGCAGAAGAAGATCGGCTTGTCGTGATTAGATTTGGACGCGACCACGATCCGGTAAGCTCAAGCGAGTGAACGAGTGTCCAGATCACTAACACGTCTTTTAGGACTGCATGCGTCAAGATGAAGTTCTTTACAAGATCGCCGACAAGGTCAAGTCTTTCGCCGCCATCTACGTCTGCGACATTGACCAGGTGCCCGACTTCAACGTCATGTACGAGCTGTACGACCCCTGCACGATCATGTTCTTCTTCCGCAACAAGCACATGATGGTGGATTTCGGCACTGGCAACAACAACAAGCTGAACTGGGTTCTTGAAGACAAACAAGAGCTCATCGACATTCTGGAGACGGTCTTCAGAGGAGCACGGAAAGGTCGCGGTCTGGTGGTCAGCCCCAAGGACTACAGTACGCGCCACAGGTACTGAGTTGCCCCATTACGGCAAGGAACGAAGCAGCTCGGTGACACCTGTCGTCAAAGCGTGTCAGGGGGGAGGATGCAAGGCAAACAGGCATGTGCAGAAGCACTAGGTACGTGATCAATCGCATTCAATCGGTCAAAAACAATTACTCAAGTTATCATCAAGTGCCACCAACACCATGAATGAGTCAAATTTTGACCCGTCTAGAACGTATAGCGGTAGTCGGCATCCTCCTGTATGATGACCCCCTGCGTCTCGGCCTTTTTGTTTTGGCGCTTGAACCACCACCACATCAGGCCGACCAGGACAATGAGCAGGAACTGCGTCGCAACGGCACACCAAACCCCCGTTCGGTACGTAGGATACTCTGTCTGCATAAAGGTGCACGAAGCGTAGACACCGCCCAGCGAGGCAAACAGCATCTGCACGCCACTGGCGACCGAGCGGCGTGAGTCGCCGCGCACATTATTCGACTGAAAGGCGATGATGGTCGGCAGGTTGCCGTTGCATCCAGAGACACCAAGGAAGACACCAAAATAGCGCACAGCATTGTTGCCGTGGTAGGCCGTCAACAATAGGCCGGTCAAGGTGATGGCCGCGTTGAGCACCATCCACGGCATTCTGAGTCTCGAGCGATCCGCGCACCAGGCAACAGCCAATGTCCAGATAATGCTGAACAGATACGGCGGCGCACAAAGAAGGAAGACCTTGGCTGTCCCGTAACCGAGTGTCGTGAGGATGATTTGGATAAAGTATGCAAAGGCGTAGATTGGCGCACTGCAGCAGAGGAACATGAAGCCATATACCCAAAGCTCCCAGCGTGCCGCATGGTGCAGTACTTTCCGGAACGTCAGGGCGTCCGGCTCAGCGTCGCCCCGATCCCGCTCCACTCGATCGAGTATTGTCTGCAGGTCGTCTTGGGAAAAGGTCGACTTCTTGCCCGACGCCAAGAGCTGGTCTGGGAACGGCAGCGTGAAGGCGTACCCCAAGAAGGCGAAGCCGATGGTGATGGCGCCCTCGATGATAAAGATCCATCGCCAGCCTTCTATCCCATGCGCGCCGTCCAGCTTGATGAGTGCGTACGCCAGGATGTTACCAAAAGCGGACACGAACAGATTGATCATGTACCAGAGCGCCATGCGCTGCTGCACCTCGTAGCGCTGATACCAACTACTGAGCAGGTACATACAGCAAGGCAGGAACCCGGCTTCGAGGATGCCGATGAGCATGCGACAGACGACGATGACGCGCCAATCGTTGGCGAAGCCCATGCCCAGCATGACGCAGCCCCAGCTGAACACCAGGCTGTTGAGCAGCAGCTTTGGGCCCGCCCAACGTAGGATGAGTGTCGTGGGCATTTCGAAGAGGAAGTAGGTGACGAAGAAGATGAGAAGGGCGATGGAGTAGCGGTCGCCAACATCAAAGTGCAAGTCGCTGTCCATGCCGGCGACGCGCGCATTGGACAGGTTGACGCGGTCGAGGCCTGCGATGGAGTAGAGGATGCCCAGGATGGGGATGAGGCGCCAGTCGACCTTGCGCAACAGACGGGCCTCTGCCTTGCGCTGCTCGACGGGGATCTCGCGCTCGTCCACGTGCCGGCTCTGCCATTTGGACTCGAGCTGGTCCCCGGCCATCTCCTTGTCGTCGTTGGACATGGCGAAGGGAACTATGCAAGATGCTTTGGAGGGTTCTGTCTTGCGGACTGTGACCATGTTAAGCTGTTAAGCTTGAATTTATAATGGTCACTGTGGGGGGCAAGTCGGGGGTAACTGATGACGCCGGAAAACGATAACCCTCCATCTGTCATCTCTCACGGCGCCGAAGGTGGGGCCGTAGCGGATGGTCCGCTCCCGAGCCGTAGCCGGAGACAAGCAATGCGACTTCCGCGGTGGCCTGACAGCGAATGCGACGAGCTCGCCGGACATTTTGGAGCGGTGCTCCGCCATGGCTGAATGGCCCGCGGCCTCAATTGCGTTGAGAGTGAGGAGTGGTGCAGTTGGCCGATCCCCGCAAGTGGTCGAGGAGGGGAAGCCCTCGGTTGGCAGGCTCCAGGAAGCTTGTGCGCTGATTGCGCGCTCAGAAAGGCACGACAATATGTCTTTGTACACGATTCAACAGCGATAAGGAGAGAATTGGCCCTCTGTCCCCAGTCGACTGGGCTTGATTGAGCAGATGGGAAGACGCCACCCTGTGCTGTCGAGTGGGCATGTCCAGCACAGGCATGTCTGAGGCATCAGACAGGGCGATCTCCTGAATGTATAATTCCAGATTGACTTGTCTGTTTGTGCGGCCAGAGCCGCCAGAGTCCAGACTGAGCGCAAGCTTCCTCATGTATCGCCTCTCGCGGCCGGACCCAGCAGTCGTTGTCGGTGGGCCGACCTGCTCGGTCAACTTCCGAGTGAGCTTGGGGACGAAGCCACGGCTACCATGCATCACAGAAGTTCGTCGAGCAGACAAAACCCTCATAGGAACTCGATAGTCAACCGCCTCTTTAACAGTGAAGTGGAAGTGTTGCGACTGGTCGTCAATGAGCACCCTAACCCTAGACGGAGCCACCTGTCTGCTGAATCTCGCTCGGACCTTGACCGAAGCCGCTGCTCCTGTCGTCAAGGCTATCGCCATCAGTCAGCCTCATGATAGCACTTTGAACAAACAAGGGACCAGAATATTTGCGGTCGGTCACAGTCCGTGCCAGCCAAGCGGACAGATCGACGTGCAACGGATGACGGCAAGTGGGAATATCGCCCATGTTGCCGGCAACACGGCACCGCGATGGAATACACCTCCCCACTGGCAGAGCTACCCCATGGGCTGTAAGCGACTATGGACACTCCTCCGCATCAAATATACGGGGGGCCATGATTGCAACTAGAGCTGGGCCTCTCTTTGGCAAGGCGGGGACTTGCCACATGTCCAGAAGCTCATAAATAGCATGGCGACCCTCCCGTACCTCAAGCGGTGTCGAATCCCACATCACTCCTGGTGACTTGTCTCGTGTCTTCATCAAAGCCTCCAGCAGTACTCGTACGAGCCATCAGACATCATGGGGTTCTTCAAGAGACCCAACACCCTCAAAGATACGCCGTCCCAGGTCCTGAACTGGAGGCTGGCATGGGGCTCCTTTGTCTTTGGTAAGCCTCCAATAACCCCCCCTTATCCTCCGTCCCATGCTAACGCACCTTGCAAGGCCTGTTAGGTGCCAGTCGTGGCTTGGATGAAGGTCTCGTCGGCGGCATGGTCAGCATGGGAAGCTTCGAGTCGGAATTCGACATTACCTCTGGCTCCGAGAAACACCAGGCAGACGTGCTGTCCAACATCACCAGCATGGTCCAGCTCGGCAGCATCGTCGGCTCGCTCCTCGCCTTCTTCATCTGCGACACCCTCGGTCGCGTGCGCACCCTCCAGGTCCTCTGCGTCCTGTGGCTCGTCGGGTTCATCATCGTGGTCGTCAGCCACGGCAACGTGGGCCAGATCCTGGCCGGGCGCTTCATCGCGGGTCTTGGGATCGGCATGACCGTCGTGGTAGGGCCGACGTACATTGCCGAGGTGGCGCCCAAGTCGGTTCGCGGTACGCTCACGAACATCTTTGCCGGCTCCGTCTACCTGGGAGCCACGATTGCCTTCTTCAGCAACTGGCGTGCCTCGGTCAACATCAGTGACGACTCGCGCTGGCAATGGGTCGACCCGCAGATGGCCCATATTGGTTTTGCAGGGTGCGTTGCATCTTTTGGTGTGCAGGTCTGACTATTCTGACTGACATCTCGCAGCTTCTTCCTCCTCATGTCCTTCACCGTGCCCGAAACCCCGCGCTTCTACACCATCAAGGGCCAAGACGAAAAGGCCCTCGAAACTCTCGCCAAGCTGCGCCAGCTCGACGTCGACCATCCCTATCTCCAGTCCGAGATTATCGCGATTCGGCAGCAGCTCGAGATGGAGCGCGAAGCCACGCACGGCGTATCCCGCTGGGGCAAGCTTCGCGAGATGTTTCTTGTCCCAGCCAACCGCTACCGCTTCATGCTCGGCCTGATGGCCCAGGTGCTGGGCCAGTGGTCCGGCGCCAACTCCATCACCATCTACGCGACGCAGTTCTTTGGCGTGCTGGGCAAGTCGGGCCAGTCGGAAAAGTTGCTGGCCAGCTGCGTCCTCGGCGTCGTGAAGCTGACGTCTGCGTACATGTGCGCCTTCTTCCTGATTGACTTTATCGGCCGTCGTCGCTCCCTGTACATGGGCATCTCGATCCAGACGTTTGCGCTGCTGTACATTGCCATCTTCCTCGGCGTCGTGGGCACCGAGCGGATCGAGTCCAAGGACCTGACGGCGGCCCAGCACCATGGCGCCGTGGGGGCCATTGCCATGATCTACATCTCGGGCATCGGCTGGACCATGGGCTGGAACTCGTTCCAGTACCTCGTCAACGCCGACATTTGGTCCCTGCGCCTGCGTGCGCTGGGCAGCTCCATGGTCATGTGCCTGCACTTTGTGAACCAGTTTGGGAACACCAAGGCGGTGCCGTCCATGCTGATTACCATGCAGAGCTCGGGCTTCTTTGCCTTTTGCACGGCCGTCTCCGTGGCCAGTATTGTCTTTGTGTGGTTCTTTGTGCCGGAGCTGGCGGGACGGTCCTTGGAGAGCACGGACGCGCTCTTCTCCCTGCCCTGGTGGAAGATTGGTCGGTATGGCGCCAAGCTCACACCGGATACGGATCCTCTCACTGCGGAGAGGGACGGGAAGATGGATGAGGATGAGAAGAATGGGGTGCAGATGGTGGAGTATGGGCGAAGTGCGGTCTAGACCAAGAGAAGGCTGGATGTCCAGAGCAGCTGGGCACCGAGATGAACGCGGCTCTGAAATCACGAGCAGCTTTTGAACGACTATGATTGCTGGTTAGCACCGCATTCATTGTTCTCGTGCACTGTTGGACGCTCGAAGCGTGGTGAGCGCCCTGATCCTAGTAGCCAGCCTAATGTGATCAAACCTCAACTGCCAATCAGTCTCTTTATAATTGTTTTATTGCACCAAAAGGCATAGTATTTTCTATGACATTGGCTGGGAATACAGAATACCATTTGATTTTAAGAAGGCGACTGCAAGTAGACTCGATCTAGTAGTACTGGGACTGACCCCCGCAGGCTTCATTCAACTGGACCACATGGTCTGCTGCCTGCATGTCAGCATCCGGCCCGGTGCACGTCGTCAGCTTCATGCTCCCTTCATCCAAGCACCCTCACTCTCGACCAGTACTGCCTACAGCTATCAGATTGATTCCTCATTTGCTCGATCAACTTCATCACCATGGACACCGCGCGCACGCCGCGCGATGAGGCAGCGGAGTATATCGCCAATCGGCGCTTTCATCAATCTGTCACCCTTCCCGCGCGCGATGGCCACAAGAAGATGCTGATCAGCTACGCGGAATACGGCTATGAGGGCGACGCAAACACCCCCACAATCTTGTTCACGCCTGGGATGTTCGGGTCGCGATACGTGGGCATGTTTATGCATGCGATTGCGGCCAAGAACAAGGTCAGGGTGCTGGTGCCGGACAGGTAACTCCTCCTCTCCCTGACACACTAATCCCCCAAAGCTCATTTATATCAGGTTCGGCTTCGGTGAGACGAAGAACGTACCATTGGAATCTCGTATCAGTGCCTGGACGGCTGCCATGCCCAGGTTCCTCGAGGCCCTGGGCATCAAGCACGTCGCACTCTTGTCGCACAGCGCTGGCACCATCTACAACCTGAATCTCCTATGGCACCACCGAGAGGTACTGCATCCGACACGTCCGATGATCTTCTTTCTGGGTAAGAAACTACGTCTCTCCCACTTGATGAAGCGCAGCTGACATGTGCCCTAGCCCCTTTCGTGGACGTCGCCCACTCCAAGGTACCCATGGTCCTCGCTCTTCAGAAACTACCCGAGATGTCGTTTGGCTACTGGAACAAGATGGCCAGCTTCTTCGCTCTCAAAGCCTCTGTCATGGTTGGATTCTCCTCGGGACTGCTCGCCCAGTTTGCGGGAGCCCTCTCGCCTGGGAACGATGAACCCTCGGCACGGGAGGCGAACATGAAGGTCATAGAGAGGGACTATGGCTTGGGGGTAGACTTGCAAGTTGTACTGGAGATGGCCGTCACCCGGGGCTTGTTTGCGGAGGACACCGTGGGCGCGAATCACGAGGCGCTCGTTTGCCTCAAAAAGGGATCAGGCGCGTTCTGGGCCGAAGCGGATGATATGGCCGTGCTCATCGACAAGTTGGCCGTGCGAGAGAGGGAAACACGGGTTGAGGGACGAGCAGCGCTTCGTGTTGGGATATTCTTTGCCGAGACTGATGCCATGACGGGGAAGACAGGACAGGAGTACTTTCAGTCTTGCTGGAAGGGGGAGAATGGGCAGTACGAGGGCTGTTTCGATGTCAAGATCAAGACCATTGACAAGAGTGATCACGATAGCGTGTTACGAGCTGCGGAAGCGTTGGTGGATGTAATCGAGTCGGTCGCGGAGGTAGGCATGCAGGGTGGAAGCATCGAATGAGGCTCGTTGTGTATGCTGCTTGACTTCCTCTAATGCGATATGAGAAGGTTCCTGTAATAAGCCCATCTGATTATCCCCTACCGCTAAGGTAAGAAACATAACGTTAACTTGAGACATCATAATGCTGCCTTGTCTGATGCGGAGTCCTTGTGCTACACATGAAGTCTTTATTGACTAAAGTACTATATCTACTTAATATTAATATAACGTTTGTATGAATACTAGGTCTACGATTCTATAGTTCATGAGCATTGGGCCTATTAGCATTAGGTCTCTCCTTATCATTGAACGTGCAATTTATATGTATCGGCTATCCTTAGAGCCCTATCTTGTACCCGTTTTCCGAACAATAAAGTAAACCCTAACAAGGGCTCAATTTATCGGATGAAGCACCTTACCTAATTCACTCGTAGATAGGCATGGAGCTAGTTGCCTTCCGCTCACCTGGCATCATCTTCACAATCATTCCCAACCTTTCCGCTCCCCCAAACCCATCCACAACAACAAAAGAGCAACAACTTTTTCACAATGGCCGCAGCCCCTGAATTTTTCGAATTTGGCTTCAGCCTGCCGACGCTCGCGCTGCTCGCAATTGCACTGTACTTGTACAAGACGCACCAGCTGCGAAAGCGTACCCTCAAGCTCCAGGAGCAGAAACTCGGTATGTCCCCCAGCCGCATGCTCCCCTACCGCCGCTGCGACATCCTGAAGCTAACCATACTATGTGCCAGCTCTGATCGAGCAGGCTGATCCAACCGACACTAATAGGCTTCTTTATGTGCCAGAAGTACCGGAAGGTCAGGGACAGAACCCCCTTTCTGAGGCGCCACATATATGCTGCACCGCACTCGCGGCATCTGATAAAGTTCTGCCGTGCACACATACAGGTGGTCACTTGTCTCGGTCTGTTTGTCCTCATATTTAATCCGCAGTTGACCCCTGCTTCGCTCGCCACGTTGGCATAGGTCAGAAAACATTCGCATATTCCGCTCTGGATAAAATCCCGAATCTCCCTTTCTGGTGACACGTGGGGACATATCTTTCGATCCTTGAGTGCCACCAGTACCCGCTCTGCAACAGTATCTCTGAGAGCTTGTAAAGACGGCGGCAACATTGTATGTACGTAGAGGAGTGGTAGGTCCCATCCATATCCGATGTAGAGCCTGGAGCGTGGACCTGGAGCCTCACTGTGCGCGATGAGCTTCGGCATTGCCGTTCCAACCAACGGCAGGTGCTGACTGTATGGCATGTGCGACTGGTGTGGACAGAAGCGGCCATGGTCCACAGGAGCTCCTATCGAGGATTCACGCCTCGCTTTAAGCTCCTCCATGTGCCGCCACATTGTGGGTGCATTCTTGGCGTCCTGGCCATTGCTGTGGTCGCAAATCGACACCTCGCCCTGGCGCCCGATACAGAGCAGCCGACCTCCCTCCCGGTCGTGCCTCTCCCTATCCTCCGGCAGAAACATGTAGGACCTGTGGGTCTCTTTGCAGCCCACGCAGTAGCGCGCCGAAAGCAACTTCTGCCACTCCCTCGCTAGGTTGCCGCTTTGAAAAACGTACCGGCACGAAGAACAGTGCAGATATTGGAAGAGACGAACTCCACGGAGGTAGAGCTCCCCGCGATTCAAGCGAGACAGATCAAAGCTCTTGTGGCATCTGTATGACTCGGATGGGACGTGAAAAGACGCAAAATGCTCCTTGTCAAACAAGGACATGAAGACGGCCGAGGTCTGCCGAAGCCAGTGTAACGATAGCGGCGATGACTTGACATGCTGCATGATTAAGAGCTGGATCTCCGTCGGCATGTCCAAGAGTCTGCTCCCACGTGTGCTCGCCCCGGTCGACGCAGGACCTAGGCTCGAATCGTGTAAAGTAATCCCCTCAAACGACAGCCAAATGTCTTCTTGACTGTTCTCTGTCACAGCACTCTGGCCTCTTGAAGCGAGCAGGCCATGGTCGATGAGGTCTTTCTCCTCGATCCTCCGACTGGGACTTGTGTTGGGGATCTGGTCCTCTGATCTGGGAGGCGAAACAGGACGTGTGAGGTCGCCCAGTCGACGACACAGCAACCGCGAGGAGCTGAGAACAGGAATTTCTGGAGCCGGCTCTCCATGGCACACATATAGTGAGGGAGCACCATGGAGGTGCAGTTCTTCGCTGTACTCTATGAAATGCTGCGTGTCAAGATCCTCCCACTTTTGCCACATCATGGTACTGGTAGCGATGTTGATGGTGAAACAGCTCTTTAGGCCTGGCTGATAGTGATGACGGGAAGTTGTTGAGTTCGGCGCGGAGAAGGGGGTTGTGATGATATGAAAGGGGGCGACGACAAAGTAGGTGTAGGAAGAAAGAAGGTGGGTTCAATTCCACCGTGCGTCGATGAATTATAAACACTCCTAATTTAAAGCGCGCGGTTGTGCTAGAAGAAGGTTTGAGCAGGTGATGCGTCCATCAGAACTCAAAAGAGCTCGATCAAGTGGCAGGCTGCGGCACCTTGTGTTATTGCCTGGTACATGTAGACACGTGTGCATTCTGCACTCTTGGGAACTCAAAATCGCCTCTTGACGAGGGATCGGCTACCCCAGCATAATGGTACGTCCAAACACGTCGATGGCAGACGACCCACGACGGCCATGGTCCTTCCAGACATATTCCAGCGCCTCCAGTGCATTACTGAAATGTCGGCATCCGACGGCTCGCAAAGCCGTGTTCAAGCGACTTCGTATCCACGCCTTCTCTTCCAATGCTTGCGCATCCAATGCCACCCCGACCTGAAAGATCGGCCACAACAGAGAGTAGCTCCAAGAGGTGGCGGGTGGGATGCGTTCCGCGTGCTCGAGGACTTGGCTGACCAGTGTCTGTGTCCCTGTATCGTCTCCCCGTTCGACGTGTGGGAATAGTCGTTGTGCATATGCCATGATGCCGAGGCGCCAAGCTTCAATCATATGCTCGCGCGGGCCGTCGAGTTCCTGCTGAGGCGGGCTCATCCTCCGCAGGCGGCTCATCAGGCATTCTGCCTTCTCCAATGCCCCCTGGCTTACAAATGCGCTGTTGGACTGCATCTTGTGGAGCATTGAGATATCCACGAGCATCTCACACAGATCCACGGGGCACGGAAAGACGTCATAGCTCCATTCTCGTTTACCATGGCTCAAGAAGCGTCCAAGGGCCGTCTTGAGCTCCTCCACGGTAAAATATGGTAACCGCGTGGAAGTTGTCGAGATGATAATGTCGAGCCTAATGCAGCGTCTCGTTAGGCAAGGAAGGATTTCCACACAAATGTCCATTTGCTTACCACGCGAGCCGCTGCTCGAAAAAATATCTGCTCCTTGCACTGTCCACCTGCCGATCACGTATGATGCCGACTGCGGCTTTTAGGTGTGTCTCGAACTCGAAGCAGTCTCCCGAACACATCTAAGTTATCGTTAGTTACGTTCTTCGACAGCCCATTTCTAGCCAAGCCTTACGTCGAGCTGGGCCAGCATGACTATGCTGGCTAAAGTGGCTTCATCAGTTGGTAGGACAGGGTCATTGAGCCTCTCTCTTAGCAGATGCGTGGCTCGCACACGCAGAGACAAGCTCTTCTGATCGAGGACCGCGTCCAAAGTACGGGCTGCGATGTGGGATGCAGAAGATGCGGCGATGGCGTAGCGGATCGGAGGAACAGTATCAACCAGCGGAAGGACATATTGGAAATATCGGTTACGACCGACGCCGTCACTGACGTGTCGGCCCCTGGATACATGTCCAGCGCCTGTTCGACTGCCGTGGATGGAATTCGAGGCGGCTACTGGGATGGACTGTCCAGCAAGCTTTCCACGCGCCGCGACGCCTGGCCATCGCGTAACATAGCCCTCGCATTCAACCCCTCGACGCTTGCAGCTGAGGCAGGTCGGAAGAGTGCGGTCACATTTCCGACCTCGTCGACGGCACACCTTGCAGGCGGTGCCGTGGAGTGCAGCGGGACTCATGAGGTGATGGTCGCTGTGTGTGTTCTGTTGAGTTCAAGTTGATGAGAGGAGCGAAGAGGGCGGAATGGTTCGATGAGGGCGTGGGGAAGATGAGCCCCGTGACATGTGGGGATCGCAACTTACAAGTTCACGACACCAAGGCACATAGTGCAGGCTTGTGATAGTCTCCAGTATTTAATTCAATAACATACAAAGATATAATATCTGGAATAACGAAGAAGTTGATATCGTGATACCACTAAATAAATTGAAGCCTTTATTTTGGTCATTCACGGGGCCATTTCGCAGCACGCGCGTCGAGTGATCGCTCGGCTTTTCAGGTGCGAGGATGCTGTTGTGCGACGTTATTGATTGTAAATTTGATCTTATCAGGATCACCGGCCGCTGTCTCACGGTAAATCCAAATCCTTAGCTGGCCTTTCTTTTCCGAGACAAGGCGAGGCGGGCGCAATTTGCTCGTAACTCACAAAAGGCCAACCACGACTTTAGCTTGGTAAATAGAACACTCTGTGACTAAATCAAATGCTGTCGAGGAAACGAGAAAATCTGTGGGGTAAACGCGGGGATCTGGGGTTAGCCACAGGAACTACGTACTGGGCATGTCTGCCAAGCTTGTGCAGATGAGCCTTCCAAGTTCCAGGTGAATTTGGACATGATCAGCAGATCAGCAGAGGAATCCTATCAAACCCGTTTCTCACATCATTCGGCATTGCTCTCCGCAGAAAACGGTACATGCCGGTTAGCGTACCCCGCATATTCATGCTCTCTTTGCTGCAGTCTGCAAACTAGCCCAACAGACTTGCCATTCAAGGCAGGTGTTTCTCTTCAAGACGCCATGCCCATCAACCTTCATGCTGCACAGTGAAGTGCCCTCAGAGGAAAGACATAGTCCGGATCCGTCATTGTTTCGGATCCGTGAGCACAGTCCTTCGGATCCGTTGCACGATCATAGGTACATTAACAATGAAGCGCTCACGGCGTCAAGATGTATATAAAGGTGACCTAGTGAACCGTCCCGGAATCACTGGCAACTCTCTCTCAAGAAACTCATATTCTTCTGTTCACTCATCGAGTAACTCGCCTCCAAAAAATGGTTGTGTTCGAAATCAAATCTGTGGCGTACTTCGCCGCAATACTCTTGGGCACTGCCGAGGCAGTCAGTCTTGGTGCTTACAATGTTGATCCAGATTCGGTTTCGGTGTCCGGACTGTCTTCGGGAGGCTTCATGGCAGCCCAGCTTGGCATTGCCCACTCGTCTACCTTCAAAAAAGGCTTTGGAGTGTTCGCTGGAGGGCCCTTTGACTGCGCGCGCAACCAGCAGGTAGCTCAACCAGTGCGCGGCATTTAGTAGGAGACTTACAGGTTTTACAGTACACCATGTGCATGAACAACAATAAGCCAAATACGCAGACCCCCAACAGCAATTTGCAGGCATGGAGTGGCAACCAAATCGACGACACCGCGAATCTCAAGACGCGGAAAGTCTTCCTCGAAGTTGGCACATCCGACTCGACCGTGGGCCCCAACCCGATGAATACACTCAAGGAGCAGTTGGCAAGTTATGTTGACCCAGCCAATATGGCCTACGTGACCCGCCAAGGTCAGGCGCATGTGTTTCCCACAGACTTTGATGTCTCAGGCAATAACCCGTGTGGCTCAAGCACTTCACCATACATTGCCAACTGTGGCTATGATGGCGCTGGCGCTGTGCTCAACTGGATGTACAGCGGGTTGAACCCTCGCTCTTTGAGCGATCAGGGCAGTTTCGTTTCCTTTGACCAGTCTGGCAAGTACGGGGCCGCTGGCATGGCGTCCTCTGGCTCTCTCTACGTCCCCAAAGCCTGCCAGACCGGCGGAACCGTTTGCAAGCTTCATGTGGCGTTGCACGGATGCCTGCAAACTACCTCCGCCATAGGAAACAAGTACACCGTCAACACAGGCTATAATCGATGGGCCGGTACGTACATGTATCCTTTGATAACACTCGACAGTCTGGCGGTTTGATTGCTGAACATGAAGTACAGACACGAACAATATTATCATACTTTACCCTCAAGGGACACCAGACTATACTCTTCGGCAAGCATGGCAAGGGCTGCTTCCCAATCCAAACGGATGCTGGGATTGGGTTGGTATGTTGCAGTTGCCATCTCTGATTCTTCAAAGTCTCTAACCGTGAGTACAGGCTGGTATGGCAATAACGCCGATCAGAAGGGCGGTGAGTCTTCCTCGACCTGCATTTGCAGGTCTGATCCGTATTATGAATCTTATGTTGATATCGCCTCAGGAGTTCAAATGGCTGCCATTGTTGCTCAAGTGAACCGGATCGTGAGCGGCTTCCAACAGGGCGGGGGCCAGCCTTCGACCACCACTTTAGCTATCAGCACCAGCACGACGACATCAAGTGCGCCAACCAGCACTGTGGCTGAACCTATGGCTCCCCTATACGGCCAATGTGGTGGAATAGGATGGTCCGGACCCACCAAATGCGAGAAGGGGGTGTGTACTAGCTATAGCCCGTTCTATGCACAATGCCTCTTGCCGGTGAGAAGATGATGATGGGCTTGGCCACATGGGGACGGGAGTTTTGAACCCATAGGTCGACTCGAAAGGCCCCGGGGGGGGCGAAGCACGTACGAGTACCAGCAGCGTTATGCAGTCATTGGACAATTCGAAGAGATCCTACACGGACGTCAAGTCTTTGTGACAATGCTTCAATACTGGGATGGTTTTGACACGAGTGCAGTTGTTGCTGCTCTTCTCGTCCAATCCTGGCCAGCCTGATCATCCTGGCGCTGCGTAAGCTGTTAGCAAACCAGGACGCGACGAGCAGGTTCCCTACTATGTGGCCAGGAGTAGATGTACTATCATTCTACTCGGGACTGGGACCATCATTCCACTCGGAATGGCTCTTGTGAAGCATGATGCCCGGTGCGTAGATGGATTAGAATGACTGTCATGACTGATCAAGGAGGAGGACGGTTCGTGTTCCGAAGTGCGAGCAATGGAACTGAAAATTGCGCCAAGGCCTTCAATTTTTTTCGCGAGAACACGGGGTTCATGCTGTATTAACTATGCCCGGAGCTGAAGGGAAACAGTAAAATCTCTCAGTCCCAAGGCACAATCTATGAATAGCGCAAGCCACTGACTGACTGCTCAAGTGTGGCCCGCTAACAAATCGAAGTGAGGTTCTCTTGTCACGCACTGCAGGGTACGGATACACGGCGGGAAATTAGCCAGGCGCTCGGCTCTTTATTGATCTAGAGTTTTCTAGACCCCTCAACTTGGCAAAACCTAAGCGCTAGCGATTGTGGCTCAGCCTTAACGCATCCACATATGGATTAGTACAAGGTACACGGTCGGTTCTGGCGCTGGCCCTTTCCCTCTTGGGCGAATGGCTGCAGAGCGATATATGATTTATTGAGACGTGCATCCATGTCGTGGGCTAATCAATCCATCTTGTTCGTTCGCAATCAACGGCCAAAAGATCAAGGATTCTGAGGTCTTTAATCGATCAATCTGTCGGCTGCCGCCCGTTTGACTGTTTGATCAAACCTATTGGAAGGCGCGGAAGGGTGTATGAACTTACTTTTATAGGCTCCAGTCCCCACTACTAAGAATACGCGTATCCTACCTACCCACCTACCCCCCGCCGCCCAGGGGCCAGGGCCTCCGCCCGTCACCACCTGGCACCCCACCCACACATATCTGCTGACCGTGCATCACCACAAGCCTCATCGAAAGGCTTTTGAGTATCTATTTATTAGTATATTTGGTCACGCACAAAGTCAATCAAATATGGTCCATATAAATTTATTACTATCAGATCAAACAGACAGGTCTCGTGTAGAATTCGCGTCAATCAATCAAATCGACCCCTGCATCTCGCCTGATTGATTATTTAGCCTGCAGCCCTGCCCAGGGCCTCGGCCCCATGGGGCTAGCTGAACCACCACGAGTCAGTCCAGAACGTGAGCGCATAAGCTGCAAGCCAAAAGAATGGTCACTTACTGCAGACAAGGGTCCTGCGAGCGAACCGATCACCTAATTACCATGTGTGATGGCAATTTGCCCTACCGCATCAAGACATAAGTCAGGCTCCTGGCACCGAGTCTTGTTCAAAACCTGCCCAGCACCACCTCCCCCTTCCACAATCCTTTTGGCTGCCACGGCCGGATTGCACAAGCAACATGCGGTCCTCACTCCTCACGGCCTCCTGTCTGGCCTCGACTGTCCTCGCGACTCGCGAAAGTGTTCGGAGCGATGCCAAAGTCCCCGAGGGTGTGCTGCAGCTTGCCGTCAGGCCCCCAGCCGCGCCTGAACGCCGCAACATAGAGGGCAGGCAGATCGACCTCCCTGCATCGGCGGGCATTCGATCAGCGCCTTACACCGTGGACGTTGTCCTTGGGACGCCAGGCCAGACGGTTCAATTGATGCTCGATACAAGCTCGTCGGAGACGTTGGTGAACCCCAACTGTCAGAAATCGGACGATCCCGTCTATTGCACAAGTACAGGACGTTTCACGAGCAGCTCCTCATTCGTAGACTTGAACACGCAAGGCGGCACTACTCTTTCCGGTGGCTATGTTGAGTGGAATTATGGTTTCGACTACATGGGACTTGGATGTAAGGATGATTCCGTTTCATGAGTTTCGGCCGATTTATGTTTCATGCGCTGACTCCCTGAGGCAGCCGCCAGAATCGGGACACAGATCTTCGGGGTCGCATACGATTCCGAGGGCCTGTCCGCTGGCGTCCTTGCTCTTGCTCCCTCGCTAGCTGGCTGGGACAGCCCTTATCCGTTTGTGGTGGACGCTCTGTATTACCAAGGGTTCACACAGAGTCGCGCGTTCAGTCTGGACTTGCGCTCAGGTGACTCGGAAGGTACGCAACTTGATGCTCAGGGCTTCTGTGTTGTTCTGACAAACCACTAGGTTCCTTGACTCTCGGAGGTCTCGATACTTCTCGCTACACGGGAAATTTGGAGAAGCTTCCAATTATCCCATCTTCGCAATCCCCGGATGGTAACACGAGGTAAGGAGACGACAGGATAAACACTCCGAAAGACTGTATTGTGCGCTGGAGGCTGATTCATGCCCTCTCGGCAACAGATATTGGGTGCAACTGGACAAACTTGCTGGCGACGATCTTATCTTCTACGAGGGCCAGCAAGCCTTTGTCTTGGACAGCAGCGACAGCGTCTGCCGCTTGCCCAGTCCCATCTTCAACAGTCTGATGACGGCTTTCCCCTCCGCCATCTTCACACCCTCAACCAACCAGTACTCTGTTGATTGCGCAGACAGAGAAGCGGGTGGCACTCTCGACTTCACCTTTGGCACGACTACCATCAAGGTGCCCATCAGCGAATTCATTGTCGAATCGGACGGTGTCTGTTATATCGGCGCGACCCAAGATGATAGTAAGTCTTGATCGGATGCGCACTCGCTATGAGGCACGCAGGATGTCAGCAGCTGACAGTGGTTATAGACGTGCCCGCTTTGGGAACCAACTTTCTCAGTTCAGCGTACGTCGTGTTCGATCAGGACAACCGCTCCATTCACATTGGCCAGAACTGCCAGGGCGACTACGAGACGAACCTCGTTGCTATCGGCTCTGGACCGGACGCCGTGCCCTCGCCCCCGGGGACCTGTAACCCTGCCCCTGAGCCCGAGCCTGAACCGAGCCCTGAGCCCAGTCCTGATCCCACCCCGACTCCTACACCAGAGACCACGCCAGCGACTACGCCAGAGACTACACCAGAGACTACAACAGAGACTACGCCAGAGACTACGCCCTTCTCATCCCCAGTGTCTTCCCCGATCTCCTCACCCGTGTCTTCGCCGATCTCCTCGCCAGTCTCCTCGCCAGTCTCCTCACCCGTTTCTTCACCAATCTCCTCGCCAGTCTCCTCACCTGTGTCTTCGCCAGCCTCATCGCCAGCCTCATCGCCAACTTCATCACCAGCATCAACCCCTGTCAGCACTCTGAGCCCAACGTCGATCACTACGACCGCAGCATCGACCTCCCATACGAGCCCCAGCGCCGTCACCAGTGTCAGCGACGAGACATCCTCTTCTACCCAGGTTACAAGCCAGACCACAATCTCCACGTCGCAGCAGACGCAAGAGACCACTCAGTCAACCCAGACAGACGAGCTCACCTCACGGGGAACCTCCACCACAGTGGCACCGGAATCACATATCACCACCACCACCCCCCAAGTCACCACGCAGACATACCTCAGCACAACCACATACGTTGTCACCAAGTGCCCGCCCACCTTCGACGACTGCCCCTTTGACGAGGTCACGACCGAGGTCCTCACCTTGACCACAACCTACTGTCCCGCTGCCACAGCTACCCACACGCTCACGCACACATCAGTCTGCTCGGCGGCTGCCTGCGTTGATGGCAGTCCTGAACCAGACGTCACGACGCAGGTCGACACAGCGTACGTCCCCACGACTTACCTCGAGCCGATTCCTGTCTCGGGAGCTGCCACTCAAACGGCCGCTATTTCGGGCACCCTAACCCACTCGGAGACGCACACGCAGGACTCTCCTGATGGGAGTCAATCACTCGATCACTCGGCCAAAATTGTACCCCACGACCACACTGCCACTGCCCAGACCCAATTGCCTGGCGGCGGACAACCTGTCGCGACTTCTTTTGTTTCCAGCTTAGTCCCCATCTCTTCCGCTGATGTAGAGACTACCTCCGTCCCTGCCCCGTCAAGTATCCCAGGGGCTGCTCCTTTATGTGCGGTAAGCGGGGCTGCGTTTGCGGTGTCGGCGGCTGCTATACTTGCGTCTTTACTTTGAGGGGTTTTGGAAAGACAATACAAGTACATAATTTTAATAGACGTAATATAACTCACCATACCATGTGCAATTTCAGGCCCTGACTGACTGGCTGTCTGCACTCTGCAGGCGGGCCAAAGGCGATCAAAACGAGCTGCTTACCCGGTAATAGCAAGGAGCTTGGAATGTCACGACACAGAGCAGAGCAGAGCTTCTAAAGAAGGAAAGTATCATTCAGGGCACTGAAGCAACATCTGATAGCCGTTGAAGCAATGAGAAAGCACTTGTATTTGTCCCGGCTGTGGCTGGGAAACATCACACTGACTTTGGACTCATGCCATATTCACTGGACTCTACATGTTGGTAATTTGACACTTGAATCAGTTGATACTACTATATAGAGCCTTCATTGTGGGTGATTTACGAGGCCATTAACCCATTTCGTCGCACGCGCGTCAAGTGATCACTCGGCGCTTCAGGTGCGAGGATGCTGTTGTGCGACGTTGTTGATTGGATCTCATTCTCAGGTCTCAGCGCTGAGTTCATGTTGTTGGTGACGACATGGAGCCTCCATGTTTTATGGCAGGCAGGTGTCACGAGACCCCACCCGAATAGGAGTTCAGTACATAAACGCGCCCACGATGCGCCTCTTGCACAACCATCTGGTCATCTACCGCCAGCAGACGCGACATCAACCCCTTCAATGTATCACGATGGGCAACAGTACGACAAGTCTCGGTTTCTGGGACTGGCCTGGTTTCAGCGGTTGCAGAGGATGTTGCCTACGTTGACCCAACAACTCAGCGAGAAGTTTGGCGTCGAAATAGAATACCGAGGTTCTCGCCATGGGCTCTTTCAACTGCTGCTACCGGCTGAAGGGATTCCACAGCATCCTTCGCCTCCCAATCCTCAGCAAGAGCGCTTTCCGCTACGAAAAGTCAAGAGACGAATGCCTGTTGATGGCATACCTGGCGCGGCACACATCCATCCCTCTTCCGAAATTGCTCGCAGCCGGAACCTGCGACATGGGGCCTTATATGGTGCTGTCTTTCGTCGATGGCGCGCGCTTGTCCGACTTTTTGAAGGACCCGTCCACTGAAGACGCCCCCATCACGCTTCAACCCAATATTGATGATGCCCTTCTCTATCGCGCATATCGGAACATGGCCTCCCTCATGCTCCAACTGTCCAAATGCCGATTCAGCCATATCGGGGCCCTTGGTCAAGATGAGCTGGGGAACTGGCTGGTGACAAAGAGACCTGTCACCTTGAATATGAACCAGCTGGTCTCGTGCGCCAACTATCCGCCTTCGCGACTGCCCCCCAAAGAACGGACCTTTGCGAGTGCAAACGAATACTTCACTGCGCTGGCCGAGATGCACATCAATCATCTCCAGACGCAGCGCAACGACGCCATTGAAGACGCGGAAGATTGTCGCAAGAAATACGTGGCAAGACATCTCTTCCTCAAGATCGCCCGCACTTTCTCAAAGGAGCATAACGATGGGCCGTTTCCCTTGTACTGTGATGATTTACGGCCAACAAATGTCATAGTCAACCCTGACCTAGATGTTTGTGGAGTGATTGATTGGGAGTACTGCTACGCTGCGCCTGCCGAATTCACGTACTGTCCGCCTTGGTGGCTTCTCTTGACGCACCCGGATGACTGGACGGATGGTGATTTGGGCTCATTTCTCGAACAGTATCTGCCCCTTTGCAGGCTGTTTCTCGACGCACTTCGGGAAGAAGAAGCTTAGATGATCCAGCGTGGCACGCTATCTGAAACGGAACGACTTGCCACCAGGATGGCCGAGTCGCTCGAAAACGGCCACTTTTGGTTCTGCCTAGCCGCCACATCCAGCTTTGGGTTTGATGATATCTTTTGGTAGTTCATTGACCCGTTGTGTACTTTAGAGACTTCACTACCCTCGAAGATCGAGTCCGTCTTCTCGCCCAGCCAGAGCAGGATGAGCTGGCTTCCTTTGTCGAACATAAGATGCTGCAGGCAGAGGACTCGCAACTAGATGAGCATGTGAGTCCGCACGAGATGTTTACTGCCTGAGCACTTGCTCTGCGTCATGGAAAACAGCCAAAGTCTTTTAACATGGATCTACAATACAACAGCCACAGGTAGCTGATATGGCATGGATCATATGAGACGCCTCCCAGTCTCAAGGTGCGCATCTAGCAGTCCAGCGGCCACCCTGAAGCCTCAGTTGAGCCCTTGCTATCAACAAACACGAGCAGGGCCTTGCTGCTGAGCTATATGTGTCCCCCATATCTTTTTCATACTCGCCCGTATTATAAGACTTGCTATGACGAATCAGACCGGGAAGTCATCCTTATATACAAAGCGGCCCTCACAAGTTCACAACGTCTGTAAACGAACGCGCCAAAACCTCGGCCTCTTTTGCCTCCAGCATCTGCCAACCAAGCCAGCCCTCTTCCATAAGGGCTGTCTCCGATATCAATTGACCTCCGGTCTGTTCCCTGGCTTGGTAAACCATAGCTCTCAATGCATCGTTCCTTTTCAGGATGATAATCTCCAAACGGCCGTCCAAAAGGTGGCGGAGGCCCCTTTCTAGCTCAAGAACGTACAGACTGCCAAAAGGAGCTCCAGGAGAACTCATCCCTTCCTGGGACACTAAATTCTGAGCAAAATATGAGTCAAGACACCCTTGAATACGCGCTTGTACTTCGTTGACCTGTACATTGGTACATGAGAGAATTGGTCGTAGGTGGGCGGAAAGAATGCCCACGTGGTACTCTGGGGTGCCTGAGGTAGTTACGCTAGATGGTTCGGGTTCTGGGTAGTAGGCTTGCCCTTGATACGGAGTATCTTGATTCTCGGCAGGAGGCTGGTCAGAGTGAGACTGTCCTGGAGCACGCCCCGGTAGCGAACCGCCGGGCGATGGTCGATAGTCGCCCACGGCATGGGCCGTCGGGTACCCAGCTGCCTCTGGGGGGTTGGGTGAACAAGGAGCTGATTGCTGGGAGTGAGTCCCGTGACGCTGGCTTGTATGTGGTTGCTGTGGTATAAAATCCGGTACCTCATAGGCCGGCGGCGAGGAGTACCACTTTGCAAAATCTCGTAGCGAGCCCAGAGTGCCCTACCGCTACCGTATCAGACTTTTATCTTCCCAAGGGCATTATCTCATGGGGACATTAAACCAAGCACTTACCACAACAGATGCGCCCTTTTGTTGACCTCCTGGGCTGTCGCTCGCCGACGGCCCTGATGCCCCGGTGTTGGACGAAGAAAATCGACTTTGCCTCGCACGATGGTCGTGATACCGCATGTGCGAGTTCGCAACGGTGCTCTTCAAGTCTTTCCAGGGGTCAAGCTTCATGTCTTGCAGGGGTTTGGTACCCTCACTTCTCTTCGTCTTGAGAGCCCCCCAGATTTCGCGCATTGTACTCCCAAACCCATGTTCCGCGGTGGACTCTCGGCCGTACTTGTACCCCTTTTTGAAGCCACTGACTTGTTTCTCCTTGCAAAGTTCTAGATAGCCCCTCGTCAAGGACATGTAGGGAAGCTTCAGCCTACCGTCACGTCCTCGTTCTTCGCGCCCACCATGTTGTTTAAGCAAGTCGATGATGGATTTGTAGTCATCCTGTAGCCATCGTGCCTCTCTACGCGAGAGCGTGTGGCCGCCAAGGGCCGCAAAAGTTTGCGAAGGGGCTTTCTGCAACCGTTTCAGATAGAGATACGCATAGTTGACGCTTGTGGTGCCTCCGAGATTTGGATCCGCCCCCGCAGCGAGCATCTCTCTGATCAAATCAAGCCGACCCATCATGATAGCGGACACAAGTGGCGTAAATTCAATAGTATCGAGCTGGTTGAGAAGCTGGGGTTGGCCCCGCCGTCTGCTCTGCTCCACGAGGTATCGAAAGTTGACGAGAGGCTCTAGGTCCCCCAGAACAGGGTGAGCGGCGAGAGCGTGGAAGCAATTTCGCCGGAGCGACATATAGCCATCGAGCGGCAACGGCTCGATGCCTTCGGGTGGTTCCAGTAGATAGCGAAGACGGGAGACGGGGAGACGAGGCAAGGCACGGAACATCATCATGAAGGCGTCAAAGTCGCGAGCAGGGGGGAGTATGCGGCCCGATCCACTTTGTCGGATCAAAAAGGTCGCCAGCTCAAAGCTTCCCAATAAAATGGCAAGAAAATGGGGCGAGAATTGGCTGAGTGACTCAGTGTCATCCCGTACGTCGGGGTCATAACCTGCTCCAGGAGCTAGCTTCGCCCCGCGAGCGATCAGCACGTTGGCGAAGAAGATAGCCCTCGATCCCAATTGAGTGCATAGTTGCAGGTAGGAGAAGCCCTCGGGGAAGAGAAGACGCCTGTGGATGTCTGCGCCGTACTGGACAAGGAGAAGAAAAGTCTTTCTGCGATTTAGTTGCATGGCGACTTGCAATGGCGTATGTCCATGGACGACGGAGACGGTTTCCAGATGATTCTTGCTACCAGTCTGCAAGAGATATTCAACGACCTCTGACGGTGCGCCATGTATGATACAGGTATGTAAAAGAGACATTCCAGATGTCAAAGTCTTATCATCTGCGTCCCACTTTCGGAGCATGTCGATCATCTCAATCAGGGCGCTTGCGTATTTTGCCCCTAATGAAATGCGGCAGGAGGTTGTACTCGCTGCTCGGACTGCAAACTGCAAGATGCTTTCGTTCTTGGACTTGAAATAATTGGCAATATCCGACGCCAATGCCGGTGATTCCAAGATCCTCCGCACGGTGCTTGACAGGAGCCCTTTGATAGCCAGTCGAAACGGGGTGTACGAGCAGATCTCATCCGCACGCTCCGATAAATAGTCAAAGAAGGGATCAGCGCCCGCAGCAAGCAAGGCTTCAGCTGAAACCTCGTTGCGGGCTAGTATGGCATAGTGCAGCGGTGTACCAAACAAGCTCAAGTATGCACCTGTCGAGGATAGTCCTGGAGACACCGAAGAATAGAGGCATGGGTGTGCGCCGCTCTGGAGGAGTAACTCTGTGGCTTTGTCGACCTCCTGTTCATCGAATGTAAAGGTCCAGTGTAACGGCGTCTCTCCTGTCTCCGTCACTATGGACGGATCCGCGCCTTTCCTCAGCAGAAGCTCGGCGGCCGCCAGGCTGCCAGCTCTGCAAGCTTGAAGAAGGGCTGATTCTCCGTCATGATTGACGCTGTTGACAGCAACACCCAAAGAGACGAGCTGGTCGATTGCTCTGGTGCATCCGTACCGCGAAGCCACGTGAAGCAGGAGGTCTTCATTCTCCGTGACGGTCATCTTCAACAGCTCCGAGGGACTTCCCGCATGCTTCGCCGTCATGTCGTCGAAGAAGTCCCCAAAACAGCCAAACGACGACATACCGCTGACGTGGTGTTTCTCGTCATGGTGCAGAAGCCCGTCATGCTCGCGATATTCCTGCGCCGTTGCCTGGTAGTCGGAAAGTGAGCGCTTCTGAAGTTCCATCAACGAATGATAACAGCCCTTCCGAGCAAATGTCTGGAGAATGGAAACGGAATCAATGCCAGGAGGGACAGGTCGATTGAGTAATTCGAACACACCGCAGACATGGCGCGCAATAGTGGTAGTGGAATCTCTCTCGATGGCTTTGACGTACCACTTGGCCGCCTCATCTTCAGCGCCGGGCCATTCCAACCGGTGAACATAGATCTCAAACATCATGGAGCAGGCATGAGCGCCCATGCTATCTGATTTGGTCGATAAGGCCTCCAGTTCTCGGATGATGGAAAGTTGAAGACACAGGGGGGTGACTTCGGCCTCGAGCACCCCAATGTCTATCTGGGCAAGCGTCAAAAACACGAATGTGATGCAAAAATTATGCAAAAGTGTAACGTACAACATTGTAATCAATCGGCATCAAAGGGGTGGCCGGAAGAGGGAGAGTACACCCTGGTTCGAGCAGCAACCCTAGAGCACGATCCAACTGCCGCTTCGAAGCATCCAGTTGCAGAGTTGAATCCAGGATCTTGATGATGAGGTCGGATTCGTCGGTGCTGCAGAAGGGGCTCCTGAGGGTTGACTTGGCCATGGGAAGCAGACGGTCCTCCCTCTTGAGTATCTCCGCTTGGCGTTGAAAGTCGTCCTGATCAAGGGAAGCGAGCGAACCGATATGTCGAAAAGGGTTGATACCGTCTAGAACAACTCTCCAAACAAGCAGTCCGAAGCTGTAAACATCGGTTAGCTTGAGAGCATCCCGTGGCAGCCGGTTATGGCTCTCTGGTGCATTCCAGGGCTGGGTGTACGCAGGTAGTCTCGCAGAATCCGCAAGGCCCAGGTCAATCACGGCACAGCCAAAGTCGGCCAGCTTTGCGACGACCCCTTGTCCACAGGTACTGTCGCATACAAGGACGTTCTCCGACTTGAGATCGCCATGCACAATGCCAGCATCATGCAGGGCCCGCAGGCCCTGACCCACGTCTCGACACAGCTGCTTCCGCAGGGAGAAGGGTAAATCGGGATAATCAATCTGAAAGTCGGCCAGGGTGCCGTTCTCTGCATACTCCAGCACAAGAGTAGGCCACGCTTGGTCCTGGTGATCAGGATCAGGCTCCCAAGCGAGGCAAATGAGGTTGACGATGTTGCTGTGAGCTTTGAGGGGCGGGTGTGTCAGGACACGCACTTCGAGAAGCACCGCACGAAGCAATGCGCCTCGCTCGACGGGGTCCAACGCGTCTGTCAGCCCTCTGAGCTTCTTATAGACGACAAAGCATGACCTGAGGCCGGAGCGCCGCCTCGTCCCTTCGTCGGTGCGAACAAGCTGAACGCTAAAGGACAGACCGCGGCCCAGCGTTTTGGATGCTCGCATTGACGTGAACCCTTCGGCGCGGAAGTCCTCGGCCGCCGCGTTCCGCCGGTTAGTGGCTGCCCATAAGCTTACAAGCTTGATGAAGTCCACTGGTCGAGAGTCCTGATGACTGATGCTGTCGTTGACGACCCGTTCATCGTCCCTATCTGTGTTGCCAGATGCGCTCACGGGAGATGTAGACTCACTCACACCCTGGTGATTCGTGTTTGTTGTAAATGCACTGGTCCACGGTAATGTATGGGTTCCTGGGCTCTGATCATTGAGGCCAGCCCATGCAGGCCGTGAATCATTCAAGGAGTGGTCGTCATACATGGCTCGGTGCGAAATAATGGCGCTCGGTTGACCATCCGTGAAGTCGAGTATGAAGGTCGCATTTTGGATCCAAGGCAGAAAAACTGAGCCATTTGTTAACAAGTAAGCAGTGGGACACCATCACTGAAGCCTGCATAAGCTGAACATCGCAAGTTCAGCTCGGTAATTGCATGTACTGAGGAGGGGCTAGGGCTGGGTCACACGGGCAGACTCACATCCCTGCAGCCTTGTCGATCCCGTTAGTCTAGATTCATTATGGCTCATGTTTCGAACCATTAACATATCCTTTTGCCAAACAGCTTAGGCCGTTGCGCAACGAGCGTCATGGAGCCCGTGGGTCTAGGGCTGTCGGTCCTCGCCCTCTACATCGAGTGTATCAAAGCATACAAGATCTTTTCCACGGCGAGCTGTCTCAGCTCTGATCTGCGCATACTCAGAACAAAGTTTCAGATCGAGGAGACTAGGCTGACACAATGGGGAACGTATTGGGGGTATCGATCTTCTCCAGAAGAATGTGCCCTAGATGCTTCCATTGACAATGCGGGACAAAATGTGGCGGTGACGGTTCGATTGACGCTTCAGCAGATCGCCACGCTGCTGAAGGAGTACTCTTCCTTGACGGCCAAGTATGATGGTGTGCAACGCGGCGGAGGTCTAGTGTACCGAGGAATGACATGGGCGCTCAAGGACAAGGCAACTCTGGAGACGACTGTCCAGAACTTGACCGACTTTAACAACGCTCTCCACCAACTTCTGCCAAAGAAAAGCGAACTGTCCCTGTCGCAGGCAGTGGCTTGTGCCCTTACGCAGGAGAATGACAAGGATGATCTCGATAGTATCATCGCTGCCGCGGCGAGTCTGCACCACGTCGACGTAGCTAAGCTAGCAAGGTTCAAAAGAGCCTACCAGCTGTTAGCGTTGGAAGAAGAAGAGCACGACTCCCGTCCGCCTGCGCTGCTCTCTTCTCTTCAGCTCGATGAGGGTAGGATCCAGTTGTCCACGAGACACGCCACCAAGGAGCGCACACTAGCCAATCTGGATGGCGATACACGTGTCATTGTCGAGTGGAAATCGTATCATCCGAGCATGCTCTCTGGAAGCCTTACAGCCCGGCAAACGCTGCGTAACCGGGTCACACACCTCGCAGAGCTTATGAGCTCGAATACACAGCGCCCGGACGGATTCAACGTCCTCACGTGCGTTGGGTACTTTGACCAGGCTTCCTCCGAGCACTTTGGATTCGCCTATGACTTCCCTCGGGACGTCGTGCGCCATATGCCCTTCACTCTCGATGAGCTTTTCACATCGTCCAGTGCGCCTGCGCTAGGCACACGATTCAAGCTGGCTCTGTCGCTCGCGCGGACGTTGAACCTGCTCCATTCCAGCGGCTGGCTTCACAAGTCCATCCGCTCCAACAACATTGTCATCTTCCAGGCGGGGAACAACAACGAGCCGGAGTACGAGAAACCATATCTGCTTGGGTTCGGTTTTTCTCGTCCTGACGGATACCATGAGGAGACGTTCCTCGAGCAGTCCGCCGTGGCATCCACGAACCAGCTCTACCGCCATCCTGAGGTACAAGGCCAATGTGCGAGACGATACACCGCATCAGATGACAATTACAGCCTCGGTCTCGTGCTCTTGGAGGTCGCACTTTGGATGTCTTTGCCCAAGATCGAGGGTCGAAAGCAGACGACCAGCGAGCACGTGCCCCTGAATCGGGACAAAATCAAGGCGACCGTGTCTTCCTTGCCCAAGCGGGTTGGGACGATCTATAAAGAAGTCGTGGAGACGTGTTTGAATCTAGATCAAGGCCGATTTGTGCTTCCAAAAGAAGTCACCCCTCCAACTGCGAAATGGGAGGCAGAGCGGTTGCGTAGCCAGAATATGTTTTACTGGGACGTGGTAAAAAGGCTGGAAGAATGCAGAGCATAGAATAGGAATCTTGGGCGTAATTAGGCTCGCCTCCCTCGTACCGATTTCAGGGCCGAGTCAGTCAGTTGAATGATGCTTAGGGTAACTACTGTATTACAGTAGACCCGACTTTGTACAAGTACAACGCGGGAAGGACGATAATATTGCGACATTCGTGCCTGAGGCTGCAGACCGGAAAAGTGGAGAGCTTCCTCTGTTGGTGGATGGGCGGCGGGCGGCGGGCCGCAGCGCTGGCGCACGGGCAGTCGCCAACGACGCGCATCACACTTGACGTCTTCTACAGTACCCTACTTACCTTGAGGTATGGAAGGTGCGTCCCTAAAGCCGCCATGGGGGGCCAGGGGCTCAATGAAGCTGCCGGGCTCGGGCCATCTTGATGAAACGATCTGGGGTACGGAGACACAATAGGAAGCCATGCCAGATCGTGCGAGTCAATCAAGCTGATGAGGATCTGTTGAGCAAACGTCGGAGTGGTGCGCTGCATGTAGTTTCAGAGCTGCGCCTGTTGCGCCCGCGGCTTGCCCCATTGGATGGGAGCCTCTCGAAATGCATCCTTGCCCTGCAGGCTATGGCCAGGATGCGTCAGCAACATCCTTATTCAAAAGACGATGGGATGGACGCAGAGACGCGAGTTGTTCCCAACAGGATTACGCTCATTCTGTTAGCAATATGGGGTGGCTCTCTGATCGCCTGCGCCGTCACAAGCGTTGCCAAGATGACCACACCTCGGTCGAGGTCGCTGTCCGCCAAGAGGGGGAACTAGCCATCACGGAACATTCACAGCCTCAAAGCGAGGAGACGACAATCATAGGCCAAACCCTACCGCGTCGACAGGCCCACAGACCACAGATAGGGGAGGTAACGGTTGGAGAGCAAGCGTCACAAGAACAGGAGCCTGTCGTCCAGAGACCAGCCCCGGGCAGTGAGCAGCAGCGTGAGACGGGCAGCAGCTCTTGCCACGCCAGTTCATCGGATCCATGGTCGGCAGCATACCAGGAGGCCTTCGGCCAGCTAAGCGAAGAACTCAATGGGATGCTGAAAAGTGGCCGAAATCTGGAGGAGCTCTTCCGGCACCTGAACGAAGCAAATCAGCTGCACAAGGATGAATCGCTTCTCAGGAGAGGCATGGAGAGAATCCAGAAGCCCATCAAGTACTTGGAAATGATGGTCAGCCTGACCAGTCCATTGGCAAGCGTACATCCTGCCTCTTCCGTTGCCTTTGGCATTGTTCAGAGTGTGACGACTGTAAATCGTGAATCCCTCGAAAAGGTGGACACGACGGAACACCGTGGCTAATGGTGGCCACAGCTGGCCATTGGTGTGTGCGGCGTTGAGGAACGACTGAATCAGCAAATCACTCGAATGCTAGAACACATCAACATCATTGATGGGTGCGATGCCCTTGACCGGAAATCCGACGGTGACGTGCCTATACACATGGTACGTTGACACTCGGCACCGGTGGCAACGCGGAATTTGCTCATTTTTCCCAGGCACTCGTGCTGGTCTACAAGGACCTGTTGCTCTTCTACCATGAGGTGATCCAGGTGCTCGCCAAGAAGTCGACGGCGCTCGCGTGGATGTCAGAACAGCTCAATGCGCGGATTCCTCCTGTGGTCGAGGATTTTCTGCGCCACTCCGACCAGCTTCGTCAGCATATTGATAATGCGACGGCCGCCATCATCCGAAACATTGAGGAATGGGTGGTGGAGGAAACAAGTATAATCCCTTCTCCGGCACCCGCGCGCACAAGTTAGCTAAGTCATCGCAGTCAAGCAATCGCTGGGAAACCAGAAGATTAGCCAGTTGGACGCTTTTCACAAGGGACTCAAGCAGAAAATGGCCCCCAGCGCGTGCAGTTGGGTGGGCGAGGACCCGACATTTCGCCAGTGGTATGACAACGCAGCGTCACGGCCGCTCGTCATACTTGGAGACATGGGCTGCGGCAAAACCGTCACAATGTCCTATCTCATCGAACACGTCAAACGGCTCAACAAGGTGCAGATTCCCAGGCCCATCACTGTATACCACTACTGCCGGGACGACGAGACTGGGAACGACCTCTACATCTACTCAAGCCTCCTTCAACAGCTGATGCAACATCAGCCCCGTCTGAAAATCCAATTCCACCAGTGGTTCAAGGATTTGCAAGGCGAGGGCGAGCTATGGCCGACTCAGGATGTAGAGCTACTGAGTGCCTTCTTCTTTACCTGTGTCGATACCCTTGAAAGACCCTTGTTTGCCTTGATTGACGGCCTGGACGAGTGCGAAGAGGGCACGCGTGAGCGGCTTGTCGCACGTCTTAGACACCACTCTGCCGCCAACCCCAAGCTCCGCGTTTGCATGTCGACCAGATATCAGGAAGACGTGCAACGATCCCTTCAAGGCTCCTTGGAAATCCGGATGCACCATGATGAGAGCCGTGACGACACCATCGTCTGCCATCTTGTCACGACACAGTTGCCCAGATTGAAGGGGGAGTCCAGGCATCTCGTCATCAGCAAGCTCTCCAAGCTCGCAAAGGGCAGTGCCATCTGGGTCCAAACAGCGGTGAACTTACTCGCCAAGAAAAAAGTCACACAACTAGATGAGCTTGGGATCTTCCTCCGGCATGAGCTACCAGAGTCCGAGCTATCAGACTTGTACGCCAAGTTATTCTCCCAGGTCACCGAAAATGATGAAGATAACATGGGCATTCTAACTTTTGCCCTCGAGGCCCTGGCGCTTGCGGAGCGACCACTGAGCATTTCCGAGCTGAGCTGGGCTGTCGCCCAACGACGGTTCGAGAACCAAGTCGCCTCTGTGCAAGATTACGAAAGGCGCATCGACACAGAAAGAGCCCTGGAATTATGTATCCCTTTCGTCGCCGGCATAGACTATGAAACACGTTCCGCCCGTCAAATCCGACTGATGCATCAGTCTGTCAGGGAAATGGTCCTTCAGGCGGCGCCATCGCAGTGGGCGCATCTCCGTGCGTCCAGTGCAGGGCAAGGCGCGGTCCATGTTCGATCTTGCCAACGTCTTCATGACCGCCAGCAGCGTCAACTGGAGCTCCACGGCCAGGCTGTTCGAGCCTGCGTGCGATATTGTCTCATGGCTGATCTAGAAAACCTGACGTTGTTCACGGAGGAGGAGTGTCAAACACAGGCCCTCGACGAGATGCCAGGCGCGTGTGTCTTCGAGGATGAGCATGAGATGGATGGTGATCCGGTCCAGGGTGGTGCATCGGGCCCTGACGCCGAGGAGCACTTTTTCAACCCCAGTGATCGCGGGTTTGGGGAATTATTCACCTACTCCTCTTGCTACTGGCTGCATCACCTTCGAAGAGCTGGAGATCAACATGGACTTGCGCTGGCCGACATACTAGCCCTGACAGCTCGAGAAGCGAGGAGGGCGCAGAACTGGTGGGATCAATTCTACCGTCCCGATTGCTCGCTGAGGCCCGACGAATCACAGAGCCGGCCAGAGACTCTCGAGACACTTCCCATCGTCTTCTTGTACGGATCGGACACACTTGCCTTGGAGATGCTGGACTTTGTTACCAAGGAAACAGATGCGCATTCGATGGCGACGCAGACAAGAAATGCTGTAAAAGATCTTCTCCGGTCCATGGATCTGCGTCGTCTCCCCCTGCTGCTCCGCTACAGCCCAGACCAAAATCTTCAGATGACCATGGATCTGTTCAGCGAGGTCATGCGACACTGGGCTCGGATGCATCGCGGCTTGAGCGCCGAAGCGCAAAAGGACTTTGAGACAGTATTCGACCACATTGCCGGTGCTTTCGAGCTCATGGTACAGCAGCAGTGGGGCAACCAGATGCTCTGCTCGGCGGCTTCGTATGGGTGCCTCCCGATGATGGAGAGGTTGTTTGCCGCGGCACGTTCGAACCCGGCGCTAGGGGCAGAGATGCTTCGCGCACCACATCGCGACGCGGCGAGCCGGTTCAAGACAGCTTTCCATCATCAGTCCATTGGCGATGCGGCTTGGAATGGTCGTACCGCCGCGGTTGCGTTCCTCCTCGAACAGGAAGGGATTGATGCTCATCTTCGTTACGTGGACGTCGTGGGCAACAACGTGTTCCACAAAGCTGCGCGCTGCGGGGACGTGGAGATGTTCAGGCTCCTTGCGTCGCGGTTCCCCGAGGGTGTGAACCACAGAAATAAAGACGATGACATGCCTATTCAGGTGCTTGTTTTCGAGCGGTCGAAGCATCGTGTGGTCAAATTCTTGCTCGAAGAGGCACACGCAGATGTCCGGTGCGGCATTACCGCACCAGACGGCCACTGGAAAGAGCCTCTCCGCATGGCCACGCGCTACGGTGACTTGGACATGTGCCGTATCCTCGTGCGCAGCGGTGGTGCCGACCCTATGAGCGTTTTCGAGCGGCAGGGTGATACGCTGGCGTTCAAGGACCCGATTGAAGATATGGAAGTCGCTGCGCAGCTTCGGCAGTGTCTTTTGTCATAAGTGTAGCTGGTCTATAGATTAGAAAGTGAAGCTCGCGACAAGCTTGCTTTTGCTCCGAGGCGATGTTGGCGGGCAGAACACGTAGTCTTGTCTTCCTACCCTGAATCTCAACATGTATTTGTTACGTGACTATCCGGTCTTCAAACACTCGCAGAGACTTATCAGATAGCTCCACTCTTAAGTTCGTCACCACTAAATCTAGAATAAATTACACGCGCGTCCTTGCCATCTATGTGGCGTGTTCCAACAACTATAATGCTTATTGTGCCCGGACGCCAGTTCTACTCGGGACAGAAGAATAGGCTCATGATCTAATTTCTGCCAAACATTTGATACATACGACCATACCCAGTGGAAAATACGGGATCCCGTCTAGTTCTTCCCTTCCGCTCAACCCCTTCTATTACTGGAGGTTGATTCTTCCGAGTTCGGACCCCACGACCTCCAAAAATGGAGGTCATTGACCTCGTCATCCACACACACATGCGCCTGCTACGTGCGCCCCCTGCTCACACCTATTTCTATTTTTAGAGTTTGTTCAGTTTTAAACAGTGAACTGTACCGTTGCGTTGTATTTTAAAATTGAAATCATGTACTGCGCATCGGATAATGGTGTCTAGAAATAACGTATATGCATAGCATGTGTGCCAGCATAGCATGTGTGCCACCTGCGACGTTCGTGTTAGACCAGCTATAGGATAGGTAGATCTGAGGTCGGTTTATGTACAGAGTACACTAGGTTGTCTTTGACCTGAGCGGTTCGGGTCACAGTCTGGTGCGACAGATATTAATCTGAGCGTTGACTATTGTATTGATAGCTGGAGAGCTAGGTAGGGACTGACAATGGCAAAGCGTGGCTTCCTACATACTCTGAATGATTGCGAGGGCTCACGGGAGCGTCGTGAGCCAGTGAGCCTTGTGGAGTGTGTTGGAGCGTTGGCTCGCGGTGAGGTCGTGAGCCATTCTGGACGTGGTTGGTGTGATTGGAGGAAAAGGTGGAGCTGGTCTAGATCACGTGCACCCTGCAGGCTGGTCGCACTGAATCGTAACACCACCCCACCGCGATGGGCATGAGCTCCATGGGAGAAGGGGTGGGCGGGTGAGGTCGTGTCTCGCGGAATGACAATGTCAGTAGAGTTGGCAGGATGCGCTTCCGCCTTGGGTACGCGAATGGTGACTGTCATCCAATCCTCCTTGTTGTCGGCCACCGGGACGCATCGGCCCTCGGCCCATGACTGCATGGCCTGCTGGACGACGGCGAAATTTTTGGCGCTGCCGGCGATGATTCCCACGCCGTAGTCGGCTCCACGCTCCTCGCCCGCACAAAGCTGGACAACGGTCGTCTTGGCGAGGGACTTTTGCTCCGCGTACATGATGAAACTTTCCAGTACCTGTGCGGTGAGATGATGCTGATGGACTTCGGCGCCACCAAAGACATCGATGATGGAGGACTGAAAATAGGCCAGGCTCATGGAATTGCGCGAGCAAGAGGGCTCCGCGAACGCGAGATAATTGACGACTTGGCGGCCCGCTGTGAGAAGATGCTGCGTCGAGAAGCTATCTTGGGCTCGGGCGGCTGGTACAGACGACGAGAGGGCCACGGAGATGTTGAGCATGACATGATTGGGTGTGGTACAGACCGCAGCAACACTCTCTTGTTCGCCTGCGAAGGAGACGGCTTTCGGAGTCGGAGAAAAGTCGGCCGCACAGGCCTCGATGGCGAGTTTGGTGTTCTGGCCGTTCTCGACCTCATTCTGAAAGACGACCTGATGAAGCATGGTCTCGTTGCATGCTGCCAAGCTAGCTGGGTCTGGGTACAAGGCCCAGCCATCGCCCGATGCCGCCGCTTCACTACAAAGAGTAGGACAGACTGTCAGCGCCGGTGCCCTTTGAACACCAGAAAGCCACTCTGCCATCTCGCCATTGCCGGCCGTGTCTATGTTAGACGCCGAGTCATCCTGCGTGATGACTTTTGCTGGCAATAGGCTCTGGGCACAGCTACCAGTTGCGAGCAGAGCACCATGGAGGCGAGGACCAATGGCTTCCACGAAGAAGCCATGGCTAGCTGATGCCTCACGGGAGAGACTCTCGCGATTTTGGATGAAGCCATAATGATGGAATCTCAGGTGCAGCTCCGATAGGCGAGAGCTATCTTGGAGAATCTTCACCTGCAAAGGAGCGGATGAGAAGGAGGCGCATCTAGGAAGGAACTAGTCAGCACAGGGATGGAGACAAGGCGGAGGACTTCGCCCTTACCTGCCTACAAATACTTCGGATATGGTATAAACGAGAAGAGAGACGACTAAAGGAAGGACTAGAAGAAAACTTCTTTCTTTTGGCGATATGATTGCAGGCTTGTGGATAGCGGAGACATGCGATATTGAAGCAGCGCCCACTTGTCGCATTTTGACGATGATTAGCGTGCTGTAAGTCCTGGCATACTGTATTCGTATAGGACCGTATGCTCCCGAGCAAGAGACGGAGCTTCGTCGGACTCTTGCGACTGCTAAGGACCCAGTGAGCTTTGATCACTTGTTGACTTGCGCTGGGACTTTGTTGCCCAAGGCGGACTGGAGCCTCGGGACGCGGGACAGAGATTTTCTTCGCCTCGGTCCGCCGCTGCCTCCTAGACGAAGCGTATAGGCAAGAATTGATCGCGAATCTCCGGCACGAACGCGCCTTGGCATATTGTACGGACTGGACCCTGGATGCTGGCTGGAGGTTGTTAGCGCTAGACGTTCCTGCACAGGCGGGCGGTGACCCCCACCCCTGCGGCTTCCAGGACCCTTTGTTCTAGAATCAGCCCCGCAGCTGCACCTGTCCGGTACCGCGGGCCGTTCCGGGGAGTACCGTGCACGGAGATGCGGCAGGGATCTACGAGTACGCCAGGCGGCGCGCGGAGATTGGATTTGGGACTACATTAGTTATAATTTATCCGCATAGAGCATTTGTATAGGGAAGCTAACAGCCGAACATGAGGGCTATCACCGACACAAGCGGCACTTTTGGTATCCTGCCCCCTGCAGGATCTCTTGGCCTGCGTTCTTCAACACTGGCCTGCTGCTTGGCGTCAAGGGAGCCAGCCGTCTCTTGTCTGGTGCCAGGGTCGCGTAAGCTACCGGCCAACCTTCTCATTTCCGCTTCAGCTTCTCCAGAATCTTTTACCTACCGTCTAGTTAAGGTCCTCGGAGCGTAAATTCTCGCCGTGTCTCCATAGTGCGCCGAGGGCACATGGCCCCTCTAACAGACAGCTGGAAAGGAGCATCTTCCTCGGAAGGAGGCGGCCAAAAACCATACAGGCTAGTCATTCAGGAGACTGGGCGGCCGCGGGAGAAGTGGACGGTCTCGCGGCCCTGAGCCGGGGCCTCCTCTTGGCTCTCATGTCCAGTCCCTCTCGACAGAGACATTGTAGGCGTCGTGCCGCTCCATACTGTTGAAGTCTGCGTGTTCCGCCTTTCCATCTTCCCTCTGCCTCTTTCCTGGCTTGTTCACGTGTCTTCTATTTTTTGCCACCTCGAGAACTACCCAGCATACGTCCTTCATTCCTTCTCCCTGGAATCTACTTAGCCACCTCCGTCGTTGTTGGTGGCTACCAAGGGGCCGTTAAAAGGGTCCTCCTCTATTACGCCTACCAGATTAACGGTCTCAGCGACCCAAGTTACCGCTCGCTTGGATTTAGATACTTCAAGTGGAAGGAGGATACCTAGGAGTGCTTAAATAATAATTAGGTCGAATATAACTGTAATGCCTTTGACGATCCCCTCAAGCCGGGCGGCAAGCGATGCAATTTCTAGGAACTCATGACTGGTCTAGGCCAGACAAAGGGAGGAAATAACCCAGAATCACTGATGCCCGAGGGCGTCAATGCCAACGCCAAGACTTTGCCCATTGAGAAGACGGCTGTCAAGTTCTACATGTACCAATCCGAACACATGTCTATCAAGGACCGGGCTACGGGCGTGGTGGAGAAGGGGCACGTTGGCATCTACAACCCTTACAAATTCCAAGGTCCGGCGGCACAAACTACAATGAGTGGATTGGCGAGCTCGGTGACTCGACTGATACTAAGAACGCCAAGGGCCGCCCCTATCTCGTTCTCGAATATATATTGTGTTGGGTAACCTGGTCAAGCAAAGGGGAATATGGAATAAGCCAGCCTCGTAGAGAGGCTGCTGTCGCGACCGTGGACGCACCGCCTGTCTGACCTTGGCTGCAATCTCACTTGAGGTCATCACGGACTTCGCGACTAGGCAGATGGCTAAGCATACACAATGGGATCCAAAATATGATCTCAGGAATATGGCGGGATCCCGTATCCTTCACCAGGTATGGTCGTTTGTATTTGCTCCACGTAAACACGAATGTTGGTATTACACAATGCTCACCACATAGTGTTGGTAGATGAAAGCTTGCAACCTTCGTCGTCATGTTGCTGGAATTACTGTTTTTCTTTGTGTTAAAGATGAAAACGTTAAGAAACGGAATTATAGTATAGACACGCGCATAAACACACACACATACACACATACATACACACTATATATATACATACATACATATATACATATATACATATATATATATATATATATATATATATCTATACGGGAAAGGTTAAAAATAATCCGAATAGATCGTACGCCTCGTTGAAATCTATCTGATAATGATACCTAGAGTCGTAAGACCCGTTTTGTCCCTGAACTCGTCATTCATCCGTATCTTCCCGTACCAGAAAGCTCGCAGGCATGGGCACAGAACGTTCCTCCATTTGGAACGGCAAAGCAGCATCAGCGCTGATTTGTTTGCCAGTTTCGGCGTCGACTGTAGTTCTTCAGGTCAGCACAAGATTCAGGGACAGGTCTGATCACGAGAGGACATCGACAAGACTGGTTGGGCTCGGTACTCACGACATCTGAACGTTACATCTGCAATTCCAACAACGGCCTCGATCAAGAAGCGCACTTTAACAACGGGGTTTCTGTTGCCCCGACTCCAAATCGTGTTCTTTTTGACGATGCTTCCGCGACCTACTTGGGAAAGATCTGCGTCGAGCGTGGTGTGCAAGCGGACAACCTCTGCACCAGCAAATGTCAGTGTCTCTGGGAGGATTCTTGATGCAGAAAGCTCCTACCAAGCTCGTTGAAGTCCGGAACTGGATTACGCAGCGAAGTCATGATTGGGACTTGAGCTCTGCGATGAGATGGATCCAGCTCAAGTCCAAACTCCACGCTGAAAGGGTACCGAATGCTTTTGCTATCGTTGATGTTATCACCCTAAGCGAGATTAAGCTGCGTACTGTGCAAATGCGATCCATGTCCGATACTTACCCATCTCACAAACCAATCCATGTAACCTTCGACCCAACGCTGACCGGATTGATCTTTGGTGATTCGACCCTTGTCTTCCGCCAGACGCTGCAGGTGTTTTTTGCTCCCAGTCGCCATAGTCTTGCATCGCACACGACAAGGAACCCCCAGCGAGGTTCTAGATAACCGGCTGCGGAACATGGTCGAGCTCTCGTGGCTCTGAATGGCATGCTCGAGAAGTCCTCGGCATACCGACATTTGGGGCTCGGTGGATTGATGCAGCTTAGCTCCTCGAAGCGAACCAAGCTTAGATTTCGAGATGTGACCGAATATTTCTTTCTGAACGTATTTGGAGCTCCCTAGCCCACCCGAGAGTATGACATGGTTCTGTGTTTAATCAGCAATAATCATCAAAACAATGCGCCAGACGTACGACTTGGCTGTAGCGCGGCGAGGCTCGAAGCCCCTGATGCTCCATCATGCTATCCAACATCCAGGTCATTTGAACAACTTGCGTGTCAAAGATCTGTCGTAACTCCGACCTAACTAACATGTCAAAAAGTGTTACCAGTAGTGATTGGGCAAGCCTAAGCCACCTACCAAGCAAATTGCATGTCTCCGTCCTTGACTCTCAGTGACGCCTCAGAGATGGAGTGCGGCATGTTCGGTATTTTGATCCGAAAGGTGTCCTCATCACCCCAACGACCTGACCCGAGCTCCTTCTTGTTGCTCTGGAAGTCAATGCCTCTCATCATTTGCCAGGCCACGTCTTCAATCGAGCTACCGAGCATATGTGCTAGTGGTTGTAATCGTGCTTTGGCGAGCTCCATGAATCCACTGTCAATGAATGTCGACCCGCATTGGGTTCCTAGGGTTGAGTCAGTCGGACATCCACATGTACGAGTTCATACTTTCCTTGGACTGGCTTCACCTCACTCATTGAAATCTTTCCCTTCAAGGCGTCGTCAATATTTAGAAAACAGAGGTCCTGCTTGCAGGTTAGAAGATGGAGAGGGAAAGATGTGAAACCGGGGAATGAGAGAACTCACTACTGTGCCTCCTCCTGCATCTATGATAAGCACGGTCTGGCCGCTCTGGAGAAAAAAAAAAATCAGACGTTAGCAAATGTAAACAATGACATCAAGCCAAAGCTTGTCCTGCAAATTTTCCTGTGAAATGAGACACTCACTTCAATGAAGCCCTCGCAGGAGAGGGTGTAAGCAGCCACGGCATGCGGCTCGGTCAGGGTTGCTTTCACATCAAACCCGGGCTGGCTGCCGAAACCTGCTCTCCTGGCAAGGACGCAGAATTCATCCACAATTGCGGTGTCCCAGGTTGCAGGGACACTGAAATAAAAGCGTATGGATGCCCTGTCCCAATGCTTTCCGTTCAGCACAGCTGGCGGGAACTCGCTTCGGAGCTGCTCGTACAGACATTCCAAGTAATCAATGTACAGTCGCCGTACCTTAACCTGCCTGTCCGAAGCTCTCGGGCCTACTCCAAAATCTGTCTTGAACCATTCTTGAACCTCGCCATAGTGGTCGTTCTCGCATTTGAAGCCCCAGCTCGAAGGCTTTCCTTTGTTGTCAACGTACTTGAGACGGGTGGGCGCTTTATCCTCAACCCTGTAACCGCCCCAATCCTTGAAAATCTGGACAATGTTGTTGCCTCTAGTTCTGTTGAGGTAAGAAACGCCGGTACCTGCGGTGGGGATTGCGTCAGAATCTTGCGCATAGGAATGGGCGGATAGTTGCTGCCTGCTTACAGCTCATGCCAAGATCGATGCCAAAAAGCAGATCTGGGCCATCGTTCATCTTTACCATGGGATATGTTGGTGCTGTGCCGTATTCTTGCAAGTTTGTGTCGTTTGTGGTCTTTTCGCGCACACCAGCGAGGCTAAATAGATTGGGACACTGGACGGTCGAGCCGCTGCAGCAGTAGCAAGAAATTAGCGCCTTGCAGGTCTGGACATTTCAGAGGCATGTTGGCTCAGGGGTTTAATTACCAATACTACTTTCACCTGCAAGCGGGTGGAGCAAGCGTATCTTATGCACGTTGGTTGCAACATTGATCGGGGGGAGACTACATGTAGGCTGTTGCAGCACGAGTCGGCGTTCAGCTGAGTGTGAATCCTTCGAAAAGACACACTCCCGGTCGCCCACTGACCCGGCCGGGCCGGACAAGACTCTTTCTCTTCATCCTATTCTTGCAATTTGGCCACTGAGTCCGGAACTCATTACTCATTTGAAACAAATACCATCCACTGAGTGTAACCGCGGTGATGGCCTTGATCCATCGTAACCCAGTGGCCGAACCACAAATTGACGATTTGCCGACAAACACAATTGACCCAAATCTTGTAAGAGGTGACACCGAAGCTTCATCGAGCCACGACTTCGGAGCCAAAGTTCTGCAGATGACAAGATGAGGTACTGAATTACAAAATAGGTACCAACGATAACATCGACTACCACCTCTCCAGATATCGCCGCTCCTGCGGCGGCGCAACCCACCGTACTAGCAACCTCACAGACACTTGAGACCTCATTGGCATTATCACCATCGTCAGTTGATTCAGCAATCACCGGGATACCTTTGGGTCATTCGTCAACGATCTCACCAACTTCAACTCCCACTTCGCGATCGACACATGAAACTTCAAGTCCTTCTGCTACAGAAGCTGGAGGCACAGTCTCTCCAGCCGAGGCTGGTGGTATTGCGGTGGGCGCTGCAGTTGGCGGTGCGATCCTTGCGGTTTTAGTTTTGCTTGCTTTCCCCCGGCTCAGAAGACATCGACGCGATCGAACAGAGGCTTCTCCTTTGTTTGCAGAAGAAGAGAAAAAGAATATACCCCGAGTCGACAGCGTACTTGATCACCTGCCACAGGGGTTCGCAGATGAGACCTTCCGCCAGAAACTCGGGAAGCTCAGCACAGACATCAAGAATTTCGTGGACAGCTTCTTCAACGAGGCGCATCTCCAGCTGGACGCTTCGACTGAGGCAAGCCTCCAAACCCTCGCTGGTCCACCAGTCACTGCGTCATCATGGTCGGCCGCTTTTCTCAACGACAAAACACGACGTTGTGTCATTCGCTTACTCATAGCTCAACTTCTCTTCAAGAGTATCCATCCCCAAAATGATACCGATGTCAACCTACTACCTCACCAGCTGTTGGCTGCTTACCAAATCTTCCAGAAAGGACCACAAAATAGCAAGAGAGAACGTGGATTTGGATCAGGTACGTCGATTCTCTATATTTCATCTCAAAAGAGACTCTCTGAGTACGCTGCTGACCTTGACCCAAGACATACCTAGCCGCAAAACGCTGTTGGTGCTATGGCGCCAGATTTCTAGCCATCTCTTCCCCGCAGAGCTGAGAATAGAGCAAAATCATGCAGAAGTTGGCAAGATCGCATATGCGCTAGCTCCGCTCCACCCAGACACGCATGGTAGCTTCCATCGTATTCTCGAGAGCCTAGTTCAAGACGCGGGTCAGCTGGGGCTCGAGCTTTTCGCGGATGCACATGAGTGGGAACCGATATGGACTCAATCACACAACAACGTCAATGGGGCCATGGTGGTGTTTCCCGGCGTGCAACTTTCTCGCAGGAGCACCGGTGGAGAGCAACACCACGACGATATGGAAATCAAGGTCACCCTAACTTCATGTATTGTAGAGTACTGAGCAGAGAAACGGATACTACCGCATGGAGATGGACACTCGGGACTCCAACTTGAGTAATGTGCGCTTCGATAGATTTCACCGAGTAGAGCTAGCTCCTCCTTTCAACCAGTATTGACTGACCCCTTTTATACTATTGAAGAACCCCAAACCGCATCGGCTATGAACCCTTTTCTGTAATGTTCGAGGAGTCAAGCTCCGGCAGATTAGCTGTCCCGAAATCTTGAGGAGTTTTAAGACTGCCTTGGGCTTGATTTCAAGATTCAGCCTGAGCTCAGAGTCGATGATCGCATGGTAGGTGTGCACTCACCTCTTTGAGCGTATGCCGCCCCATTACTTCGATTGAGCCTGCCAATGTCGGAACAGAGAGAAAACTTCTCGTTGCTTGTAGCCTCAGATGAGCCCAGAGTAGAAACGAACGACGTCTGACGAGAAACAGAAGGCCATGACGGCGCAGGGCGTTGGCTTGAGGCGCGTCCTAGGTCGCCACTTGACATTGGTGACCAGGAGGGGCGGGCCACATATGTTCCAGCTTGGAAAACCATCATATGCATAGCGCTGATAGCGGCCAGGAGCGTCGCGTGGGAGTAATTCAATGATCTTTCTTGATCCGCGAGTTTGTCGTAATTCTTCAAAAGGTACTCTAGTCTAGCATCCAGCTTGGACTCGTTGCCGGCGCCTCGGAGGATGAGCTGGCCAAGTTCATCGAGGGCTCTCAAGGTGGAATCGATCGCATTGGAAGACCATTTCCGATAGAATTCGGGACAGTGTTCGAAGAGTCTGGCACCGTCAGCTCGACAGCGCAGAGCATGCTCGACGTCCTCTGCCACCTGCTCCACCAGTCGTACGAATATTCTCGAGCAGTCTGGGACGCATTTGAGGTCAACAGCGAATTGGACCAAGCGAAATGTAGCGAATATGCTGGTGTAGGCGCTTTCGGAAATGAGGGACTCTAGAGGCATTGTTTGTATAGGCCATGGATGAAAAGCACACGATGAGATCAGTTGCTGGATGGATCACTGTGATCTTCGACGCCGGTGGAGAAGTCCGCACTTTGAAAACCGCAGCCGCTCTCTCGTCACCATTCTCGGAGAATGAACTACGGTTGAGATTGCAGTCATTTTGTGGAGGCTTCTGCCTGAAGAAGACTAGACTCAAGACATCCCTGTAATCCAGCGCGCAAACAAACTCTGGTTGCAATGCGACCACGCCATGCAGATACGTATGCGTCTTCTGGGGCCTATTGCCCACGGGGCCCCCACGGGCTATTCAGTATCTTCGTCGGCTGACCAGGGCTGCCACTTATCGTCATTTCGACTTGTAGCAGCTGGAGAAAATGGATCTTGCGGCGAGAGACTTTGTCTACGGCAGCTCGGTTGGCATGTGATCTTTGTGTCTCGTTGAGAACGTAAAAGAGGAGTCTTTGAAGCGGGGAAATGCTGTCACGGGTGGGGTGTGAAGTTTGTCCAATTGGGAAGACCTCGTGACGACGCAATACGATAGGCGCGTTGTGATGGAACTATTTCGGCCAATGGAGCAGTGGCCACGGACGGAGCTGGCCGATCCGCATGTTTCATATTATGCTGTTGGTCGTTGCTGTATGTAAAGTCCCACTCCAACTTGTGCCCAACCAGCCTCTACAGGAGGCGGGGGTTTCCGCAGCCAGAGAAGGAGATAATGCAGCTCGAGTTGAAAAGAAGTACGGAGGACTACCGGTTAATTCTGATTACAACCGGCTTCAGCCGCTTAGGTGTCCGTGCTAGGCACCTTGGAGTAAATGTCCCAAGGTCGTCGGGAATGAACCGTCCAATTACGAGCAAGCTACGCCGATCATCTGGCTTGCAATTCTCATTGCCATACAACAAACATCAGCATCTTTGAAGCATTCCCAATCTACTGCTCTGAGATCGTCCTCAAGCTGCTCCTCCCAGCGATTCCCAACGACCATACTTGTGACTCCCACAGTGGAGGCAACAATGTCAAGCTACTCCAACACTTGACGAATGGTAGTGGGAGGAAAATGCTGTATGCGGGCAACTCCTAGACAATGTGCCTCTGACCGCGGTCGCGGGAACGGGCATCTTGCTCGGGGAGACGTCTGACGTACTGGGCGCGCTCAATAATGAAGGGACCAATCTTCAGCAGCTCAATGAGCCGTTGCCCTTGGCTAGCTCCGAGGGGAAGGTCTACGAAACGCCTGACTTGAAGTCCGTGTTGCAGGTTTTTAGCCACCTATAACAATAGAAGGCCCGTATAAGAGGATATTCGCATTGGAATATCTAAAGATCTGAAAGCCTTTTATCAGAGACATAGTTGCAAAGCTCAACATGTTGATAAATAGCTACTGCATGTATACACTCATTGACTGCCCCTACGTCGGCGTCTGTCCCTAGCCTGCTGTAGCAATCTCTCATGCGGCACCGTCTCCTATTTTAGCCTTGTTTCTTCTGCCTCCATCCATATCTTAGCGTTACGCTTAGCAAGTTCCTCCCATGTCTCATCTAACTTCCTCCAAATATTCTTGGCCCCCTCGCAATCCGCGAGATTGATATATTCATGTTTCCTGTTAATCAGTTTGTCGGTATTTGTGGATGGCGTGAAAGGTGTTTCGCCATATACACCCCGCTTCAAGAAGCTAAGCACGGATCGAGAGTTTCCCTTGGTAGCTTTTTCGAAGGGACATGCGCCGTTTTCCAGAAGAAACTTCATAAACATGGCTGTTTCACTTGAAATCGGCTTTCTTGCGGCATAGCGTAGAGCTGACATACCGGAACTGGTATTCTCAGACGGACCTTTGGGATAGTCAACATCAGCACCGAGCTTGATGAGAGTTCGTGCCAATGGGATCGAAAAGGTCGATTTGGCGACATTGACCAGAGCAGCTGACAAAGTTTTCTGTTTCACTCTGTCATTCCGAAACAAGTGCTTCCATATTTCCCCCAGTCTTTCCTCTGTGATAGCATTCTTCGTTTTCTTGATGACGGTTGATTTGAATAGAGCCTCTAGTGGGTCCACCCCGCTCCTCTGAACACGAATTGTGAGAAGATATTCCTTGAAGTGGGAATAAACCTCGGTGGAATTGGTATGCAGCATAGGCACGACCAGTTTCGAAAGGTCGTCCTGATTCGACTTTCGGAGCGCCCACTTGACTATATCCACGTCGCCTGATTCCACTGCTGCTATCACCAAGTCTGTGTGAAGGTGCTTCCAATCCTCAGGAATGAGTAGCCGAACCATTGGATAGGACCCTTTCTCGACTGCTATTAGTGACGCTGCCGTACGAATAGTCGACCCTAGGCTTTCGCAGACAGGAAGCGCCAGAAGACGTTTTATGCCATCGATGTCCTCGTCTGCCACAAGTCGAAAAAGAAGCGGTTGAATCTCATCTTTTTCCAGCCCGTCCAAATCTCCGGGTTGGGTTTCCTCCCTCATATGACGCTCAAGCCAGTGCGTCTCTCGGTTCTTCTTAGAAGTGAAGCCAATGTTTCGAAATTCACAGGCTGCATTGGTGCATTTCCAAGGCCTGTAATGGCATAGATAATGGTTGCATCGGTCTATGTCTGACTCGAATCCGAGACGGTTACTCTCGCAGAAGACAAAGTGGCATTTGTAGAGGCGACCACCATAGTTCCTCTGCAGTTTAGCGCATTGGCCACCGCAGTCAGCGTTGTGGAAAGCTCGAGAACAGACTAAATCATTGAAGAGTTTCTGAACCCGGACTAGCATTTTTGACGTAGTTAATGGATCTAAGTCAACCCAGTCATGGCCTGTAGAGACAGGATTAGCCGAGTTTCCGAATAGTATCTGGTGGTTGTATCCCGAGGGACAATGTAGACCTACTTTCCGTTCGATTCCAGTCTGGCACTTTCTCGTTGTGACGAAACCGCAGAGATGCCCCAAGCATATTATGACCTTCTGATGAGTTCATCGCCAGGGTCTCATTGATGCATGGCGGTCTCGAGGAGTCTGCTTCATCTTCATACTGGTCATTCTCCGCTTGCCGGGCCAAATCTGTCAGCATCCTGTTGAACTTGGGATATATGTTGTTATCATCAATGTCCCGTACAATAGGAAGGGCTAAGGTGTGCCAATTGCTCGCAAAATATTCTAGAAGGCGATATTTCCCCGACAAGAGATTTCGCTTTATGTCCAAATCGGAGAGTTCAACGCTTAAATCCTGCGAACTTAGGTAGGAGAGGCCCCATAGAGCCATTTTAAGCTTGGCTTGTTTTGCTTCAATAGAATTATTGAGCTCTTTGGTAAGGAAGTGACTGATAGTTTATATTAGAATCCCCACATGCCATAGGTGAAGTTTAAGAAGAAGAGAAAGCTTACCTTTTGGCCGTGACGTGAATAAACTGTGGCCAACCATCTATGACCTCGATGATGGGACCGCAAAGCCTGACGAAATTGAGTGAAGTTGCACTTGGAAGCGCTTCGCCAGCACTAGTTCCCAGGAGTATGACCTGTTCCAACTCGAGAGCTGTGAGGCGAGTCGGGGAGCATGCAATCCAGAGAAAAATATTCCGACATTTGTTTTGATTGTTTGGATTGATGCGCTGGAAGATTCGTTCATATCTGATTGAAATTGTGAGTATAAATAATAAGGGGTTGGTGTAACTGGACTTACGCTTCGTTTAATTCAGTCGGAAGACATCTGAACACCTGGCGAATTTCTTCGATACCATGTAGGTTATCTAGGAGACCCATCATAATACGTGCATAAAGAAACATTCCTTTTCCACGCAAATCGTTAGCCCTGCATGTTTGTATGACGGTGCCTGGCCCATCCGACAAGAGTTTACTTACCCTTAGCGTACGCTGATAGATCTGCCAGGAGGCGAACTATCTCTGATTGGGAGTCGGTGTCGTCGCAGTGTTCATCCATCCATCTCCCTAGCCTGTCGTTAATGTATGTCTGAATGGCCCCTTGGTTTTTCTGATCTACACGAATATCCTTTGCTTTGAGCTTGAGAACCTGCTCGATATCGTGCACATCTCTGCTCGAAATGAGGACCTTGAGCTCCTTGCAGACCTTGCAGATCATTTCTAGATTTTGTAAGAGTATCTGGCGCTCAATCTCCTTGATCTCGTCAAGCCCGTCGATGATGATATATGCCGGCCCAGCCGACATGAGTAAGGACTTAAGCAAGTTTGCCGCATATTTGGTGTTGCCCTGTAACTCTCGCTCGCTTGCTTCCACCAAGACAGTCCTGAAAGCCGCATTATTCGTCGCGGCCTGGAATATCAATGTTTGAATAGATGAAAGCGCCGTTTCATCCGGATTCTCCTGGCTAGCGAATGCGAATAGCACCTGATTGCTTTTCTTGACGTGATTGATAGCCGCCGCCGCAAGATATGTCTTGCCAGCCCCAAGAATTCCATGCAACCATAGCCAAGTCGAGTCGCGTTTAGAGACATCGAGCCAATGATTGAATTTGGGGTCGCGAAGCAACCAATTCACTGAACCGGGGTGACATCTGTTGCTCAGTCCATCCAGCTCCTTATCGTACAGTACTGGAGCGATGCGAGACCTCAAGCCATGGAACTTCCGCGTCTCTTGTTCCTCGTCATCTTTTTTACTCTTCACCAGCGCTTCATCCCTGGCCTTCTTTGCCTCTTCAATTTCAAGGAAAGTCACCTCCTTTTTCAAAAGGCGTCCGTGCTTTTCGAGATTCTCGACGACGACACGGAGTTCCTTCTTCTTGGCCGCCCACGCTATTTCAAAGGCTTTGTCCGCCTTTTCGATTACTTTGTTCCGAACCCGGGCGAGTAAGCCGCGCGCAGGCGAGCACCATTTGCCGAAGAACTTCAAGACCGCAGCATAAAAGTCAAGGATATCCTGGAGGAATAGAACATGGACGGATCGGACTGCCTGATTCTCGTTGAAAAGGCTGGCCATTGAAGCAAAGCGTGGCAGCGCCTGCGCAATCATTTCAGTTGCATCTACCACGGAGTCCACGGCCTCATAAAATTCAGATGACCATAGAAGCAGGAGACGAATTGGACCCCATATAAGAGCGAGTAGGTCGGGTTTGATTTGGACGTAGGTGTCAAAAACACAGGCGAAGTCTTTGAGGCGAAGTATGAATGGCTCGAGGCGTCCCATGCCCCGCATTCCTAGACTAGAGGCTGCATCTTCTTGTGCTTTCTTAATCAGTTTTGTGACTTCGTCAGATCCAGTCGTCTGAAGTACTCTCTCGTAGATATCCGGGTCACCGACACTTTCTTTGAACCGTCGCTTTGCTATTTCGAAATCAGCGTTAATAAAATCAGACGTGGTAGGCATTTTGGTATCGTCAGTCGGCCTGTAGGAGTGTGTGCTATGCTCTTCGGACAATGTCGAAAAGCTCGCTGCCCTGCCGCTGGCCTTATCTACCTTATAACTGGTATCCATCGGACTTGCCGTAAGAGTAGGCAGATGGAAGTGGGCCGCAGCGCCAGTCCAGCCGGGGAGCGCCTTCCAAGTTCCAAGCGCCAGACTAAGTGGGGGGAATCTGCGGGACCGGGGAGACCCATGCCTTCCGTACAGATCACAGACCACCTGACTGACTACCAATGGTATAACTCCGAGTGCTACATTCGCATCACCGATGCTATCTCGCGACAAATAAACCGGGTATACATACATGTCGCCGGAGGTCAATTCCTGAAGACTCGATCCCAGCTCTCCCTCCTACGATGGTGCTCCGTATTCTGTGCAAAGATTGATCAGTTCTCGGTCGGACGCGTGGCCGGGGGGGTAGAGGGTGGTACGCATGGGTCAAGGCGCATGAGCAACAACCAACACAACCAACAGCAAAGGCCCAGTTGACCGACTCTTGCATGGCACGAAGGAATCTCGTCACATCATTTGCATGTATTGTGATTTCAGCTACCGCAGTTGTCTTCAATAACCTTAGCTCATCGCCACTGGCCCTTTGTTGCCCCGTCGGCCCGCAGCTCGCAGTCCTCAACACACCTTTCTCGTACTCTGAACTCATGACACCAAGTTATTAAACTGCAATCAAATTTCAAAAACGGGCTCAAATGTGTGCGCAGATGCGACTGTCGCAATGAGTTCGCCAGGGAAGAGACCCAACAATGGCCTCTACCCAGAGGCACGAATGTTGAACAAGAAGCCCAAGCTCTCCGCAAGCGGCCCGAATTTTTCTGCCGACTGTGGCACCCGTGTGTTCACTCAGCCATCCATCCCAATTATTGACCTCACTGGAGACGATGATGACGAGCCTCAACTCGCGCAGCAGGCGGAAAAGGCGAATGTGAACCCTGAGTTCTTAAGCGCGAAAAGCACTGCGGCGCAGAGAACCTCACCGATGCTAGTCGACTTTACTGATGATTCCACGGATGCCGAGTCTTCTCAAACACCGTCCTCGCAAGGTCTTACGGAAGAGTATGCCAAGCTTCAGTTAGCGGAAACAGAGGATGAAGCTCAGAGCAAACGTGCAATAAACCCATACGTGCAAAAATCAGGGCCCGCCTGCTTCGGTTTGGTAGGCATTCGATCTCTTCTCGTCCGGTCTTGTTAACATATTTCAGCTTTTGATAGAAGCAACATCTACTGGTGCTGTCGACTTGCCTCCCGAATGCACGCCAGCCACCCTGAGCTATGAAGGTGCGTTGGTCAGGGTACACATAGACGGCATGAGTACCCGGGCCGCCATTTTCATAGACGAAACGCTGCCCGCAGTCATTCGGAACTACTCAGTCACGTTGAATGCCACTATATGTGGGAAGAAGTCAAACCCCATTGCTGGTAGAGGCGCAGGCTCCAAGACTAGAACTCGGGGCCCACGAATCTGCCACATTCGGGTTACAGTCTACGGGATTCTCGAGGAGAAAGATGAAGTTGGGACTGCACTCATGAGTGGCAAGCTCTTTCTACAACACCCATGCCCGTCAGAGTTTGATGCGACCATCAAATACTTCAATCCGCAGTATTTCCTTTTGCCTGGTGAGGAAATGCCCTCGATAGAATCTGTCAACACGGTACCATGCTGTGAGGTTACAGGTACTCGGGAACCACTTGGAGAAGCAGAGCGCAGTCAAGTCTTGAGAATATTCGACTCCACCTACACTGCTGATGCAGACTTGGATCAACTGAGGGGCAGGCTCACGCCAAGTCCTCGTCTACGTACAGACCTGAAAAAGTATGGCAATTGTGACCTGTGGGACATTTTGGACAACAATTCTGATACTGTGATATTCAGACATCAACTTGAAGCTCTTGCCATGATGATCGAAAAAGAGACTGGGGCCTACACTACCGCGAGGTTTCCTACGCTCTGGGAAAGAGTTGCAACCCCGGGCGGGCTCATCCGGTAAGCCCCTACCAAGCTCATGTCTCTCATCGTATGCCACGAAGTGAATTGCTGACCCTTGGCTCGTTTACAGGTATCAGCACGTCGTGACGAAAAAATACGAAATTGAGCCGCCGCCCTATGTAGGTGGCGGTGTACTTGCTGATGTGAGTTGATCTTACATAAAGGAAACTCTGATCTAATAAGTATAAGGAAATGGGCTTAGGAAAAACTCTTTCAAGCCTCTCCTTGATTTGCCATTCCCTTGACCTGATCACCAACACCACGGCGAACACACAACATGAACCAAGAGGCACTCTGGTGGTAACACCAATGTCAAGTAAGGCACACCATATACTATCGACATATCTTCGGACAGAAGAAGCTGACGAAGGGACTATAGCAATATATGAATGGGAGAGACAGATCGAAACGTGAGTTTTCTATCCTATTAAAGAATGTCTACCTAGTCTTATTCACTATGGATAGTCATATTAAAGCCAAGCATTATCTGTATCATGGCACAAGGCGTCAAGATTTGGCTAATAGTATCGACGATTATGATATTGTCCTAACAACATACGAAACCTTGCGATCTAAATGGAACGGAGAAGGACCGTTATTTAAGCAAAAGTGGTTGAGGTTGATACTCGACGAAGGTATGCCTAGTCTCGTTTTCGATCCCATCCTATTCTTCTCACCATTAACGTGACTCTATCCTGGGTAGCGCATAAGATCCGGAACCGAGCATCTCAGCTGTTTACTGTGTTGTGTGAAGTTTCAGCTAAACATCGCTGGTGTCTCACCGGAACACCCATACAGAACAGCCTCGACGACTACGGTGCATTGTTATCCTTCATTCGTGTGCCTCAGCTCTCTACGAAGCATGACTTCGAAAGATTGATCATGCGGCCAGTCAAATCGAAGAAGCCACACAGCCTGCCGATGCTCAGGAAACTTGTGGCTGCGACCTGTCTGAGGAGGACAAAAGCTAAGCATGCCTCCACACTCGGCTTGCCAAGCAAGGAGGTGCTGGTCGAACCGGTCGAGATGAATGCTGAAGAGAGAAAAGTCTACGACTTCTTCAAGCGACACATGTATCTACTCGCAATCCCCAGCAAGAAGGCCTCCAACTCAAAAAAGGGTAGGCAGGTCAAGGCGTCTAGAAGCAGTGCCAACGTGCTACTTCTCATTGGTCTTCTACGATTGATTTGTAACCACGGGGAGGATCTCCTCACCAAGAACGCTCAAAAGGCGTGGAAGAGCCAGAACACCAGCTTCATTACTTGGGAAACGCTAGAATCTGCCTTGAAGCGATGTTCTTCTTGTGGTTGTGGAATCGACGACCAAGAACCTGGCGAACAAATGGCTGGAGAACTTGCCTGCGGGCATCTCATCTGCTATAGATGTTTTCCGGAAGCGCAGACTTCAGAAGACACCGTTTCTTGCCCAAGATGTCAGAGGTCTTCTGATCGAGACACAGGAATATCTGCAGCCGAGACAGAGGTTGGGTTCAGTTCCACACAACGACGCCGCCCATCTGCCAAGGTTCAAGCTCTGCTCAAGAACTTGGCCAAAGATCGATCCGACGCAGAGTCCAAGGCTGAGAAAGCCCCCCCCAAAAGGTGGACAAAATTCCGCCGTTTCCGCTATCTTCACACCATCGCTAACCTTGATGCAGCGTGATTTTCAGCTACTGGACCAAAATGCTGGACCTTATAGAGATTGCTCTCAATGACCATGAATTGAAATTCTGTCGGATCGATGGGCAATCGTCCCTTCCACAGAGGAGAAAGGCGATAGAGAAATTCAACAGTGACTCAACGCACAACATCATGTTGGCGAGCATAGGAGGTGCTGGCGAAGGGTGAGCCACCAAGTTCTCTTATGTTAGCGTTATTTTATATATGGCTAACCAAAACTCAGCATCGATCTTATCGCTACCAATACCGTTCACATTGTAGAGCCCCATTGGAATCCTATGGCAGAGGCCCAGGCTAAGGATCGTGTTCATCGGATTGGACAGCAGCAGGCCGTGACAGTATACAAATACATTGTCGAGGACTCAATTAAAGTTGTAAGTAAATTACCAACACGATGCTGCTCTGGTATGTGCGAGCGTGCTTAAACGAATGTGATAGTACGTAAAAGGAGTCCAGAAGGACAAGTTACAGCTAGTTCAGGAGTCTTTGTCGTCCTTGGAGTCGACAACACAGGAACTGGAAGATACACAGTGGAAGGTTTGTTTCTTTTCTTGATGACGATTAGACTTTATACTGACATTAATCTTAGAAGCTTTTAGAATTCTTGCAATAGGATAAAAGTTGTCAGAGAAGAGCTCAAGGGAGAGGTTAACATGGTCTGGTTAGGGATTACAACCAAGTTTTTAAGACTAGTTTTCGTGAATTCATTTTACTATTAGGAGCAGAAGGCCATCGGTTATTCAGTGTAGTGGTGCAAATATAACTGTCAGCCAGCTGCTGATCTAGTACACAAGGTTCAGGGTGCGAGAGGGTCACGGAATGCTTCAATTCGTACGCAAAGGGCAGCAGTGTCGGTGGGCTGCAACGGAAGAAGTAAAGTGTGTCGCCCACGCCTTGGCGGACATCCACAACCCATGGCATGGCAGCGTCCTAAGACCAAGGACACGCCTCAGAATATATAATACAAAATACAAAACTGTCCCAAGCTGGCGGGCAGCGCAAGTCAGCAGGTTTTTGCGGATGCTTTCGGGCCATACAACCAGCCTCCGATTTTTCACTTTGTGTATATCTAGATGACTGGCGCTAGGAACAGTACATTACATCTCAACAAAATGTGGCCGCCAGAATCATACACTTCAGGTTAGGCCTAGCCAGTATGCTAAAACTGCTTCAGAGTTATTGCGACTGCTCGTCCTGGATACTTCAAAAAGTAGTCGTGGGTCATCACTCGACCAAACACGAGGATCCCAACCACACGGGGGGCAGCGATACTTCGTAGATCGCCATACGCTGTTTGAGAACAGCTCAAAGGCCTTACTACTAGCACCGCGGGAATAGCAGGAACAGGCTAGCGTAGTAGCAGCGCTGTTGCTGTCAATTTCATCTGGTGACTGGTCGCAATCCATGAACCACACTTTCCAGGTCGTGACACTGGTAAATACCTGGGCCAGGGCCTACACGACTGAACTACTACTGAGTACATACGCTTTTACGATCGCACGGACGGGCTCTGTGGCCCTGGAGGTGGGCAGCGCTCTGACATACCCGGTGGACGGGCCGAGCCTCTCCGACATGATCTGCGTGCAGGATGGAGTGCCGACAAGTATGTTCTGCTTCTCGCCGTTACTCAGTACATGGGCTTCGTCGATGGTACCGTTGCGGGGGACCGTGGGTCTTTGGTCGCATTCATAATGTATTCCTTCGCCGTGTGATATTCTGTGCTATCCACAATCTCACTTTGTTGCCTGACGAGCCACCATTCCCTTCGAAAGGAGCGCAATTTTCGTCGGAGCTTGATTCGTTAGAGTATTGGCTGCGTTGACTGTTTATCTCACTATTATTCCACAAACTCTTGAATATCAGTATCTACGCGCAGTATATTACATTATCTATCCTCTGGTTTTGTGAGCCATACCTACAGTGGATATAGAGACTGCTGTTAGCTTCAGTCGTTACATACGACCATACCCAGTGGAAAATACGGGATCCCGTCCGCTCTCCCATAGTCAAGCCGCTGAGGGGCTGATTAGTAGTTGGGTCGGTGACGACCAGCGAATACCGGCTGTTGTATGTTTTTTGTGTTTTGCCACCTAGATTTGTGAATATGACTATAGCTTTTGCTAACGGCGGCGTATTTAAGCATATACGACCATACGTACTAGCGAGGGGACGTGACCGGCCACTTTCGGCCTTGCACCTGTCCTTTATGGCACCTACTAGACGACGTCTGGAATTTTTAAGGTTACAAGCGAGACGAGCTAATTTTGTTATAAAAGAGCTAAGGCATACTTTTAGGGAGCATCCGACCTTTAAAAGGTCTATCGCCGGGCTTCTTTAGTAGCTAGTCGAGTGTGACTCTGGCCATGTCCACCCACCCGCCTCCCCCGTCCTTGCCTCGCTACTGGCGCTGCTTCGCTCCTACGTGGCTCCCTAGCAGCTACATGCACCCAAGAAGTCTTATTTAGCAAAAGGGCAGACTAGGTTATCCTTAATTACGTTGACCTCGACTGCCTCGAGGTGAACTCTCGGATCCTTGACAGGCGGCGTTGGACCCTCGGAACTTTTGCGCTTCATAAGAGCCCCTAGAGCCGAGCAATCAAAGTATGTGCTACCTTACCAGAGTTGTTCTAACTCGGGCTTCTCCTCGGAGTCGGTGCAGAAGGGGGAGGTTCCCACCTAGATGCATTTGGATCCTGCCGTCTGGCCAGCTGTGTTCGCCCGAGTTGCCTAAGGACCTGGCGGCCCAGCCCCGAGATCGGCGAGACAGCAAGTTTCCGGCAAGTCTGTCGAGATAGGTTTAGCTCCTAAGCAATCATTCCCTTAGTCTATGCGCATGGTCGCGCGTGCACGTGTCACATATATCTGTGGATAGAAGTGGACCGTGTTCGGCTCTTCTGTGGTACTGTCCACGTAGGGAGATCCGTAGTAGTCCCCGCAAAGAAAATAGCCCGTAGTAAGTAATAGAAAGAAGGATATGAGATATTTTGGAACAAGGACGCAGCCGGTAGCTATTAAAGAAGGACTAGAGTCTCGCTAGCTCTAGACGAAGACACCACCTAATGGCTCGTCGGGTCCTCGATTGCTACTTAACTATTTATGGTAGATCGCCAGTTCCCCTCTCACAGGGGCAAGTGGACATTTTACGCAATAATAAGGCAGCCGACAGGGATGTATTTGATCGACACTCTGAGTTGTCACTCTAGAAGGATGCATAGAGTCCTCTTGCGGACGCGGTTGTCATTATATACATGATGTACGCCACCTGTTTGCATAGATCAACCTATAAGCGATTCCTTTCGTCCAAGGCACAGAATCTCTACGATAGACGCAACTCTATTCAAGTGAGTCACGTGATTCGAAGCACATGCTTTCTCCAGTAACGTTGTGGTCAAGGCCCATAAGTTTGGAAGCTGTCTCTTTGTTCAGCCGAGGAGTAGGTAGGTAGAGTGGGGCGCCGTGAGGAAACCTTTACGTACTCTATCTTGGACTCCTCGGAGAAGGACTCTGGTTCTGGTTGAATGAGTTGGCTCAAACTCCCCAGTTAAATCATCAGCGCGAAATATGTCTGGACATTCGACCGTGAACGCAGCAACTTCATCCACAAGGATTTCCTCCGTGGCTTGGGTGATCTGCTCTTGAAAGCCTCCTCGTTCCCAATCGCTCCAGTTCCTCGAGGCGTTACGAATCTTGGCCAAAACCTGAGGCAATCGTCGGTTGCGGCTTAATTTTTGCTCCTGATGAAGTCGGCAGGTTACTTCAAACTTCCCGCTGTAGTAGGCCTCGACGACTTGGTCGAACGACGTGAATCCCACGTTTGTGGCCTGTTCAACAACACGAAGAAGCTGACGATGCAGGCTGGAGGGAGACTTGCTCCCGACTTCTGCATCCAGAGACCGCGGGGACGCAGTTGGTAATTCCAACCCGAAATTTGGCGATACGCTGAGAGGAACACAATCTGTCGTAAGTTCGAGGTCTTCGGGCAACCCATACTGCGCATGCGGGGAGCCCCACAGATCTGACTGTGGCTTTTGTGATATTATCATCGACGCGTCCGGGCAGTGAAACAGATCATGTCCATCCGTGACGTTCTCCTCGGGTAACGGACACAGTGCATCGTACATATTTTCATGTTGGCAGGTCATGGAGTCAGCACAAGTTTCTTTCAATCGAGTTTTCAGTCGTTGTTAATCGTACACACCTATTTCAACTTCAGCGCCAGATGCCGCATTGTCACTGGTCGATCGTGTCGGATTTTCCGATTCTTGGATAGAAACGTTGCTCGGTTCAGGTGGTAAGTTTATCGCCCATGGCGGCAACGACTTCTCAATGAGCTGGTGATGTGCTGAGACTATTTTTTGGAGGCTCTCCAGCTTGGCTTTGAGACGTTTACCTGAAGAATAGAATTAAATCCACTCTTGCACAGACGAGGAAACACCATCCTTTGACACATACGATAAGCTCTTTGAGCAAGTCGGTTTTTCTCCTTCTTCGCATCTTTTGGATTTGTAGTTCTATCATTCACGTCGGCGGACGCGTTCTTTTGGCGATCAGACGAGACATTGTTGTTGTTGACGGGCATAGCCGGATTGGATCAAAATCAAGGGTATTGCTCTTTTGTTAAGAAGACTGAGTGGCTGAGTGGATCACGTTTCCTGCGACCGACTTGAAAGAAAATTCATTCAGAAACGACCAGACGTTGTTGAGCTTGCAAGAGTCCCGCAAGCAACCATTTCAAAAGCACTTCTCCATCTATGATCAAAGTGTAATTCTTGAAGAAGCTGTGCTGGAGCTTCTTGTCCGCCAGCCCAAGGCCAGTTGGCTCTCTTGCATACTTCATGCCTTGCTCCTGCGAACATGCATGACCTATCACCAACAAAAGTTCCTTGAAATCGACAGCAATAAGCTCAGCATCAATTGTGGATGCTGCATGCAGATGAGAGTCCCTATCACCAACATGAAGACTGTGAGCATGCATCTTAAGCGAGGCCGATCAATTACAACAGGGATACATCGGAAAGAAAACCATGTCCATACTGCAACCTAGCAAAACTCTCCACAGGAGGCTAAGCCTGGCCACTTCTGTTTGGCATTGAAGGAGACCTAACGTTTTCGTAACTATAGGCGAACAAGAAGCACAATTTACCTCCTTTGACCGACAAACAATATTCATTATGTTCGACCCCATTAGGAATTACTTCTAAGAGCTATATCGTACATAATCCTACATCTAGACACCTTACGTGATACATTCCATTGATGCTACGTAATTCAATAGTCATCTCCCCTCCCCTTGCCCCTCACTCGCTTCTGTTCTCGTGATCACTAACGTTACCACACTTCAACTTTGTCGTTCTATTTACTCTCGACGGCAACCATCGGTATTGAGGTCTACGTCCGATTGAGTGCATCAGGCCTTGCAATGACAAGAACAAGTCCCTGTGGACCTGCTGTGGATACGAGCATCCGACTGAGTCTATGGTGAGCTCGCCGCTGTGCCGGTCGGTGATTCTGTCTTCTCGAACGTGCCGCGGGCTTGCGTATCCTCAGCCTGCGTGGACCATGATCACTCTTCTAATTGGTCATAAGTGCGGCAGACGGGGGACGTTCAATTAGTCTTCGGCTCGATGTTTAATGTTGTGACAGCTGCCATGGATATGGTTCAATGTATCGCATTTGTCACGCAAAACCAGCTCTAATGCTTGATACGTAAATAACCTTGCCTACCAGTTCATATAAGAACTGCCCAATGTTCGCCGAGTTTCTCGCCCTATCACCGCAGACCAGTCTTGTATCCTCCACTCGGAAGTCATTTGATCTTCGCGCACTGGGCTGAGTCACTGCGCACCTTTGCGTCACATGCTGCAGTTGATCATAGGATCACAGCACCTTCCTATCGCCACATGTCAAATAGGCATCCACTAAACGTCCTTATAACTACGTACCTTACCCACACCTTCCAATTATCATGTTACTCCTGAATAATTTCTGCTTTGCACTTCTCCTGCACTTTGGCTTTTTCTTCGGCACCGTGCTGAGCGATAGGTGGTACTACGACGATGACTGCGACGGCCGCTATATCGCCTTCGACGCCAACGACTACAGAAAGTGCTACACCATTCCCAAAAACGGTGGCTACGCCAAAAGCATTCAATCTGATTCTTCGGGACTCCCCGAACAGTGGGTAGCTTATCGCCGGAGGCAAGGCGGAGCGCAGTGTGGGTATAGCGTTTGCTCATTCAACAATCTCAACTCTCGTTGCTGCACCGCGAGAAGCAAGAGCATCACAGGCTTGGAGAAATTCCGAATCGATTCTCTCATGTCGAAGCATCAAGACACCCAGGTCACCCAAGCTGAGGATTCATGGGAGGATATCTTCAGGGTAGGGAGGTCTCGAGAGCAAATCTCGCAGGCAGTTGCCGCCCGTCAGGCTCGCGGCGGTGCAGGGACGCAAGATGAAGGCGGGGCCTGCGAACAAATCTCATGGGCCAATGCGGAAATCTTCATTGACCTTCCTGATGGAACGCACCACGGGCTTGGTCGGGGAACCCCCAATGTAACGGAGGGAGAGCTTCAGAGACAGCTCAAGGCCGCTGGAAAACCAGAGTTGTCGGAGGAGAAGATTGCCCAACTGCGAGAGGACAAGATAGTTGTTGGAGAGGCAAACGGGCCTGTCGGATCAAGTGAGTCTCAGTAGGACCAGGCGGTAGGCTTTTCAGAGTTTCAACAAATTTGGGGCGATCGTTAGGATGGCATCGCACGGTCTGGTTCAACGGCAGGTTAGGTTATTCGATTTTACCTCAATTACGATAAAACCTATGCAATGCTTCATCCGCCTTGGCGTGAGGCCCAAACACGGGTACAAGTGGGACAGCGCGATCTGATCGAATTACCTCGGGTAGCACGAGCTAATTCAGTTAGTTGGCCAGCTGTGGAGGCTATTGTCAATTTGTCATCTCCAAATTCGGGTCGGTCCGAACCCGCGAGGATGGGGTGACAGAATTTTGCAGCGGCGTCTTTGTGGCGCTGCAATTGAAGAGAAGAGTTTTGGTGGTTGGATTGCGGCGACAGTGTTGTTTAGAGAGCGCTGAAGCATGACCGTCGCGAGGGTTAAGCAGTTCCAACATAATGCTAGCGTCCGGTCGGGGACCCAAGTCCTCACTAGCTCTGCCCTTGCCAGAGCACGCTAGGGTTAAATATCTTATGAATCAAAAAGGCTATGCAAAGGATAGAGGCACTATCACTAACAGCACCGTATTGCCTCACTTTGCACCGTCATAGACGGTAATTTCTTGGGATAGAGTACAAAGGGGCTGATTAGTAGTTGGGCCGGTGACGACCAGCGAACACCGGCTGATGTATGTTTTTTTGTTTTGCCTCTTTTTTTTGTGAGCTGAACAAGTGACAGAGATTTTCTGTCCAGTATTACTTTGCTAGACCACGGTGTTGTGGCACAATGGTCAGCCACGTCTTCCCTCCACTTGCCCCTTTTGTCAACAAAACCTTGGATTGGTGTGATAATTTGTTGCGTTCGTCTGCTGCCAGTCTTAAGCTTGTCTCTGACATCGCCGGTGGCTTTGCTGGTGGTTTGAGCGGCTGTATTTGTTGTGTGCTGTGCGGTGCGGATTGCTTCGTGGATGTACTACATAGGTGACGTCGAGTAGGCCTGACACAGTGTCGATGCGATTCAAGGTCACGTGGTGCCGGTTGAAGTTAACATGTGAAGGTCGACAGTCGTACCAATGGTCCCCGGCTAATTATTGGCCGCTGGACTCATGCAGCGCCTTGTGCACAACCGCTCGCGTGGTATATCTTTCAGGCACTCACATCGACAGAAATAATGCCAAACGCCGAAGCGCCTGCTCCCCAACGGCAGAAGCATCCACTATCGGCTGAACAACAACAACAACAACAACAACAACAACAACAACAATAACAGATCGTAGACTGGGTATCGAAGGAACGTTCCTCAGGCACTGTTGTCCAGAACGAGCTCATCTCTTGGTTTGCCAACCGTCTCGCCCAAGGAGCAAGATCGCATCCAGGCGCTCTTTGGCGACTCTCCCCCGCCTCGACGCCAGCCTGCTCCCTATCCGGAAGGTGACGTCCTCTATCGCTGCAACAATCGCTACCTGGTGCGGCATGGGAATAATGTGACGAAATACACAACGTTCCCTGATGGCCTGGGTGCCAAAGATCATCCCAATGAGGCGCAAGTGCTGCGTTTCGTCAAGGAGCACACAACGATTCCGGTCCCCGAGGTCATTAGCAGCGACTGGGATCGTATCACCATGGAATACATCGAGGGCCAAACACTACAGCAGGCGTGGCCGGTGCTCACACCGGAACAGAGGTCTGACATCTTGGCTGAGCTCAGCGGCTACATAGCGCAGATGCGTGCTTTAGGTGGCATCCACCTCGGCCGTCTCGACGGGCAGGGCGTCGTAGTTCCAAGTATCCTGCAGCGCTCGGGGGGTCCATTCGGCACGCTTACTGAATTCAAGTCCATGACTGGCTCGTACGGCCGCCCAAGCGGTTGCAAGCGCAGTCGATGTACTGGCACCAGATAACGACACAGCTGGGCACCGAGTATCCTATTGTGTTCACGCACGGAGACCTTGCCTCGCGCAACATCTTGGTGCGAGATGGCCACATCGTAGCCCTTTTGGATTGGGAGTTTGCAGGATGGTACCCTGAGTATTGGGAGTACGTGTTTGCCCTGCGTGGGATGGACAAGCTTGACTGGGAGACTCTGGGTAGCCATTTGCCGTCTCTGTTCACAAAGCGCTATGATCTCGAGTACATTCTTTTGGAATTCATCATCAGCATCTCCTGATGCCAGCTAAATCTAATCGATCAACAGCTCCATCAAGCAACTTGTTCACGGGTTCCCCCTTTTGTCAACAGCCCCCTTAAAAATGTACTGCTAGGCTGGCGTTCTAGTTACCATATCTAGCCACCACACTCTCAATCTCGCGCAAGATCTCGGTCCGCACGGCCTCAGGTGCCCAGCACATCTCGGCCGCATTTCTAGCGAGGGTCGCCATGTCCTGATTGCTAAAGGCGCACATCTTCTTGACCAGCAGCATGTCGTGCAGGATCCATGTGTCCTCCATGTAAGCTGGATCGTCGCTCGCAATGGCGAAGCAGATGCCCGCATCGTATAGGGCGCGGATCCTGGGGAAGATCTCGTCGACAGGCTCGTGGCGGAGATAGCCCCACGGGGTAATCGTCATGGGAATGCCTTTCTCCTTGATGAGGCGCAAAAGTTCTGGACTCTGGGCGGCATTCAGACCGTGGTCTATGCGGTGCGCTCCGGAACCACCTAGTGTCGACACGACCTGGTGTATATGTTTGTGCGTGTCCTTGTTTCCCACATCGCAGTGTGCCGTGATGTGTAAGCCGGCCTCTCTAGCCAGAGCGAATACATCTGCGAAGAGGCTGGGAGGGCGGTCGTTCTCATCGGAGTCGAGGCCGATGCCGACAACCATGTCTCGGTACGGCAGCATAGCTTGGTAGTGTTCCATGGCCGACTGTGGCGTCAAATCGCGCAGAAAGCACATGATCCAGCTCGCGACTTGACCTGCTCTTTATGTCAGGATGCGTGCTTAGCAATGCAGCTGGAGAGCTGAATGGCCACAAGGGGCCCCCACGTACCCCCAGGTTCTTCTCTGCCACTTCCTGGGCTGCGCGGAACCCTCCCATCATGGTGTCCCAAGTGACACCCCGTCGTGTGTGGCCCTGAGGGTCGAAGAAGGGCTCGCAATGCCGAACATTCATGGCGGCGACGCGCTCAAAGTAATGCATGGCTAGCTCGTAAAAGTCCTGGTGGGTGACCAGTATCTCGAAGCCGCCATAGTAGGCCTCGAAGAAGGTGAAGCTTTCTTCGGCGTTGTCAATTCCATGGCCGGGCCGAGGCTGGATGATGGTATAGGACGCCTTCAGCTGCTCCAGGCTGTGGTACACGGTGCCAGTGCGTTCGAGCTTCAGAACCTGACCATTTCGTTGGGCAAACTTCCATCTCAGCTCGGGAGTCAAGGTGCCCTCGATGTGCACATGAAGTTCGACTTTGGGAAGATCGAGCAGGAATTTGTCATTGGAATCGAGCAGCTCTTGCCGGAGGGCTAAGCGGGCTTCAAGGGGGAGGGCTCTATCCATGACAACCTGCAAGGGAGTTGAAGAAGGTGGAAGTATAGGAAAATATGAGTTGATAGCTTGTTGGTTTTTCTAAATTCTTTCGCGGATGGGCCCCTTTATATACTTTTCTATCAATGCTTTGCCAGACATCATTGTGGCTGTAGTCACTTACACGACCCATCCCTGACGTTGAGCAACGTGGTTCCCATTGGTTGCTTCGCGCAGCGCAGTCACGCCGAAATGACAATTCTGCATGTCGAATGCATTAGATCTGCTTCCTGTCCAGAGGCTAATACTAATTGAGTTACAATTTCAGTCAACTTGATGGCAGGCTCGTTCTCTGAATCATTCAATCCTGGCCATGCAGGTCGGTTGCTCCTCATGCGCTAGTACGGAATAGGTTGCTATTTCAGTCGAGGACTCGAGCCTCCGCTATAGACATGGAACTTGCCGACATGAACTTCCGTCCTTCTTGATCATTCATGTCATCCACTGAGTCGACAACCGGCTAATGCTGTACCTTGGTCAGCAGCCCTGACATGAAGCCGCCTACGCGAAAGGTATGTGCTGCTGCGCGCACGTGGTGTTGGACGGTGGGACTATGCCTTGAAGGTATGCTTGAACGTGTCCAAAGTAGCAGTCTGACCCTAGCATATTGATGACGGTATGCTGCAATGGGGTCAGTCTGGAATCGTCTCGAAGATGGCTGTACGACTGAGATTCAATGACGACTTACACCAACGGCTTCCTGCAATAGGAGTACTGATCCCGCAAATCGAGAAGACATTGCGCGTGCCCTGCGATGAGGTAAGAGATCTGAGCAACCCATCAGAGGCGAACCGATTTGGCTTAAACTTACGATTTCAAGGGCGACACGGGGTCAATCGTGTTGCTCGCGAACATGATTGGGAAGGACGAAGACTTGTTGCCGTGTCCATTTATTGGTTCTGCAGAAACGCTGGTTAACCTCCATTCCCAAAGTCAAGTAAGGAGATCACGGATGAATGAAACAGAGTGAGAATTTTCTGCATACCTTGTACCATCATGCTATCTGGTAGATGTGGCCGGAACGATCTACACAAGAGGTTGGCCTGGAAGATGGGCCAAATGTCGCCAATGTACTTGCTCTCGGAGCTCGTGTCCTCGACAAAACTCTGAAAGGCCTCAATGCTAGTGAGCTTGTTGTTTCGATATGAGTCGGCGCACATGATGGCCAGACGGGCGTCGGATATCGAGTTCAACCCGTCAAACGAACCCACAAGAGGAGACGCGTCCCCTTGCTCGAGCTTGTGTAGAATGTCGGCCATGACTGGGAACAGAGCCGGTGGGTTGTATCGTGTCTGGAGGAAAAGAGCCTTTAGGTCTGAGTAGGTGACCAGCGCCGGCAGTTCTTGGCTTTGCACTCCGCTGATTGGTACTGGATGGTTCTGGAGCTGGAGGATGAGGGCGTCCATTATGGCTGTGATGTTGGCTGGCGTGGGACCCCAGAAGGAACACTTTCCAGGACCTGCGGAATGGCACAAGGTCGAGAATTCGCCCATGGCCTCGTCCATTTGATTTACATTGTCCCTCCAGTCGTTGTTGTAATAGTGTTCCGCGTCCAAAACACCATCCAGGATCATCCGTCCAACTCGGTCGGGAAACATGGAAGCGAACGTGGCGCCTACCACAGTGCCGTAGCTGATGCCATAGCTCCACAACTTGGCATCTGATGGTGGCCGACCAGCTAGCTCCGCCTCGGCTTCTGTGAATGTGAGCAGATCGCGGGCGGATGCTGGCGTAGTCACAAAGTAGCCATGCGGTGACTCGTTCTCGACGGCATCGTTGCACCACTCTCCGTAGATGGAGCTCGAGTAATACTGTTCCTCCAGTGACGTGGAGGAGACGTTGGTGGCTCCAGTACTGTACAACCGAAGAAAGGCTGATCTTGCCTCTGTGTCGCCTGAGAAACAATCAAGATTTGGTCCGCTGTTGTTCACTCCGCGAGGGTCAAAGGAGACGATGTTGTACTGATCTCCAAAGGCTTGCGCTGCGAGAAACCAATTCTCAAGAATGAGATCGACACCTGATCCACCAGGACCGCCTGAAAGACTGTCAGCTCGGTTTCGTGGAATCCGGTGCGACTTGATGTTTCTGGCTTTGCGAAGTCACATCTTACTTACCGGGGATGATCACGATACTTGGGGACTCAATGGTTGCATTCTTGCCAGCCAATTTGATGAAGGCGATGGACGTCGTGCCAAGGCTTCTGTTGGAATAATCCAAGGGAACCTCCAGCCTCGAGCATGTGAAGTCATCGAAGCATGGTGTCCATGTGAGGTTGGGGGATGGTTCGATCTGGATGGTTGGATTAGTGGTCATGAAGCTTGCGAGGGTACAGTTGGACAAGGTCCAAGACTCACGGTATCAAATCCATAGGCCATTCCGTGATTCTCGTGACAGTGGGAGTTGCAACCCAAGATCGTGATAGTGATAAGCCCACGCAGAATTCGGTTCATCATGATGTCTGATTGAAAGATTGCTCACTGGGGTTTCTGCTGTGTTGCTTCAAGAAAGGGGCGGATGTCATAGTTGCACCCAATCCAGCTGCGATCCCACGAACCTATTTATACAAGCCGAATACCAAAGGAACTTACATCCAGTTTGTCAGTTCCGATTTCCGAATCATTGCGTCTACGGACACCCGCGTTCTTCCCATCCATTTATCCGTATAACCTGGCACTCCACTTGTACGAATCAACCAATTGATACCAGTATCTACCTCAAAAGGTTCCATCAGTACACAGGGTACAACATCCTGTCAGCTATATTTCAAATGAAATTGAGGCTGTGAGCATCATGGTCTACGTGTACGCATGTGTCTCTTTGTCGGCGATGATACAGACAATGAGAGACCCACCCATTTATTGTCAGATATTGACTTACTATTACTAGAAAGGTAATAACCCTCTTGCTTGGCGCCCCACCTGTACGAAGCAGCCAACCAAACTTGATGATGATCCCGTCAGATTGTATCAGGATCCACAAAGATATACTAGGCTCAGCTTGTACACTCCGTACGCCGGCGTATGATCATCTCACGCCGAGAGTCTTCATCCTTCCACCTTTCTGCTCTTCTGCCGTTCGCGTTTGCTCATCCACCAACGAACCATTTCCATCGCAAAACACGCAGGAAGATGGCTTCCAAGCGAGGTTACGGCCGAATCAGTATGCGAACCATTTAAGCTCTTGTCGTGGCCCAGTCTGCTTTTGATACAACAGGCGGCTTGCCAGTGTTGTCGTGGAATCGTGGCCGGGGATCGTTTGCCCTCAGGTCACAGCGACGCGTACCGTACATTTTGGCCAGACAGCCTCAGCGACATGTACAGCATCACGAGCGCCTCCGAGAACACCAAGACGGCCAACCAAGCTTGGAGGAAAAGGCCTCGCAAATTCGCGCCAAAATCAAGACGAGGCTGTAAAACCTGCAAGTGAGTCCTGGCCTTTTCCCACTCACCTGTATTCGGGAACCCAGATATCTGACCTTGCCACGCTCCCTAGGATAAGACGAGTGAAATGCGATCTCGCGCGGCCATCATGCCTGAAATGCCACTCCACAGGTCGCACCTGCGACGGCTATGACGAGACAACCCTCACTGTCCACACCGCCAGCGCAGAGAGCGACTATCAGCCAAGACAGAGGCACATAACAAGTCCTGATTCTATCGCAAAGGTACTCGGACCCTTGATAATCTTGCCCGTGACTGGCACAGCTCAGGCAGGGGCAATGTGTTTCTTCGAGCATGCTGCGATCAAACACCTGAGCAAGTACCAACCCGGCGACTCATGGCAGAAGACTCTCATGTTCTTCTCCCAGACCGTGCCATCAGTACGACATGCCGCCATGGCTCTGGCCTTGCTCCATCGGCGCCACACCCACCGCGATAGTGGACAGCCATCGCAACCCTCCCAAAGCTGGTTGCCCGACGAGGCCGCCTTGTTTCACTACAATCGTGCCATACAACTACTCCTGCACGGGGAAGGCGGCAACAGCATTCAAACAACAGCCACCACCCTTTTGGTCTGCTATCTCTTCGCTTGCTTTGATCATCTAGCGTGCAGCTACGTACAAGCAATCAAGCACCTGCGTGCTGGTGTAGAACTCTCATGCAACATCGACAAGGCGAGCACGAACACGCTAATCTTCCAGGCCACGAAACAGATCCGCCGTCTCGACATGCAGGCCGTCATGTTCCTTATTGACTGGACTCCAGTGGGAGTAGAAGAGCAATTCATGTCCACGCTCACACCCTGCGACGGTGCCTTTGTATCTCTCGAGCAAGCGGCGGACCACATGCAGATTCTTGTCTCCCGCGTCATGAGTCTGCGCAACACGAAGCAAGAAATGATGGATCAGGCACCACAGTCAAATTCGTGCAAGGAAAACATCTTCCAGCAGTTGAATATATGGCTAGGTCTTTTCGAATATATGCTGCAACAAAATGACACCCATGGCGCCGATGCCGACTCAAACCCGCTCATATCACTACTGCGCATGCACTACATCATGGCATGGAGCCTCCTCAGCACTGCCGGATCTGGTAGGGAGCTAGACTATGACGAGTTCCTGCCCCAGTTCCAACAGTGCCTGACCTTGGCGGACGACGTAGCGGCGGCGCACGAGCGGTGTTCGGGCTCGTCACAGCCTACATTTACGCCCGAGGTTGGCATTGTCCCCGTACTGTACATGATCGGGGTCAAGTGCCGGCATCCCATTGTTCGACGCGAAGCCGTGAGCATTCTGCGACGGCGGCCGATACGGGAAGCGGTTTGGGACAGTATCTCCGCGGCCAGGGTGGTGGGGCGGGTGATTGAGATTGAGGAGGGCGGTATGGTACGAAGTATGTCGCAAATTCCTTTGTGGCAGAGGGTCGAGACTGTCTCTTGGATGCATGTCGTTAGCGGACAATCTGCAGGCACTCTGGACATGAAGTATACGTTCTGCGCGCAGGAGGGAACTTTCGCTGAGTCTCTCGTAGTATGACAGACCTCAACGGCAGCTTAGATAATTGACGTGATAGACTGCTCAATATTCTCGCGGGGCCGCTACTTTTCACCATAAAAGGGGTAAAGAAAACACGGGACAGCACGCAGGCGTGGATCCGCTGCTAAGATCCCCCACAGCACAGATAGCCTGAGCGGGATGATGGTGAACAAAAAAGGTGCGGATTCAAATGGGCAGCCAGCTGCAGGCCAAGGGAATGCCATTCTTGTGTGACGCAAGGAGCCCGGGTCCAGCATTCCGCGGAAGATTTTCGCAACAGCACCAGGCGAAAGGGCGTTCAATGTATGTGTTGTGTATTGATGTATGTATTATCGTCCACGGTCTACCACAACCGCATCAAACCCCAAGGCTTATAAATATGGTTGACGGAGGCGCTGGGTTTCCATAATCTAGCATCATGGTCGATCAGGGCTGCTCGAGCAGCCAAGCGTCTCCCCAGGGTATTGTATATCGTAGCTTCTCTGCGAAGCGACGCGGCCTGTCTAATCATGGTCATAACTCTCATGCCTTCTTGTCGGCTGCGGCTCATGGCCACCAGTTCATCTTTTTGTAGCTGTCAATGACTTCCTCAATCAGCTCTTTGGTCATGGCGGGCTTCTGGTACTTGAAGCCAACTAATGACGCCAGTCGATCGCCGTTCATGCTCAGATCGGTGTCCTTAAGAAGCTCCTTCTCCATGAAAGGCGTCAAAGGCCCTGGGCGGGTGATGCCAGCCTCAGCCAATAACTCCGCCCAGGGACCGAGCGTCTCGTCATTGACGTCGTCGACGACGCTATCCAGATTAAGGCGCGCGAATGTGCTGATCAGCTGCCCCTGGAACCCAGTCTCAATCTTGAAGATGTCGGCAATAATGTCTGCCAACGTGCCTTGTGTCGTAGCGCCCTCGTCGACGACGTTGAAGGTGGGCACCTTGCCCATACTGGCCTCGTCCCAGCCAGCCTTGCCCCGGTCGTACCATGTGGCCATGTCCCAAAGTGCTCGCGTAACATCGGTGATGTGTGCAGTGTTAGTACGCAGATCCTTGGTCCAAAGCCACTTCATCTCCTCCTCAATGTGCTGGTACACTCGCGCCATGCAGAGAGCCGTCGCGACCCATTGAGAGGCATACGGGCCATAGACATGGGGCAGACGTGCAATAATGAGGTTAAGGCTGCAAGGTCAGCGGTGTGCACGCCTGGGGGGGAGAGCATCGACACTTACCCCTCGATCTTGGCCAACTCTTCCTCGGCCTGCAGCTTGAAGACAGCGATCTTGCTCCAGGGCTTCAGCTTGTCTCCCTCCTTGCTCGGCGATGAGTCCGCCTTGTAGACCATGCCTGTGCTAAGCTCGACGAAAGCCTTTACGCCACGCCTGGCAGCCTCCTTACCAACAGTCATGGACAGGTTCAGTGATCGCAGCTTATAGACCTCGTCCTCCTGTGAGTATCTCGTCTCGCCACCGCAGTTAAAGACGTAGTCCCACTGCTTGCCATCGGCACGGTCAAATATCCTAGCAAGGCCCTCTGCGAGGGGTCAGCATCCCTCGTCAATCGCGAGCTCGGACGCAAGTCCTACCTGTTCTGCTAGCGTCGGCCTGAATGAATTTGTCTTGCGAGCAAGCCTCGGCGAATTCCGGCGCGAGCCATGCGAGCTGAGGAAGCACCTTGTCGACCAGACGAACTTCTGATGCCAGGTCGTTCTGGTGAATGTGCAGCGCGAGGAAGCGGCCGATGTAACCCAGGCCCCCAATGATGAGGACCGAGGGCTTGTCCGCAGCCATGGTCTTGTGGCTGTCGTGTTGCAAAGGCAAGCCCAGGGCACAAGAGAGGAGGAGCGGGCGCTAGTAGCTTGAATGAAACGAGACCGATCGTAGAGGTCGCAGCACGGTGTGGTCGAGGGTCCGTGGAGTCGCTGTGCGCGGCGATAATCGAAAGCAAAGGAGGAGGACGAGGAGGCGGCTGATGCTGTCGGTGTCGTCGTTGTTGTTGCCGCTGGTGCTGCGGAAAGCGAGAAGGGGGACTGCTGGCCTAAGAATTGAGGGAGAAGCGGAAAGGAAGCAAGTGAGGAAGCAGCGGACAGTGTGAAATGACGGGGGCGTGGAGGGGTGGAGTTGCTGAGAGGGAGGGGTCTGGCAAAGGGCGGGTAGGTGCATGCATGCATGAGGACTCAGGAAGGAAGGAAAGGTGCCCACACCCAGTGAACCAGGCAGGTTGCAATCCAGGAAATACAGAACCCAACTATTAATTTCTTTCACCCGTGCTTTTGAGTAATGGCATTCAACGTTGCTCTCGAGCTGTGCCTCGAGGATGAATGATCTACCGGTCTAGTCATCTCCATAGATCGGTATCTGCTCTGCTCCGTCGTTGTGATGTAAACCCTCAGTCTCGCTTAGCGGCTGCCCCCTTCAGACCGGCGCTGATGCAGCAGGAGTAACAGCGGCAGACCAACAGCAAAGAAACACGGCAACCGGAATCCTCACATACAATAGACTGTATACATAATAATAGACTGTCCTTTAATCAAACTCGCTGGCTCGCCACAAGCAACAAGCCACACAGTTCCGAGGACATGGAGCGCGTGCGTTGTCGCTTGATCGTTCATCCCCATTTCCTCATCTCCCTCATCAATGTGCAACTCACCGCTGCAGCGACCCTTATGCACGATGCGCCGAGCCAAATCAAATTCACAAAGGCAAGCATGATCGCCTGCAGTCCGAGGAAATCATTGACGTATAGTACATATATAATCTCCTGCACGAATAAGATTTCGCTGCGCCTGTTGGATCGTGCAGTGCAGCGCATTGCATTCTGAGCGCAAAGCTGAGGCTCCGGCCGGGACGCCATTGAATCGCATTGCCGAATGCACACGCACCGTACCGTCCGTAGCGCTCTGCCAGGGGCCGGGCCAGGCCAAGTCGGGTTTGTTCATCCCGCTCGCGCCTCGACTGGAATCATCACATTCACCCGTTCATCAACCTGCGTGGCGCCGCTGGCGCACATACTCTGTCAAAGTTCCTCTGGACTCCTGGGGCTGCTGCACTGTGGTGAGCAAAGGAGCCCATACGAGTCAGGCACTGGCTTGTGTGACCTTGCACAGCTGCACGCTGAATGCCCGAATGGGTTGCGACTTGACACCCTCCTGGAGACGAACAAGAAAAGGGCGGGTACACCACACGCACATTTCAGTGTGGAACGAACCGCCCCGAGATGGGGAGGGTGGGCCTTTGCACCTAAAATGGGCGCGCGTTGGTGCGCCTGGAGGCTTGAGCCCCTTTCTCTTGCGCTCAATAATCGCAGGATGGAGCCCGATATCGCCAAGCAGCTCAACGATGATTCTTCTCAGGGCCAATATGGAGCGTCCAGTCGTTCATCTGTGCGTTGTCGTCGCTGGAGCATCCCGAAATTCAAGCCCCAAGAAGCGTCATAAGCAGACGGAGGGGTTGTCAACCCCTGTCCCTTGCATTTTTCATCTTTGCAGGTCCCGTGATTATCATCATTCAGGGGTCTTGTGCTGCTATCAAGATGGCAATGACAGCTCGACATTGACCCAACTGCACAGTAGAAGATGTCGTCCGTCACGGTCACCGCCGACTCCTGACACCTGAGCATGCGTAAGAAGGTGCTCCTGTCTGCACGAGTACTTGCGCTAGCTTCATGCGTCTAATTTGCTTTGATGCCAAAGAATGGAGGCTTCCATCGTAATTCATCAGGCACCCGAGCCTGCAGCATCTAACCTAAAGACGAGTCATGGATGCCCTCCTGGAGGCTGGATTGCACATTGTAATGGCAGATCATTCCGCAAACCATTTTTCCACATCCCACTTGTCCAATTTAACTCTACAGCCTATAGTCGCTTGAGGCTCCACGCTCAAGGCGCCAGAGCCAGACGAAGCTCCTCGCAGACTTCTCATGCTCATGTCCCATCAGGGACGGTGCAGCGATGCGTTGATAGCGCGCTCATAGCCTTGGGAGGGAGACCTGCATGAGACCTGCCGCCGATGTGGCTGGCTGAGCCTGAGAGGCAGCAACGCAAAAAATTCTTGAAATTCGACATGCTCCTAATCCGGCTTGCAAATGTCACTCATAGTGATTCCCTGGTGGCTAGCAACCAGATTTCTCTTGAAGTCTTCCTCTCCTCGGGACTACGTACTACCGCCAACAGTCACCAATCCTTATTTTTAACCCCTGACGTGGCCGCATGCAGCTTAACCGACACCTCCATTCGTGCCGTGTCCCAAGCTTTACCCTCAGCCTTATTTGCACCGACACGAGATGCATGTCTGACAACCAATGATTTTCCCAGTCTGTGCCGGAAGTGCAAATTATATCAACATTAACCGAGTAATCGTTGCTTTTCGCCATTACTCAATGCGTTGCATTCCGTGTTGTCTACATGCTGGACTAAGCGACCTGCTCTCAAATCGGGTTGCGCATGATAGAACAAACGGAGCTAATTAGTATTCCTCGTCCAGCTTTGTCGGTCGGTAGGCGATCACCAAAAGTACCAAATCATAGGAACCTTGCTATAAGCACTAGTATATGCGGTCCTTTCTTACCTGATCTGGGCGTATCTATTATATGTCTCCGGGCATCGAAAAGCACACTCCTTTATCAGTCTAGGGTAGTGCAAACCTGCCGATGTTCCAGTGAGCCCCCTGGGCGGGTATCATCTCCTGCCTCAGTATCTCTGTAGCATGTTGCTGGTGGCACAGGGAAAAGGATATGAAATTCCGCGGAGTATGCGCTCTAGATCACACTGGCTCACCGTCTACCGCCCAAGCCCCCCAATAACCTCGCGCTGCTGATCCCTGGCCCTAGCACCCTCCGACAGGCTCCCAATGCTGCGCAAGTCGCCCACGACATCCCTCGCCTTGCCAAAGTACACCTCCTGCAGCAAGTTCCTCATCTTCAGCTCCATGTCTTCCACCAGCCGGCCGACGTTGGCAATATGACTGTCGTCATTGTCCACGGGGAGATCCTGCTCCAGCTGCCTGGTCATGTTGCCGCTCAGGTCGAGTTCCCCGAGGTCGGCGGAGCTGGAGAGGTTGAGGATCACAGTCGATGTGAGCTTGTAGTGTGTCGTGCGGCCACGCTCAATGGCCTCGAAGACGTGGATGGAATCCCAGACACCTTCGCTGTTGCCTCCTGGCGTCGACGCTGGATGCGTTAACATCTTATAGATACTTCCTGGGGAAAAGACCATGACCTACACTTCTTGAGGAGAACAACACCTGCGAAGCCATCATCCAAGTTCCAGAAGTAGACGCTGCTGACACCACCCTCGTAGTACAGCTCGCGGTAAATGTCGAATGCCTCGTTGGCCTTGATCTCCATCTTGCGCACGCGCTCACTCGGGACAGCACCCTCGCCCGCACCCTCGTTCACGCCGCCCAGACCGCCCACGTCGAGGGGTGGGTCGAACTTGTTGCTCCAGGGCGAGCGGTATGAGTCGCCGTCGCGGTTGTAGTCGCAAAGGAGGTACTCCCTCCCCGAGTCACGACATCTTTTGATAGTCAGAGGCTGGTCGACGGAGGCCAGGAGGTCTTCTGTCAGGTCGGGAGCGATGGAGATGATTGAGTTGATATGGGTCGCAACGTGTTTCGGCGTCAAACGTCGGAGCAGGTCGCTGCGGTAGCGTTAGATGGGTGACGAGTCGAGGGGAGGTTTGAGGAAGCTTACAGCGCTGAGTCAAAGGGGTCGACGGCAGCCATTGTGGAGGTCAATGAACAAGTCAATGGGCAACAAGACTGGAGTTGGCGATGGTTGTTGATGGCGGAGCTTGCTTCAGTCTACGCCGGGGGATTCAGCGGGGTCGCGTTGACGGCAGGACCCCACTTGAAGCTCGCCGCCGCGGCGGCCACCCCACAGGAGGTCCATCATGGCACATCCGAGTGACCGAGTCCGATCTGAACCAGGGACTCTCACAAGCAATGCGGTATGTGTGTTTAGTGAAAGAGGACCGGAACCGCCTCTATCATGTATTATGCCACACCGAAACGCCTCGCTAAAAATGAAAGGATATCCAGAAGCGCTCTTCCAAAGCTATCAGTCACCAAACTACTACATCTCTTGGTTCGCCAACAGGGTATGGGCCTCCTCTTCGTGCGCATTGCCATCCTCACGATCCTCAATATCAGCGCCAACAATCTGCTTGGCCAGCTTGGCACCCTCCTTCTTGCCCCTCTCGACATCAATCATATAGATCAATGGTGCCGGTAGTCCGACTAACGCAGCGAGGAACCAGAATGCTGGCCGTATACCCCCAGTCTTGTCGATGATTGCACCGACTATCGTGGGCCCAAATATACTCGAGCCTTTGTCTGTTATGGCGTAGAGAGCGTAGAAGGCAGCCTCGGAACCAGGAGGGATGAGTTCGCCGTAGAGCGAACGGCAGTACGCGCCTAGGCCGCCCAGTACCAGTCCATACACAGCTGCCAGGGGGTACATTTCCCAAGGCTGCTGGAGTCCAAAAACACCCCAGGATTGAACAAATGGCAGATACCCGATGAGACCATAGATCGGGATCAGCTCGAACAGAGCGATGCAGACGAGAATCGTCTGGTGGGGCTGCAGGCGGAACAGTCGTGATACCCATGACCACCCTAGCGCACCAAAGATGCCGCAGCAGGTGGTGATGACGTTGATCATGCCCAAAGCCCAAGGCTTCATGTGCAGGGTCGTCTTGGCGAAGAGGATGGCCGTGCCCGAAGTCGTCGCAATCGCATCAGACAGCAAGAACCAACCCGCCAAGAAGAGCAAGATGTCCTTCAGCTGCCTCGCGAGCAATGCTGTGCGGAAGAGACTCTTCCACGCGTAGACGAGATAGGAGAAACCAGCCAGACGTCCCTTGCTGCCCTCAGTCAACGGCGGGCCTGGACGGGGACGAAGCCACATGGCCGCTGGGATGGTGAACACAGCCCACCAGAGCCCCACGATGAACAGAACGACCCGCTGCGCCCAGGTCGTGTTATTCAAGACGAGGAGTATGGCGATCGATACGCATAAGAGGAACAGGGCTGCACTGTAGCCTACGCCAATGCCTTTGGAGGACATTTCCGTCGAGAGCTCCAGCTCTTTTGACAGGATCTCTTTTGGTGATGCCTTCCCACTCAGTCTCGACTCGGATGGGCGAAGCATCTCCCCGTCATCAAGCAAGGGCGATTCCGAACTTGCTTCGTCGCCTGTTGTATCGTCCAGTGGCCTCGACTCCAAGTCGCCTGTCGCCGGGTCCAGCGTGATGGCCTTGTTGGCTTCGATGACGTCCGGATGATTCCTCACCAACAACGGCAAGAAACTGTTGAGCAGAACAAACGAAGCGCCAAAGGACGTATTCGAGATGACCGTCAACAGGGCGCCGAGTATGTACGTCTCCTTGGTGATGAATATGTACGCCATGACCGCAGAGCTCCCGATCCAGGCGAATGCAAGCAGAAGCTTCTTGCGGTAGTTGCCATGGTCGGCCGCGCAGCTGATGCTGACGACGAGCAGCGCCTGAACAAGGACACTGACCGAGAAGGTGTACATGGCGAAGCTGGCCGTGTTGATGGGGATGCCCAATACGTACACGACGCATTGCCCGTCTGTATCCTTGTTCTTACTGTCGGAGGTGCCGCACGGTTGGTCGGGATTGTCCAGTAAGACGCCATTCTCTCGGGCGAGACTCTCGAGGAGGATGGGGATGAAGGCGCCTGTAATCGTTAGTTGCCATAGTTCCACGGCTTCTCAGGATGCCAACCTACCAATCCCGCAAATGACATATGTTTCCGCTGCAAAAGCATACATGTACCATCCCATCAACTCTTTGCGACTTGTCGGCCGCCCATCGTAGCCGGCGTAGAGCGCTCTGGGTGCCCTGCCGTCATCGCTGCTGCGCGACTCCATGTCGTCGTCCTCGTCCTCGTCGTCAGAGGATGATCTCTCGTCGTCTGCGTGAAACGACGACGTCGCAAAGGAGTGAAATGACCGTTTCGAGAGGATAGAGAGGCCAGACCAGTGCCTGTTCCCGCTGAGCGCAGGGCGAGGTGGCGCGAGGTTCATGGCTCTGTGGTGACGGCGGCGCACAGTGCTGGCGGCCGAGACGAGTGGCGCAGCTCTGATTGGTCAAACTGTGGCGCGCGTGGGCGGAATGAGTGGACAGCTCCAAGTCACTCTCGAGCTCCAAAATGGTCATGCGAGAGAAACTGGTCATCAATTGACTCGATACATGCACCGACCGCATTCCCTTTCCTCCAGGACCACTGTGTCAACTGATGAGACAGCCAGAGAGTCTCACGTGTTGAGTAAGCGACGCACACAAGCGACGCACCTCGTAACGGTGAAGCTAGCGTGTTCGTGGGCTAGAGCGAGCGCGTGACCTTTCGTGTTAACGAAAGCGTACCGCTTGCCAAGCGCAGAGGCACTGACGCAGAGTAATAGTCGAAGAAGTACTGGACCATCACGACGATGGAACACGACGACATGGCGGCGCTCTAGACTATATCCTCGTGTGCTTTGCGGCTCCTCCCGGCAGTCTAATGGCGCACCTGCAGGCAGGCCATCGTGAAGTTCCTTGCACGCCAGGAGAGCCGCTGCCATTCGTTGTCCAGCGGGCATGTCACGATGCAATAGCTGCAATGTTATCCGCATGTTGCCTCAAAAGTGGAGGCAGTATGCACGGCGGGGATGCTCACACCATTCTGAACTTGAAGGTGCCTCGAGCCTGGGGGCTAATTAGTTAAGCGCAGCTGTCCACGTGTTTGTCACGGCAAGATGGCACAAGACTGCATGTGTTCTATGCTTCATCTACGTTAGGCAAGCCTATCTACAGATTCTGGAAATGGGGATGCACGCCATCTCCAGACTCCATAACGGTGGCGGGAGCGGGCAGTATGGGGGTGGGTCAGGACTCAGCCCAAGATGGGACAATACTTTGATCATCACCAGAAGGAGGGGTCAAGAGTCAGATTACGAGCACTGCATGATGGCATCTTCGAAAGTTCTACGGTAAAGTAGCAGCAGGGACAAGCCGTGGTATTTGAGCGAAACTGTTACTACGTCGTCAACACTAATTAGGACTGGAGCCCCGTGTAGATTGCTATAAGTCGCTCTTTCACATGAGTCCACTGATGCGATTGATCACCAGTTGCGTGATATGTAAGTAACAAAGGTTTCTCATGCGGTATGTTCTGTAATTAGATGAAACACAGTAAAAAAAACTCAGGATATCATGATTTATGAGCAGAACGGAACCCCCACCACGTCCACGAGCACCCGTTCCTGGACTCATTTCTTCTTAAAGAGCATGTGCTTCAACTTGTCGGCCAGGCCCACGGGCGAGTCCTTCTTCTCGACTGGCGGCGTGCCAACGCGTTCCTCGTTTCCTGCGCCTCCACGGCCAGTGTGGTGGTCGCCGATTTTGGAGGGGGGAAGCTGAGCCTGTTCCGGGACAAGGTCGGTGTCGGTGCGGTGCCCAGTTGTCGGGGTACCAACGTCGCCAATGTTGCCGGCACCTGATCCGTTAGCCAAGGCTCTTGACTGATAGCACGATCACTTGTTTCGAGAGAGAGAGACTTTGCAGCCGCAGTAGTAGTAGACACTCACCTCCACGCCCAGCGCTATACGCGCCATCGCCGTGGCTTCCTTCCTGTCCGGCGCGAACAATAGAGCCATCGACGTACTGGGTGTCGTCGTAGTTGATGTTGCCGGCACCACCGCGGCCGTGCGAAACCTCTGCAGTCATGATCGCCGCGTTTTTCTTCTGTAGACTAGGGAGATGGAGATTTGGTATTGACAGTACGCAACGCAAACGTATGATGGGCGATGCGATCAGACTTATATCGCATCATCCCGCGACTTTATCTCAATGATAAGACTAACAGCCGCTAGGTGGTCTTATCTTAGCGCCATGTCTGGGCGTGGGTAGCGCACGTCAGGCCGCGTCGCGCGCAGCCAGTGAGGACGAGGCGCGTTTACGTAGCCGTATTTGCCAATGCCAAATTGTCATTCCCCGTGTGGAGATTTGTACGATCAACGACGTCGTCTATCGCAGCAGCTGATATAGACAGATAAGAGGCAGTGTCACCCAAGAATGAGGCCAAGCTGATTCGACACGCGCCAGTCTTGTAACACACTTGCTGAAATTAAGCTTATCACACGGTTCGTCATGCTGGAATACACACCTCGCTGCATTTTGCGCCCCTCTACATGCTACACCCACCCAACTCCATGTCGTCCAGTATCTGCGTCTAATCCCATCGTAACTTTCGTGAATATTGTCCTCTGGCAAGGCTGTATCAAGCACGACCCGCCTTGCCGATTTGCAGGATCTCGCCTGTCAAGGCCTCATCGCTCCTCAACACAGGCCATGGCGCACCGTCGGCCTTGTGCAATGTCAGCTCGACCTTTGTGCCCATGACTTTGGCCGTGGATTTCTCGGTATCAATCGGCCCAAAGAGCGGGAATTCTTGCTTGAATCGCTTCGGTGGGCTGTCGCTTGTGACGAGGTCGAGATCTATCGAGCGTTCTTTGAAGTCAATCTTTGCTGTATCTTTGACAACCTTCTTTAGGAAGATCGAGGCAATGACTGTCGAGGCGGTCTGGTAGTAATCGTGCCTGTGCCACTCGTTAGCCTAACGTCTCTAGCATCGTATGAAGGCCAGACGGCGACAACGTACCTGACGGTTGTCAATACCTCCTCCCCTGAAGCGTCGCCCTTGTCCTTCTTGCCACTGCCAACGAACAGATGCTTGTTCTTGGTGGTGCACCCCTCGATCTTGAGGAACTGATCAAACTCAAGAACCCGTCGCTTGCAGCACGAATAGCCCTTGCTGCCCTCGTGGAAGATTGGTATGCCGGGGTGGTGCACGCATTTCTCGCCCTCGCGCGCGCTGCCCTTCTTGTACTTGGCATGGCAGGCTTTCCTCCTGCACTCTTTCCCGTCTGGGATCTCCAACGATGGGTCGTCGTCCTCGGACTCTTCTGGCGGCGGTGGCGGGGCGGCCGTGTCTTGCGCAGGCTGAGCGATTGGTGCTCGACCGGGCTCTTTCTCCTTGGACGCGTTGGCGGCAGCAATCTTGCGATCGAGGGCCTCGCTCTCTTCGGCCGTGGGCTTCGATTCCTCGAGCTGGGGGGGCTTGTCGGTGGCCGAGTGCGTGCCGGTTGTGCAGGGTGGAATGGCGAGGAATTCGTCAAAGGTAAGGACGCGAGTCTTGCAGCACTTCCAGCCTGTGCCACTGTTAGTTTGCAGTTAGTTACATTGCGAACCTAGATAGCATACCCTTCTGCCCCTCGTGGAACTCTGGAGGCCCGGGGTGGTAGACACATGGCTCGCTGGGGTCGGTAAAGAGCTTGCCGCAGCCCTGATGAACACACTTCGCTGCCATTTTGCGATTGTATTTGGTCCGAGTAATCACACACAATGTAGAGAAAGAGACCAAGACGATTATCTTGCTTCGCAGAATCAATCCAAGAGACTGTGATAGTGGGGTGGGATCTTCTAGAATCTCCAAATGCTCAATCGGGCAAAACACAGGCATGACGACAGAAAAAGATGGGGCGCCCGTCGCAATTCCAACCATGCCGAGCTCACCGCTTGCCGTTTTGAAATCGCGTACAGATCGTTGTTCTTGTCTCTTTGAACCATGAAGCAGTAGACGAACACTCTATCTACACCTCAGCAACCATGTTCGCCACGCACCGTCTTCTCCAACCGTTTGCAACACGCATAACGCTGTTCACGCGGCCCGGCTGCGGTCTCTGCGAGCAAGGCAAGGCAAACCTCTCGCAGGTTTGGGACAAACGCCCCTTTGCATATGCGGAAGAGAATGTCGATGCGCAAGAGTCAAAATGGAGGGATCTTTATGATTTTGACGTGCCTGTTGTGAGCGAAACTCGCCAACTGGAAGCACGTAGATGATTTGTCTAACGTAGGTATTCACAGATTCACATCAGCAGATCTGAGGCCCCCCCTGAAGACGTATCTACAGCTTCCAAGGCCATCAAGCTCATGCATCGCTTCACACCCGCCGAGGTGGAGGCCAAGATGGACGTAGCCGAACAGAAACATTAGTCTAGTAGCTCTTCCCTGGCTGCGGCGGAGCGGCCGACTGCGCGACGCTCAACTGGCTCCTCAAACTGAAATCCAGCACAGTGTAGTCGGTCGCCGCAGCGATCATGTCAAAGCCCTGCTCCGCAAACGCCTTGGCCTGTTCACCGGTCACGGAGAAGACGCCACACTTCTTCCCATTGTCATGGCTGGCCTTGAGGATCTTGGCCATGGCGTCCTTGAGCTCCTGCTTCACGACCCCGTCCAGGATGGGATGGCCAATGTTGTTGCCAAGGTCAAAGGGTCCGATGAAGAGAACGTCGACGCCATCGACGGCGGCAATCTCTTCGACAGAGTTAAGGGCCTCTTGCGTCTCAATCTGGACAATCGTCACGAGGGTGGAGTTGGCTTGCTGGAGGTACTCGGTGAACGTGGGCGCCGGGCTGAAGCGCTCCATGGACAGGGGAGATCCGAAGCCCCGGACACCCAGGGGTGGGAACTTGGAGTCTTTGACGAGTTGGCGGGCCTGCTCTGCGGACCGCAGCATGGGCACGATGATCTGCGAACTTGTGAGCATAGTGTACGACAGGGCGAGCTTCCAACTACGTACGCCATGTGCGCCGCAATCAAGAGCGCGCTTCACCATCCAGCCCTGCATATCAGGAATGCGCACAATGGGCGAGACGCCCGTGGCAGCAATGGCCGGGACAGCGTCATGCATGGCCCCGTCTGTTCACATTAGCCATTGAGTTCACCGCGCTACAAAGAGCATTGGGGTTGAAGACTAGACAGACCATCAATATTTCCATGTTCGCAATCCACGCACACCCAGTCCACACCTGTTCTTGCCAGAAGCCGTGACACGTTCGCACCAGGAATCATCTGCCACATGCCAAACGAGGGACAGCCCTCATCCAGGGCCGTCCGGATCTTGCTAGCAGCCTGCATATTGACGGCAGAGGAGGACAAGGGTCTCGAAAAGGTATGAGTACGCGCGATGGAATTGAGTACGGAGGAAAGCAAACGTGAGCGGATGGGAAAGCGTATGAGTCCCATTATGAAGCTCGAGTAAGCAAGTGGCCGTGTCAGTGGACTCGACGTAGCCTATGTGGGTAATGAGGTGAGTTGCGGGGGAGGGCGCAGCGAGATCGGGGGTTGTGCCAATGCCGGGCCGGCTATTGTAGGAAGTCAAGAGCAGCAATGGGGTAGCATTTCATGAAGATATTGGATGACGGAACCACGTACGGCACGAGGCTGTTGATGGCAGGTCAAAGGAGCATCCGAAGGATTGGGGCGCTTGCGGCATGCCACGGTCTGGTATGTTGCAGCTGATTTAAGGTGCATTGGACAATCCGACGCTGCTTGCATTTGCCCAATTGACATGTTGCAGGATTTCGTTGATTAACCATGTGTGCACATTGATACACTGCCATTCGTCAAGCGTTCTACAACGGCATGCTCAGTATACCCAGGCGTTTGACCATAACCTGGCAGACCTGGACTGGCTATGGATGTGCACAGCGCGATGACCAGCAACCGCAATGCAGAATCTTGCACGTGAGATGGTGTATTATCCAATTCTCATGCATCAGCTTGCGTGCAAAGTCTAGCAGTCTATATGACGGTCAGAATTCCGATGCCCACCCACCCCGTGGGTCATTCATTAGACAGCAGCAGAACAGGCAATGAAACCGCAGCTGTAGTCTCGTCCCGACCCAGCAGCGTCTGGGCCAGCGTTAAGCCCCCAAGATCTCGCGGCTCCGTAGCATTCTTCCAGCATGGGGCGCGCCACAATCTCTTTTTGGGAGCCGCAAATCAGCCTCAATGTACCGCTTAGTCCTCATCCAACGCGGCTCCTCCAAAGGTCTCGCTCGCGTCTTGCAGGGCACTAAAAATCCAGTTAGCTTGGCCATGATACGTCCAGCCACGGGGGCTGCATACCCCAGGTAGTCCTCCTTGATGCTGCCAATAGCCCACATCTCGCCCACCTCGCTTCGCGTGCCCAGAATTTTGACCCGTACCGATGACCCAGGGGTGATGTTAATATCCTCGTTGTTGGTGAACTGCGCCGGCGTGGCGTTCGGGTCCCACCTGATGTCGTCGGGGATCAGGTGACTCGAGACAAACAGCTTCAGCGGGCCGACCTGGGCAAAGAAGCCCTGGGGGTTCACCGAGACGACGATGCCATCAACCGTCTCGCCTTTGAATGGCCGCCAGACGACAGCGCGGTACCCGACGGTGAATTCAGCCATGCCAGTCCCGGGAAGGATGCGTCCTTCTGAGATATCGAATGTGTCCATGATGGAGATGATGTAGTAGTTACCAGAGCAAGATCCCTCCACGTCGCGGAGTAGATTGTCAATAACAAGATCGTGGGCGTCCTTGCAGAAGAAGGATGGGTGGAGGGTCACGCGCCGCTCCATGTTGCGTAGGAAGAACATGATGGGCGTTGGCTGTCGGTGAAGCTCAGCGTAACGTTCGGAGGGGTTCGCTCGATGAGGATGGCGCAGCTGGCCGCGCAAAGGTCGTCAAGGGCGCAAACGGGATGCGCAGGTTGTCGGAAGCCGGCCTTTCGGTCAGTGGTCCGCAACAATGGTCGCACGTCGAGAGTGGTGGTGATTGCGCTGGAGTGGACGTTCTTGCTCGGGGACGCGGCGCCTCAGCTCTCCCCCCAGCAGAAGAAGCTGTCGGCCGAAAACTCCTTCAGCCTTGAACTCTGCGATAGAATACAAAGGCGACAATAAGCTAGACGGACCAGTGAACAAAGAGACGGGTGGCCTGCGTGGTCGAAGCGCCGGTGAACGAGTTGAGAATGATTGGCGCGAGCGCGCTCGCCGTGGGCAGAAATCCACGGAGCACCTCGTTGTGAGTGTGAGGGTCCGTGCGCAGGTCTGGCTCAAAAGTAAAAATAAGGTACGTACCTTTTACCTCTGCCCAACGTGCACAAACTCACGCATGCACGGCTAGTTCCGACGCTTGATGATCCGCCAATATCGAACGGAAGTCATTAGCAATACTAATTAATAGAATGAAGGAATAAGCATCGTGCCGTGCGAGATGCAAGATGACTGGGCTTCCTCGTGATTTCTGGCCTTCTGTACAATGATGTCCCTCTATCAGCGGAAGGAGCATTCTGATAGCTTCCTGCCTTTTCCATTCGGTTAGTGTCGCGTGACGTGTGTATGGCACGACAGATAGTGCCGCGAAGGTTCTACAGAAAGAAATACCTCGATGCAAAGTCAATACTGCGTTCTGTCAGATGCACTCAATCCTAAATCACCCATGATGACAATCTGGTCTCCAGACTGCTTAGCTTCGTCTGCCCAGAGTCAAAGTGTTGGGCCCCACGTCGACCGCGAGCTTGCCGAGCCCAATCCCATTGGAAAAGTTGAAACCCCCGAGACCGAGGTCCCTGATTGGCTGCGCCTCATCAGATAGACACCTCACCGTCGAGCCCGGAGTGGCAGCTCCATTTCCTCCCCGTCCCTCTTCACTTGCTTCCATTGTTAGTTACTTCCCTGTTCTCGCAGCCAGCGGTCATTCTGCGCATCGGCATCAGTCACGGCTACAGGTCTGCGACAGCTCTGTCCATCGCCCATACTCTTTGCATGGTCACGCATACGACACGTGTCAAGCTGCCTTCATAAGCTCTGTTCGGTCCGGGTGGGCGTGGGATAGCTACTTAGGCTAGGATAGGCCTCACTAAGCTCGAACTCATATCACGCACACCCATCTCTCATCATGTCGCTCGACCTCGAGCGTCAACTGGTCTTTGTAAGCGCAAGGGACATGGTACCACCCCAGCGTACGTTGGCTAATGACGCAGTATGGCTCCTATCACCACAACAAGGTCAATGTGGCCATCCACATCCTCTGCGTGCCCATGATTCTCTTCTCAGGCTTCACCTTGGTATGATTCAACCCCACTTCTCCGTTATGGCCTCACTTCTGACAGCCCCCAGGCATCATATTCAGGAACCATCATCCCAACACCCTCTTGGCTCACCGTCCCGAACCTGCCACTCAACCTCGGGACCATTGGTGCCACCGCCTATGCAGCGCTCTATCTTCTGCTGGAGCCCGTGGCCGGCTTCGCCCTCGCGGCCATATGCCTCTCTGCCGCAGCCGCTTCAAACTACTGGCGCGCGCAGTGCCCCGACGTGACGCTCAAGGCGGCCATTGCGGTGCACGTCTTCTGCTGGGTCGCGCAGTTTGTCGGCCACGGCGCGTTCGAGAAGAGAGCACCTGCGTTGTTGGACAATCTCATCCAGGCGCTGTTCCTGGCGCCCATGTTCGTGTGGCTGGAGATCCTCTTCTTCTTCGGATACAGGCCTGAGCTGCAGGCCCGAGTGCAGAAGCAAGTCCAGGCCGAGCTTGTCAAGTTCAGGACGGGGCAAAAGAACGGCAAGGCCCAGTGAGCGCCCATTACTGGGGCCTCCAGATTGGCGATGCGTGCGAAGCTGCAAATCACCAGTTACCACATTATCGCGCCAGGCGATGCCGTCCACGAGGGCCATTGGCTGCCGCATCACATTTTGAAAGACAATATGAAGACGTATAGCTTGGCATCGCATGCCAGCTATCGTCAGAGAGAAAGACACGTTGGAAGACAGGACGTCACATGTAAGATGAGTTCGAGGTTGGGGGGAAGCATGTGTGATTATGCGCTAGCGATATGGTTGATTTATGTGGTTTCTGATTTCTATTTTTGTTCCATCGAGAAAAGTCAAGCAAGATTGTAAAGCAAAAACAAAAGAAAATCTGTTAGCAAAAGTCAGTGTGGGTCGAATCGTGGCTCGACTTACCATGTCTGTCTGCGCGCTGTCTAACGCCTCTTGTTGCTGTGAGAGGACTTGTGCGACTTATTGCTGGACCGGCCAGACTTGTGAGAGCATTGGGTGCTCTGGCTGTGCAGTGAGTCATGTCGAGTGGCTTCTGCACAAGCAAAGGACTCGAGGGAGGGCTCGTGGCGGCTCATGCCCAGAGCATTGAGGAAGCCCTGGCCAAAGACGGCGGGCTTCTTGTCACTTTTGCCCTTCTTCTTGGTCTCGGCCTTCTCGGCCTTCTTCTTCGCCGTTTCCTCGCGCTCATAGCGTCGGATGTCCTTCGGACGCACCATGGGGAGCGGGCCTCGCGCTGTTCCAAGATCATACTTGGGATCGCGCGGCAGAATCTGCGACCAAGTTGTCTCCACTGTCGTTCTATGGTCTTGCTTCTGCTTCTGCTCCTCTGGAATGGGTGCTTGAGGGACGACGGGCGGTTTGCGGGGATGCGAGTAGACCTGGCTGCCACAGCTCGAAGGCGTGGGGTTAATACCAGGATTCATGCGCCCGTGGTAGCGAGGATCACGCAGAGCGCCTGCCAAGTTGTACTTACGAGGGTATTCTAAGTCTGCCTGTGTGGCTGTGGCTCGGTTCCTCTTCACAGGCGTTGTGTTGTATGAGGTTGGCGCGGTTTCATCTGTCACGGAGCGAGACAATGAGCTACCTTGGGTTTGGGCCATCATCTCTGTCTCGTTGGAAACCCGCCTTGCGTTTGCGCGCCACTCCTCCTTGATCTGCTCCATTTTGCGAGAGTTCTCGCGCTCCATGCGGGCGCGCTCCTCTGGTGGAATGTAGTTCTTCATCTTGCGGTTGTGCTCGATGCGGAGGTCGCGGAAGTACCCAATCTCGGTGTTGGTGGTCATGGAGCGGCGGTCAGCAGGAATGACAAGCGGCTCGGGCCATGAGTTGTCGGCCGTGGGCCACTGGTCATTCTCCGTCTCGTCTCCTAGGACGCGAGCAGCAGTCTCCGATCCTACGAGTGATTTCAAGTCAAAGTAGAAAGGATCATTCTGGCTCGTTTTGGTCGTGTCGTAAGGGTCAACAAACCCAGAGGGAATGGCAGGCACGGGAGGTGCTTCGTCATCAGAGTCAACGCGATACTCTGTCTCCCAGATCGTGCCCACGGCACTTTGGCCATCATCGTATCTGCCTTGGCCATTGGCGATGCTGTCTTCGGCATCCCTTCGGAATCCGGGCCGAGCAGAGTAGACAGAGCTTGCGGGGCGGGGGTGAACGTTGACAGGGCCCTGCGTGGGACCGTCAGGGTTGGATCGTCGTTGAGGTTTGGGCCAGAATGCGCGGGCTGGGAGAAAGGGCTCCTGCTCCTTTTCCTCGCCATAAATCTTGCCAGTCGATTCATCCAGAACGTTGGCTGCGGTAGCGCCGACGAAGCCAATGGTAGAGGGGTCGTCGGTGCTGTACACCCAATCCTCCACGCGCTCGGTGTAGGGGCCAGGAGCTTCGGGACGAGGGATGTTCCACGGGTCTTCGTCTTGGATATGTTCATCTTGTCGCTCCGGAGCATCCTCTGTCATGCGGCGGCGAGAATTTTGCGAGCGTCCAGACTGGCCTGATTTGTGCCTGCTGCGATAGCCATCATCAATAGGCACGGGTGGAACGGGAGGTGTCCGATGGCGCTCCTCGACAGAGGGACGAATGTTGGGTTCCTCATTCCTAGCCTCACGGTTTCGTTTTCCTCCCGTGTCACGCCGCTTGTGGTGGTCTTCGCGATGCTTCTTTGCCGTCTTGCTAGCCCTATCTGCTGTCTTTTCATCCGTGTTGGACCGACAGGCCCGGCAAAGACGATCTTTTCGGACCTTTGTGATCTTGTGGCGCTTTTCTGCAAGGAGGGCCTTGCGCCATATGGTGTCAAATCCACAGGAACCGTTCTTCTCGTCCCGTCGGTGGCCGCACTCGTAGATGTAACGAGTGCGACACATGTTGGCTGTTGTGTGGGACGAAGGGCGATCCGTGTGGTGTAGTGTTGTCTTGTGTGGGCAACTCCGAAGCAAAGGCAGTAAGCTGCACTGCAGGAGCTCCGAAGTCTGTTTGGTTCGTGAAGTATTGAAGTTATGCAATGAAAAAGAAAGAGAAAGGAATCCAGAAGTCCGAGAGTTGAGGGATGTGTTATATAACCAGTGAAGGCCCATGGCGCGAGCACAGGGAGAACTGTCCGTCGAGGCAAGCCACTGTTCTCGAAAGCAATCACCCTGATCGCCATACTGACATCGAGTTTGGCAAAAAAAAAAAAAAAAAAATGCGCTGTTCGACGCGGAACAGAGACTATACTTCGAGAACTCATTCGGACTTCAGGGTGGTTCTTCGAACAGAACACCTCTCTTTCCTTGCTTCTCGAGCATCTGCCAATGTGTTCCGGGAGTTCTGAAACCAATGCAAAGTTCATGTTTGGCCGAGTCTGTACATTTCAGTATTGGTTCGAGTGGCTCAGTCTGTTCATCGACCCAAATACTTGTTTCCCTGGATACGACCACCGTCCGCCGGCTGCACTCTTTGTTCCCCTGAAATCAACAAAGAACACAACCAGACCTTTGAGAACTCCGCAAACACGGAATTAAGTGAGGCTATGTGTGCGCGTAAAACACCAAAGATTTTCTCGCATCAGAAAACTTCTTTCTCCATCAACACAACTCGCTCAAGGTACAGCGCAATTGATCTCTCCTTGTAACCCAAGCAAAGATCAGTTGCGAACTCTAGACCCACCGAATTTCGTCCCAAGCTGACATAAAGAAACAGTCATGCCGTCTCTCACAGGAAAGGTCAAGACCTGGCTCCAGCGCCCCAAGCCCGCAGAAGAGGAGCAAGTCCAAGTCGAGACTCCACTGGATCCTCATGCCATGGATATTGCTGCAGAGGCGGTCAAGCGCCTGGAGAAGGGAGACCGCTGGGAGTCTGTCCAATCGCAAGTTGATGCTCGGCGCAGGATGCATGCCCAGCGTCAGGGCCATGATCGTGTGCTGGCCGGTGACTGGCACTTCGGTCCGGACAAGCTGTTGTACCAGCACCCAAATCCCTACATCAAGCGCGAGCCCCACAAAGTCCATATAATCCATGGAACGCGGGAAGAGCTGGACATGTTGGAGGAGGCTGGCATGACCAGCCAGAGCGATGAAGAGTTTGTCGCCTCATACTTCCCCAATGAGCCTGTCGTTCAGCGTTTGTTTGCGCAAAAGCTGACCATTCCTCAGCGTGCCCATTGTAGAACGCCTCCTCAGGCGCGAGCCACACATGGCCGCCCAGTTGTGTCCACCTCTCACAATGGCGAGGAACGAGTTTCTGCCGGCGCTGTGCGTCGACAGCAGACGGTGCCTGCTCGCACCAGCAACCTACCATCTCTGGAGCGAAGGGAGACACTAGCCGCGCATGGTATTCGCCGAAGGAACGCTATTCGCGTAGGCTCTGCCGGCTCTAGAGGGTGCATGGATTAATGCGTTCGTGATTGCGAAATAGAACTAGACAAACGGGAGTGGTTGGTGCGGTTGGTGGTTGGGTGCAACTTTGGTAAGTGGTTCCAAGGGAGCGCGAATCCAGGCTTTACTTACTCAGATTGAATAGATAAAAAGGTCTCATCTTTAACTTGTTTCTTTTTGCCTAGCTTTTGTGTGTATCATGTTTCTTTGGTGGCACGTAGAGCGTCTGCATGGAAGTGCTTGAGTTCATGCCCCCAACTTCCAAAGAGGACCTGTCGATGGCTAGGCCATTGCCTCTGCTGATCACATTCAGATTTCGGGATCGACCATGTCCGGGACTGCCACGTTGCCCGTCCTAACCGTGAACATCTCTCGATATCTCTGAGCGCAGGTGGCCTCTGGTCGGTTCGCGACCGTCTTGTAGGTTAGTCGTGCTTCGTCAATGCCGAGGCAGCTGACGTCTACTTAGCTAGCAGCTCGCTGTCGACCAGTCAGGACTCTTTGACCTAGCTGTAGACTGTAGTCGACCCCCTGGTTGAACGGTTGAAATGGGAAATAGGCTCGCGACGCCAGAGCCTGATGAAGCGATGGTGGACCCCGGAGAACACTAGAACAGGGCATGGAGCTTCCAGTCCTTTGGGGAAATGCAACCCCTCCTCCCGCCCTGCTGGTGGAGTCGGTCTCACATGATGGCCAAGCAAGCCGCCGTGCAAGATACTAGTAGGCATACCGCGGCTTCACCTGTCAGAGCGCATCATTATGCTCCAACAGACGACAACGTTTGCTTCCCTGCCAAACGAATTGTGTTGCGCAATATGAAACCATATCGATCCAAGAAAGCATGGTAAATACGTACTCTAGCACAGTTCAAAACAGCTCTAACGTTAGCTCGCCTGGTGGTGCGGGGCAGGGGACGTCATATGGACTGGTCACTGGCACCTGAGGGGGAAGGAGGTCGTGCCTCGGCGGTGGGTGACTTCGCTCGAGTGAATGCGCACGTCGCAGTGAGGCGCCTGCATTGACACGCAAAGTGGTGGCGCTTGTGACGACGCTTGTTGATTTAAAGGTGTCTCGTTTTCCCCAACTTTCAAACGACCTTTGGAGTATTGCTCGAAAACCACGAGTCCCTGGCTAGATCTTCTGCAACACCCCTCCAAATTGACAATCTGTGCCAGACGACCAAAAGTCTATTCGAAATTGCACCCGCCACCATGGCTGCCCCTCCCGAGAAGACCCTTAAGAACCTCACGGGCAAGTACCAGCTGGTACGTGGACAAGAAACCACATGGCAAGACTCCAGCTCACTTCGCACAGAACAAGGAACTCTCCGACTCGATTGAGCCCGTCCTCGTCCTCCAGGGCATTGGCTTTCTCATCCGCAAGGCCATAGGCGTCGCCTCCATCAGCCTCGAAGTCAATCAGTACGAGGCACCGCCCAGCCCGCCCGCGACATCCACCGATATTGTCACTCACATTGACATTGAGCAATCCGCCTCCGGCCTCAGCTCAACGCACGAGAAGCGATGCCTCGACAACATCTTCCGTGAACACAAGGACTGGCTCTTTGGCGAGGTGCAGGGCAAGACCAGGTGGGTCACCATGGACGAGATCACCGACGAGCACCTGAAGAAGGGCTGGGAGGAGGGCGGCGACGGCCAGTTTCTCCAGAGCTTTGTCGAGAGCAAGACCAACGGCTGGACGGCGGAGCAGATCTGGGGCTTCCAGGTGGTAGACGGCAAGAGGCGATACTGCCGCAACATTGTCCTGCTCAAGGGTTCGGACAGGGCTGCCGTGCGGTTGGTCTATGATTACCTGGGTTAGACACGTACATTTACACATATACATATACACACCCACATATAGGCATGCGCACATTCACATACTATTGCAAACAGATATACACAGACGGTATAATTCTGCGGTAGCCTTTTTGTGGTCTACATGTACGCCAAACAACTTGAGCAAGAACCAATGTCTACAGTCTGGGGTATCTCACGCCGGCCGTCTCTCGACAAAACGCTCCAGGTCACCCACGGTAGCCACGCCTAGAACGAATCGTCTTGCCTCATCCGTGACCACCGCGAATTCCTCGCTCCAGCCATCCGTTTTGTTGCCCCTGAAAAAGGCTTCCAACTCTTCCAGAGGTGTGTCCATCGTAATGACGCTGTACTTGCGCCCTTTGCGCTGGAACCGGGTCATGGCAGCGCTGAGGGGGTCTTCGGGCTTCACCTTGCCAGAGTCGAGGAGGGACTGTAGGTGCGGGATCGAGATGTAGCCCAGCAATGCGCGCGTTTCCGAGTCGACGATTGTCAGGTGGGTATAGTCGCGCTCGAATGCGGACAGAAGGGCCAGAGAGATGGCATCTGAGGGATTGAGCGATAGAGCCGCCGGCGGGTCGAGATCTTCTACAGTGGCCTGGTGATATGTCAGCTACGAGTTGTCCGAGTCGTCTTGGTTGCCTGGTAGTGGATGAGAAGGCCATGAAACATACCCCGCGGTACCGTGATGACCACTTGGAGTTGGGGAATCTGCTGGTGACGGCAGCGACGCTGCCGGATTGCGTTGCTATCGACGCCATTGCGATTTAGTATGGATAATGTGTGCGTACTCGGTTGAAGCGAAGCTATCACGGGTCAAGGCAGATGATGATGCGGCAGCGTTGGCTCGGTTAACTTCAGGGATTTCCATGGCTCGCAATGCTAAATGGGTGGGCCTGATCTGACAATTGTGCAGCCCTGATTTCGAGGGGTTCGCCTTACCCGGTGCCATTCTGGAGGCTGGGAAGACGCTCGTCTAACGTTAGCATGTGGCCTTTGTTCGCACCAGAACTTCGCGTGTGTTCAAATGTACGTACAGTGTCAGTATCGAGTTGATATATGACGGACTAACGCGGGGATCTGAGGCATTCAACACACCCAGCTTTTACAGTGCGATTCAACTTGATGCATCCACTTGGGCTTCACTTGGCGAGCCCTGTGAAAGTCATCAGTCGCCAAAAGCGGAAGAGGGGCTTTGCAGCCACAGCGGCGAATTGTGAGACTTATGACGTTGTCCACAGCCATGCTCAGTCTGCTGTACACACACATCCTTAACTTCCGGGTAAGATCAGACGCCGTGCGTGAAATGGCAGCCCAGGCGAACGAACTCGCAAAGTCTCGTTGGCAGGACCAGTCTGTCGAGGAGGGCCACAAAGGCCCGACTCGACGCAGGCGGCAGAGCATGATCCCAAAATCGTGGGTTAGGCTGTGCCTGATTGGTACGGGTTGCATAGATCAAACCCCACAGTTCTACGCACTGGCATCGCGGGGAACCGAACTCCAGAGTCCAGAGTGCTCTCGCCTTCGATGCAGAGACATTGGGCACGGCCAGTTGAAGCAAAAACGGCCATTTGGCCATTTTAGCCTCATTGAGGGGGGCTGTCGAAGATCGCCACTGCTATGGCGTTCATAACGGCGTGTTACGAACAGGTGTGCTGTTGGTGAAGCCTACGCAACGTACCTATCACAGACCTGAGTGATGCTCCCCAAGTTGACACAATGCTGAACAATCCAGAATTCCCCCACATCCCATTATTGCTTGTGGATGTATGGTCGACCTGCAGGACAAGCCACAAGCGATCGCGTCGAGAAACTAATAAGCACAAAGCTCGGGGCCCCCTGTGCGTTTCGGCACCTAAAAGCCGCTCAGGCTCACACTGAAGAAGCCAACATCTGGCAGGAGGCGGAAGCAGCGCGTACGCAGAGCATTTCGCTTTGGCTAGCGGCTAACTTATTAGGCGACAGCGACTCAAGCACGCTTGTTCAATGGGTCCGCGCGTGGTGCTGCGTACGTACGTGCTTGTTTGCGTGTTCAAGCGCTATTATCCAGGCGCTGCACTGGTTCGTCGGGATGTATTCCGATGAGTGCGGAGGAGGGAGGTCCCTTGCAACATGTACATGTACGAATCCGCCCACGCTGAAAGGAGCGTTCTTGTGTTGCTCTGCTTTTGGCTTCTTTCAAAGTCGAGTAAGTGATAACAGCATAAAGTCGTGCGACTGATTGGAACCGTCAAACTCGTACTGTCCTGGCAGACTGGCTAAGTAAGTGGCCGTTGAGTTCGATGTTGGCTTCTGTCACGACGCACTGTGGGCGGTGGTTTTGACGCCCCGCTCTACGGATCTTGGCGCCGTGGGCTGAAGCAGTCATCATTTGCCTACGTACCTTACCTGAACAAGCGCATTAACCAAGGTCGCGAAGCCACAACTTCCCTCCCAAACAACCGCTTCGCATTGCAATGGCGGAGAATAATACGTCTTGGAAGTGTCATATCTTATGAAGCCAGGACTGGTGGTGAACCTTCCGACAGGCGGCTCAAGCCCCCCAACCCACGCCATACAGAACCCAGATCCCACGATGGGGCTCCACAGTCCATGTTGTCCGGCTCTGGGGTGGTCTGTCTTGGCGTTTGCATTGCAGCCTCTAGTACTCTACGTACTGTATTAGTCCGTCCGCCTGTCCGCTTCAGTCCTCTCCACACGCACGCCGCACGTAGAACGCACCGCACCTGCATCTTCCGTTCTGGAATACTGGAGCCTTGCCATGAGGCAGGGGCGGTCCCTTACCGACTGGACATTGGAGGAGGCTTACAGCGAGCTAGGCCCCTGTAGCCGCCCCCCAAAACGCCTGGGCCGACCCCTGCCAAATCTTCTGGTGGTTGGTTGGTGGCCTTATCCTGCCTCCAGTCTGACTTTGAAGGGCCTGGCTCTGACTGGAGTCTGGGCGCTGGCGAACTGCCCTCTTGCCACGGATCCATCCCATCAATCACCTCACTCACCCCAATCCCTTCCACCTCCGCCTTTGGCTGCAGCAAGTCCTGGTCCAGCCTCTTGTCCTTTTGCCGCTTCCCTCTCTGCTTTGCCTCATTTTCTCTCCATGTCCTTGTCGGTCAGACGCTTTCTCTTTACATATTCATATTCTACTTGAACTCGCCTCTTCCACTTTGCGGGGAAGGTCGCGGCGACTTATCGTACCGTACGTGCCATTCTACGTGATTAGCCGTCCCAAACCCGGCTCGGGCAAGCTTACCAACCGCCAGCCCCCAGACTTCGCAACCCGTTGACGACGCCACTTGTCCCCGGACAAAACTAGAGACAGCGAGCGATCGCTCATTGTGTCGACACCTTTTGCATTGGCCGGTTTGGACAGGTCTGCACTGCATCGCGGACAGTCTTGCGCGGCATCTAGCTGTGGGACCTCGTCTGCGCGTCTCGACTTGATCTCCATCCGAAACCGCATGCCCAAAGTCGCGCGCGCTTCTCCCCGATCGACCGCACGCCCGCCGCAGCACGGCTTATAAGCATGGCTGGCTTCTTCAGTAAAATCAAGAGCAGCTCGGTATGGATTTTCCCTTGCCCTGCGGGTGCACGAGGCCGTCCTTGGGTCGTTCGGGGAATTGCGACCGAGCGTCGCATTCTCTCCGTCCGCCTATCACGTCAAGTCCAACATTGCTAACAAATCATTACTTCGCAACAGGCGCCGAGTCCAACCGCTGCCAAAGATGCGGTCGCAAAGAAGAAGGAGGAGCCCTCGCCTGAGGTGACTCCCCTCGAGAAGATGCTACAGAACGCTGGACCTCTCCGGACGGACGGTAGCGATAGATTCTATGGCTTCGAGAACGTAAGTTACCACATGCTGCGAACTTATTTGCCGAGTGTATGACAGTGACTGACGCTAGCAACAGTTTGGTAATACCTGGTACGAATCCGCGCGAAACCCTTGAAACGAATCTCGAGTATACTGATCTAACACCACGCAGCTATTGCAACTCCATCGTACAGGCGCTATTCTTCAATGAAGTCTTCCGGGAACATGTTGTCAACTACCCATCCCTCTCGCCGTCAGAGACTGCCGATGGGACCAGACCACGGGTCAATGTCACAATCCGACCGCCTGCCGTTGCGGCGCCGCCCGCCAACCAGCAGAATGGGAACAAGAAGAGTTTGACTACATCCCAGACTCTAAAGCAGAGGGCTGCTATCAACGCTGGTGCTCTACCCCCGGGGCAGACTATTCGCCCAGAAGACAAGCCCGATACGCCGGAGTACAAGAAAAAGCAGGCCATGCTAAAAGGCCCGATCCTTGAGCTGGCGCAAGAAAGGAAGGAGGCTTATGGTATGGACGAGAACACATTCACAGGTCTCAAGGACATCTTCCTAGCCCTCATGGACAGCACAGGGAGGACCGGTGTCATCAGCCCGCAGCGTTTCCTCGAGATCTTCAAGCGCGACAACGAGATGTTCCGAAACTCAATGCACCAAGATGCGCACGAATTTTACGGTCTCGTGCTGAATGACATCATCACAAATGTCGAAGAGAATGCGCGCAAGATGCAATTGGAGGCGGCTCCTGGAGACAGCAGCCTGAAAGACTCCGTTCAAAATGCGTTAGGATCTGGAATGATGAATGGCATGCACTCTCCCGGCACTGGCTGGGTACACAACATCTTCGAGGGCCTTCTTACTTCAGAGACGCAATGTCTGTGTTGCGGGACGGGCTCCCAGCGTGACGAGACGTTCCTGGATCTGTCCATTGATCTCGAGGAGCATTCGTCGGTCACTTCATGCTTGCGCAAATTCTCAGACGACGAGGTTCTCTGTGAGCGTAACAAGTTTCACTGCGACACTTGTGGTGGTCTAGAGGAGGCTGAGAAACGCATGAAGGTCAAGCGTCTTCCAAAGGTGCTCACGTTGCACTTGAAGCGCTTCAAATACACAGAGGACTACAGCCGGTTGCAAAAGCTGTTCCACCGAGTCGTCTATCCATACCACCTCCGCCTCTTCAACACGACTGAGGAGGCTGAGGACCCCGACAGACTTTACGAACTGTATGCTGTCATTGTCCATATTGGTGGCAATGCCTACCACGGTCATTACGTCTCTATTATCAAGACCAAGGACCGCGGCTGGCTCTTGTTCGACGATGAGATGGTGGAGCCCGTAGACAAGCACTTTGTGCGCAACTTCTTTGGCGACAAGCCTGGCATGGCCACAGCCTATGTGCTCTTTTACCAGGAAACCACGTTCGACAAAGTGCGTGAAGAACAGGAGAAGGAAGGTTTGGAAGAAGTACTACTGGCCACCCAGGCCGCAAACCTAGGCCTTGAGGAAAGCGAGAGGAAGGAGAAGGAGAAGGCCGAGTCGAATGCACTGCGCAGACAAACAACACAACCGATCCGACCAAGCCATGACCCTGAGCCGGCCATTGAGCTTACACGGGCAAGCACCACTCCCGAGATCTCGTCAGCCGCAACGCCCCAGTCACCTGCTGCCGAAACGAATGGCACGGCTACCGCTCCAAAGCCCTCCGCTGCTATCCCCACTATCCATGAGAAGCCCGAGCCTGCTAGGTCGGAGAAGCAATCCAAAGAGGACGTGAAACGGGAGAAGAAGGAGCGCGAGGCAGCCGAGAAGGCGGCCAAGGCGGCGATGAAGCAGGCCGAGAAGGACCAAAAGGAACAGGAGAAGGCGAACCAAAAGCGACAGTACGATGAGCGTATGGCGACGATTCAGGCGCGACAAAACGAGCAGGCCGAGTATGAAAAGGTCATTGCGGCAAGCAAGAAATCGGCAGCTGACGAGGAGTCGGCGCGGAAACGAGAAAACGGCGAATCGAGCCCCTTTGGGTTCCTGGACCGGCATAAGCGAGGCAGCAAGTCCATGGCCAAGCGCATGTTCTCGCGCGGCGACAAGCACGAGCGACCTGGAACGAGCGACACAGCGAACGGCGACTCATCGCCAACGTCTGAGCCGAGAAGCAGGCTAAGCAGTGCGTTAGGGAGGAAGAAGAGTAGCAATCTGCTCTCCTGAGGAGCGGTGGGCGGGCATCACCTGGAGAGCGAGATGACGACGGCTTTCGGCGCGTGTGCTTGAATAATCACAATAATGCACATGCTCAACGAGATCAGCATTCTGGGAGCGTTTTCACATTCTTACCACATCTTGTTTTGATCGATGCACTCTGGTCTATGAGCAGCCTGACAATGCGCCGTGCATTTGCGGGCAGCACGCACGCACACCAAGGCGAGAAGCGGGCATGTAACTGAGAGGGGACAAACGATAATCAGGGGAAAAGCGGGAGTGAACGGTTTGCGGTGAGGCGTTGTGTTGGGAGCCGTGTCTGCCAGCATCTCATAGTTAGACTCTGTCTGTCTTTTTCGAAGGATGTATAACAGCGAAGGCCAGTGTGGCTAATTTGGTACCAAGCGTGTTCGCGTCGCTACTCTAGTACTTGTCGTAACGCCAGATGGATGTGTGGACGCCCTTGTTATAACGCCGTACTCCATGCTCCCCGCTTCGTGTGCCGTGTTCCGTAGTTCATTAATCCGCCCAATCATCCCAGAGCCAGCTCATATAGTATGATGATGGTATTCGCGATTATCAGTGGTGCTGTTCGCCCTGTCAGTCCACAGGTCGTCCGGCATGGCAGGATGGCCAATTCTTACCGCGCATCAGTGTCCGTACGCTGCCGATGAGGTTGATCACCTTTGCCTTTACGCTTGCATCGGTACCGGTGCCGAACGCAGGATCGTATGATGATGGAGATAGATTGACTGGGTCGTTCCGTCAGTGTGAGCTCTGATGGCAGGGGCGTCATTCGGGGGAGGGTAGTGGGAAATTGGAGGGACGTACGGCGGGCGAGGAAGCGGTCCTCGGACAAGATTGCGACGGCGTTGATGAGGAGGACGGCAACTGGTAGCTATTAGTAACTCCAGGTCGCGATTGAAGCTGCCGGTAGGACGTACTGTAGAAAAGGGTGCCGAGGTACAACATGTCGGGCGATTGTGAGGCGACGCTGATGCGATCTGGAAACGTGAGGACAGCTTAGCTGCCATGTGGAGTGGGAGGTTCACTTTGGGCTTGGGAAGTGGGATGGATGTCTGGGCGGCGGCTGTGGTGCGGGGGAAGGTTGTGCCGATCCGTCCAGGCTCCGAGTCCAGTCGTTTGTGGGGTAGGCCGCAGGTGGTACGTCAGACGGTCAGGCTGGGCAGGCCGGGCAGGGGCACTTAGCTCGGCGAGCTGACGACCCTGGATTTTGAAGGAAGCTTGGAGCTTCAATGTTGCGACTCCACTGCTTCCTTTGAACCTGAATTTCCGAAGCGTTGTCAATTGCACCTGTCGCTTGTCCCTAGCAGTAACGCCCGTTGTAATCCATCGTCTACACGTTCCAGTCCATCAATGGGAACTCGCACACGGCAGTAGGCCACTCACCCTTTCGCCATGGACATGATAGGTATGGGCATCCACGCACTCACTCACTCACTCACTCACGCCCAACATCATGGGTCAAAAGGCTCACATGCAACCCGCAGATCTTCAACTGTCCGCCATCCTCATCATCACACCTCTCTTTCACCTCCTCTTCGCACCTCATACAAAAGTCGAAGAGTCTTTCAACCTACAAGCCGCCCACGACATACTCGTCTACGGCACGCCCACGCATAATGTCGCCGCCCGCTTCGCCAGTGTGTACGATCACTTTACCTTCCCAGGCGCCGTGCCGCGCTCTTTTATCGGCGCTGTCGTCCTCTCGGGACTGAGCCAGCCTCTGATCTGGCTGAGTGGCTTCCAGCATGCGCAGACCATCGTGAGGGGCACCCTGGGGGCCTTCAACGTTGGCTGCCTGCTCATGTTGAGGCAGAGTCTGGCCTCAGCGTTTGGGAAAGGCGTGGCGCGTTGGTGGATTCTACTGCAGGTGACGCAGTTTCACGTCATGTACTATCTCACCAGGACGCTACCGAACATGTACTCCTTCGGTCTCAGTATGTTTATGCTCCTTACCCCTTTTTTCAACCTGGACCCCCTTTACAACGCCCATCATGCTAACAGACTTGCGCAGCGACCTTGGCATTCGCATTCATCCTTCCAAAGTCCAACCCGGCAGAGTCCCTGCGACGCAGGAAGCAAGCCATATTCTTCCTCACGCTGTCGGCAACCGTCTTTCGCGCCGAGACAGCCATCCTCCTCGTCGCCATCACCCTCCACCTCCTCCTCGCGTCGCAACTCACCTTGCGAGACGTCATCCCCACCTTCATCCTCTCTTTCCTCTTCGCCCTGGTCATCTCCGTGCCAATCGACTCGTACTTCTGGCAACAATGGCCTCTGTGGCCTGAACTGGCGGGCTTCTACTTCAACGCCATCAAGGGATCCTCCTCGGACTGGGGCGTGTCCAGCCGGCACTGGTACTTCACCTCCGCCCTGCCGCGCCTCTTCATCAACCCCTTGACGCCCCTCCTCATCGTCTTCGCGCTATATAATGCCGGCACCCGCCGACAGGCCCTGTCCCTGTTCGTGCCGAGCATGGCCTTTGTCGCCGTCTACTCTCTCCAGCCGCACAAGGAGACGCGCTTCATCCTCTACGCTGTGCCGCCCCTGACGGCTGTCGCCGCCCTGGGCGCAGACTACATCACTACCCGCGCATCCCGCACGACAGCCAACAGACTCGTCACATACGCCCTCTACGCCTCCCTCCCCTTGTCACTCGCCATCTCATCGGCCATGCTCGTCCTCTCGGCACTCAACTACCCCGGTGGCGAGGCCATCATGCACCTCCACTCTCTCCTCCCTCCCTCATCCGCCCTTGACGGACCTATGTACGCCCACGCCGACGTGCTCACCTGCATGACCGGCCTGACTCTCTTCCACCAAAATCCCCATGGTCTCCCCCTCGCACTGGCGAATCCGGACTCCGCGAGCCCCGACGAGAGGGCACTTCTCGTCGTCGACAAGACCGAGAGGGATATCACGCTGGGCTATCCCCGCTTCTGGGAGAGGCTGGACTACGCCCTCGAGGAGAAGAGTGCGCTGCCCATGGGCGACTGGGAGATCCTAGGCGTCGTCAGTGGCTACGACGGCATTGAGATTCTCAAGCCTGGCCAAGAAGAGGAAAAGCAGCAGCAGCCTTTTGACGTGCTCGGCCTGGGGAGGTCGGTCGCAGAGGTGAGAGAGAGGACAAGAGCTCTCACCGGTGGCTGGTGGGTCGGTCCACGGATGACACCCAAAATCAACATCATGCGAAGACGGGACAATGTCTAGTCAAGAAAAGAAACAGAGAGTATTACAAGTATCAGGGCATAATAAATCCACACTTTGTATTGTCTTTTGCTGCGACAATGTCGATGCACAGCCACTGAATACGCAAGGGCCTAGGACGGGGTCTTCCATCCATTCCCTCCCCTTCCTTTCCCTATTCCATCGCCTGTCTTGATCCCAATAGCTGCACCCCTCCCTAAACGCCAGACAAAAGCACATGTGAAGTAGGGAATCCAATCGTGACCCTTTTCCACGTATCTGTGATCCAAAACAGGGTATCACTCGCGCGCGCTTGCGTTGTGGTGAAAAAAAATATATCAAAATGCAGGTCATTCGTGCCCCGAACCACCCATCGAGTGTGTGTGTGTACAGTGGTGGTGGTGGTGGGCAGGTGTAGTAAGTAATTAAGTGATCACATGTCGTATGTTCTTTGCGCGCGTGGTGGGTGATGGATGTAGGCCGCACGCATCACCTCACTCCTGTTCTGTGGAGCTGCCCTCCGTGTCGTCGTCGTCATCGTCGTCAACATCGCCGTCGTCATTTGTTATTGCGTTGTCCGGCGGCAAGTCGCCGTACAAGGTGCGATACCGCTCCAGCTCCGTCTTTTGCTGGACAAAGAAGTCCAGCACAGCGGACATGGGTGCCCGAAGCTGGTTAAGCTCGTGCAAGGGTCCGTCGCAGCGGGCCAGGTATCGTACTGCTATTGTTGTAACGCAAGCCTGTAGTTGCTGTCAGTGATGGTCATGGATAGTATGCGAAGCAGAAAACGCTCACCTCTATCCTACTGACTTGGTGCTCCATAAAGTTCATCAGGAAACGCTCTGAAATCTCGCCACTACGCGCCTTCAACCGATCCATCAGCTCCGTCTCGGGCGGCTGCAATCCAGAGCCGCGGACCTCTTCGAGCGTGCTGCACAACATCTCGAGGCGCAGGCTGACCTTCCAGAGATCCCAGACAACCTCAGGCTTGAGATCGGCGCCCTGGCCCGTCCGGACGGTTTGGGGCTTGACAGCGTCCGGGTTGTCGTCCCGGCGCTCAATTTGTTGGTGGTACTCGATGCGGCCAGCAAGTTCGTGGGGGTAGAGAGAGTAGATGACCTCAGGGTTCTCAAGGCCCTTGAGCTTCTTTTCGCCCATTTCCTTGACCTCAAACCCTCGAGACGTGAGAGATCGTAGGTCCTTGCGAATGGAATTGGCATACTCCTCCTCGTACCCTTCGTCCGACCCCGAGGAGCCCTGGCGGTCGGTGTCCTGGTAGTTTTCGAGACACCTCTGAATCTCAGAGATAAAGTCGGAGGACACTGTTATTTGCCCGCCGTCAGCTACGGCTGATACACGAGATGCCTTGTTGACCATGGGCCCGAAGTAGTCCATACGTCGCGTGACTGGGTCTGTCTCGCTGACGCAGTCGCCGTGGTGGATACCCATGCGAACCGAGAGACCTTTGAAGATGACGCTTCCGTTGTTGTCGTGAATGACCTCGGCAGAGGCGGCTGTGAGAACCTCCGATGGCCAGTTGACTTCAAGCAGACTCAGCTGAACGGCGAAACACCAGAGTAGGGCAGACGTGGCCGTGGGAAATGATACCATGAACGCATCACCTTCAGTCTTGACTTCGTAGCCTCCAATCTGTCGCAGCTGTCGTCGCATCACCTCGTGGTGCAGCTTAATGGCCGACCGCATCGCATTCGGGTACATCTCCCACAGCATGGTCGAGTTCTTGATGTCAGTGAAGACGATGGAGATGGTCCCAGTAGGCGCAGGGATCTCTGCCTCGAGTCGGTTCAGCGACGAGTCCAGCACGCCAGTCTTGTTCTTCTTCAGGGGGCGGTGGATGAACTCATCGGGCACACCCGAAGGGTAGAGCGACATGCTAGGGCCGCGATTCCCTGTCCTCGATCGTTCCACGCGCCTCTTGAGATCAGCGACACTGATGATCATAACCATGATCTTACCGGTCGCGCCGTATGCCATGGCCAGGTCACGCAGCTTTTGCGCCGCCCGCATGAGATCCTGCCGTTCGGCGCGAGCAATGTCCGTAATCAGCTCGGGCGAGAGGTATTCCCAAAGCTCCTTGGTCGCCATGATGATGATCTCATCCGTCTCCCTGATCGACATTTGACTGACCCAGGGGCATGCCTGGACGACGGGAATCATGTCACTGTATCCGAAAGCGCGCGATACCTCCAGCTTGTCGTTCAGCCGGCCGTTTCTGGATACCCAGCCGCCGGCCTCTCGTATCCGGGAGCGTTCGGTTGGCTCGGCCGGATCGTGTTTCTTCGTAAGCATGACATGACTGTTGTTGGACTTGACGACCATCGCCTGTGCATCTCCAACATTGGCAACATAGAGCTCGGTGCCTTTGAGATAGACGACTGTCGCAACACCACCAGACGACAAGTCCTCTTTGCTGATCACAAGAGGTTGGCTGTGAGGGTGTACTCGTTGCGTCGTTCTAGGTCGATCGTCTGTGCGCTGCACACCTATTGTGGCCAAGTCTTTGTTCACGGCAAGGAAAGCGCGCCGGAGTGCGTCTTCGGGTGTCTCAGTGCCCTGCGTCTTGAGACTCTTGAGCTCCTGTGCAAATATATGCCCAAAATTTTCGTGCAGGTACTTGGCAATCTTGGACCCTCCCATGGACAACGGGGCGCCATCAAACAGCCCCAGTAGCATCTCGGTCTCTGAGGAATTGAAGCGTGGCACAACGAGATCAACAGCAGACAGATGCTCATTCCTGCCAA